TGGATGCAGATATTGTTCTCCAAATCCTACAACCTTTTGCGCATAGGCCTTGAACAATGCGTGATGTTTCGTTGGCTATTCGGACGGTTGAGTTTGAGTTCAAAAAAGTGCCAAACGGCAGTCAGTGGTTATCAACGCCCTGACGATAATCGTCACTGTTAATGTCAATGGTGGCCCTATTAAAAGCAAGTTATTTATGGTAAATTTGGAGCTAGCTGCTTTTACCAAGCTCATCAAAGCGGAAGAAAGGCTGGCTGTTCAGAAATGGGGTTGCTGAGGGTGATATCAAAGAGGAAAGCTCCAGTAGGTAGCAGTACTTCCTCCTCCGAGTCAGGGAGAATAAGCGCAACTAGTGATATAGTAGGGAACAGTACGTGAGAAATTCTCAACGGATTTGATGAACTACAGAGTAATCCGTAGACAGTTCGCAGAACAAGGGAGCAAGAAGAAGGAAGCCAGTGTTAGTCAGGCAAAAAATGGAATTGAAATCGGGATATTCCTTGGGGACAACAAATCTGTGTACCACTCGGCGCCTCTGCCGTTTTCTTTTCTTTTCTTTCCTTTGCGTAACTAGTTAACAAAGACCCTTAAAAGAACTGGACGCTGTGGACAAGGCGCAGAAGTCCAGAGAGGCAGCGGCCGAACGAGCGCCTCCTGGCTTTTCGATGATCAGTCGGCTCAGACAACCAGTGTGTTACTACAATTAATAATAATGGCTTCGCCTGCAGCAGTACGTCAAAACCATCAGAAGAGGTTTCTCTCGGACAGCGGTCAAATGAATGCACAGTCCTGCCAGCGACCAGACGGGGCTTAATAAGTGACAGAGAGTTTTAGTAAAAACGTATGGTGGCTGAGAAACGGGTTGGGTGTGGTCTCAACCTTGCGAATTCCAATAAATATTTTACTGCGTAGTCAACAAAGCCAATTTAGAGCAAGGATCCTTGACTGGAATTCCTTTGTTTGCCATGAGGGCGGCGGGGGACTCGCCGAACGCAGCGAACAATGAAGCATCGCATTGCGGTGTGATATACGCAGTAGCTCTCCTATTGACAGGCTACGGAGTAACCGTGCCATGCTTACTCACTCTCTGTAGTGAGTGCACCACAGTGTACAGAAAACCACACTGTAAAGAAAATATTTTCAATATCTTCATTCTTCATCTTCAAATAATCATCATTAATTATAATCATGTCTAAATCTTCTAATTACACTGAGAAGCAGTTGCAAAGAGCTGTTGATGTGTATAAAAGTAATTCAAAATTAAAAATCACATCTCTGTCATGAGAATTCAAAGTCTTATATACTATCTTGTATGAGAGGATCAATGAGAAGAAATCAAGAACTATGAGAATTTCACTGAATTGAGTATTGAATGACAGTCAGAAAGAGGTAATTAAGATATGAATTCATCAATTGAACATTAATTTTTACTTATTCATCATTGAGTATATCAAAGCTGTTATAAATCACATGTTAAGACAGTATTATACAGATTCAGAGACTGCATCTCTCACAGTAAGTAAGATATAAATATATTAATTCATTAAATATCTGTCAGATTATAAATGAGTCAAGCAAAAACTCATGAATTCAAAATAAGTGTCTTATGAGAATATAAGCTTCATTATTAACTGATTTAATTAATATGAAGCTGTTTTTAATTAATATCAATTTTTTCACTGTGATATCTACAACTTTAATGAGATTGAATTTTAAGAAGAAGAAGAATGTGAACAGTGAATTATAACTGTCTTTAAAGACATGAATTCTGTCATACAGTCATCATACTTCTGTAGATTAATAACAGTGATAAAGTATATTAGTGCAGATAACACAGTATTAAATTCATTGATTATAATAAAATTAAAGATTCATCTAGAGAATTGATATATATACTTTAACTTATCTGACAACTACATCATCACTGTATTCAAGTCTGGCTTTATAAATGATGAGATTGAATTTGAATGAATTAAGCAGTTTAATAAGATGATAAAAAAGTGTCAAATGAGCAGTTATCAACTGCTATTAATAAATAATTATAATTCTCATCTTATAGAAGAATTCATTCAATACTGTAATCTTCATAAAATTATTCTATTTAAATTCTTATCTTATATAAGTCATATTCTATAATCTCTTGATAATATATCTTTTCAGCAGTATAAGCATTATTATACAAAGATAGTTAATGAGACTACTCACTATAAATATAAGTAGTATGATAATAGATAATTCCTTACTAATCTGAAAAGTATCTGACTATAAGTATTCAAATCTGATACTGTGAGAGCTGACTTTACTGACTGTGAAATGTATTCAGTTAATCACAATATAATTCTCAATCAATTGAGACCTCTTATCATTGATGATGCTCTGAATCTCAACATATACAATGATGATGATGATATATGTGATCACTTTACTCTGCCATCTGCAGATCAATTATCAACTGTCTTCTTATAATTAATCTTCTCAGAGACAGTTGCAAAACTACATCATCAAATTGATACAGCAGTCAAGACCTTAGAAGATGTGAAGAATACTCTTACACCTGGTTTGACAAGACAGTTAAACAAGATCTTCAAGAGTAGCATGGTTCAGGTGGAATTGAACATGCACTGTGAGAGTGAACTTGCAGATCATTATTAAGCAAATAGATATCAGATCATCAAATCCTTCTACAGACAGGTGCAAGTAGGTGAAGTCCTCACTATTAAGAATGCCAATCACAAGATCGCGACCTGTAGAGCAGATGAGATGAAAAAGACATTCAATAAGACTCTTCAATTGATTGGAATCAAACCTACAAAATCTACAGCCACTCAACCACAACAAGATAATTCTATAGAATCTCAACTTACAGTGGATTCTACACCTTCTAATGAGTATATAGATAATCTTTATATTATAGATAGATGTGGTGGTGATTATTAATTAATTTTTGAAGATTACTATATTCAAAATATTTTCTTTACAGTGTGGTTTTCCATATGCTGTGGTGCACTCACTACAGAGAGTGAGTAAGCATGGCACGGTTACTCCGTAATTATTAATATTAATGTACTGCACGTAGTATCTTTTACTAATTAAAGATAAGAAACGGAAGGGGTTGGAAGATGGAAGCAATGCACAGATATATGTATCTCTGCTATTGAAATGCTTTCGACAGACATGCTCTGTATAAGTTAGTTATGCACCCCAAGGGCGGAATACCCAGAGCCCTCTTCTATATACGCAGCGTACAGCGTACATACTCTTTTCAGCATACGGAGTATACACAGAACTAATGTATATGCACCTCTCTCTGTGTATAATCCTGTCTTTTATAAGTTATCCTTCATTCTTATCTCGTTTGGCTGGGCTTCGAGTTAGATCAACTGCTGGAAGTCTGAGAAAGCCATTCTTTCGTCTGAATGGTCTGCAAGAGAAAAGCTACCGGGCAAACGCTAACACTAGTAACTAGTTAACTATAACTAACGAAGCCACTCACCTTGGCTTCTGGATAGCGATGGATTGTAGATTACGGGGGCTTCCGAGCTCCTCCAACGCTGGGGATGTTTCCAGTTCATTATTGCGTCGTTCTCCTGGCGTCCCCTGGGCTGTTGATTAATATTATTAGAGAAAAGCTGGGCATCATGAGGAGTTATCATATGCACTATTCATGAAAAGAACGGGATCTCTACACACACACAGTCCGCTTACCTAGATATACTCCAGGAATAGTTCGGCTCTATGATAAATGCAAAAGGAATGAGGCGTGGCGCGGTAATCCACAAGTATTCAGTGCTATTACTGCGCAGTCTGTCTGTACGGAGCACACAGCCTCCAGATCTTCTGATATTGATGTAAATAAATTTAAGGAGTAATGTAGTTACGGAGGATGTGCACTTAATAGCACTCCACGAAGCCGCATGCCTTCAGCTTACTGTACTACAAAAGTGATGGACCCAGCTGCAGGTATGGAATCAGTAGCGATGATGATGATGATGATGTATGGGTTTAAATAAGTCTGCGCAGGCATAATCAATCATTGTTAACTTCTCGTCTTCTTCTCACAAGTACTCCATATTCCCCGTCTTTATATCAAATTTAATTAGAATGTTAAGAATGCAACTGGGTCCCCACCCCCCCCCCCCCCCCCCCAAAAAAAAAAAAAAAAAAAAAAAAAAAACATATCAAGTTAAATTTTAAGCTTGCCGTTTAACTAGCCGACGGCTGTTAATGAAGCTTTAAATCCACCTCCAACTACTCCGTACTATCAATTACGGACTCAACAATTCTGTAAAGAAATAAATATCTTCCACCGGTTGCTTTGTTGTGCTAAATGTATACTATACTGTGCATTTTTGCTTCTCAAATAATGTATCAATAAGACACCACTGTTGATTCTCTCCGTTTCATTTAGGGGAAATAAATGCCTTCGTGCTGTACATTACATGGAACTACAGCGTATGGGGTGCACGTTCAGGGAGCTACCATCGTGCAGAAAATATGCAAAAGGTTATTTCATTATATATTTCACTATCATTTAATCGCAGGAATGAGCTGGAATAGTTAAAAAGAAAAAGAAAAGGAATGAAAATCCACCAAAAAAAAAAAAAAAGAAGAAGAAGCAGTTCTCTTCTCATTTATACCCATTCCATTCGATTCTCTTTTACCCCTGAGCTGGAGCAGATCACCAACCACGATTTCAAAAGAGGCCATACTTGCAGCGGGCCGTATGTCGTCAGATATGCAATCTTCCGTGTAATTACCTGAATAAGAGTGTATGTATACTGACTAACTACAGCCAATTGCACGATATTCTTCCTTTTGCCAGTTCATTCCCGCCTCCTCGTCTTTCTGCTCCTGTCTTTCTTTCTCTTCTCCATCTTTGCGCTACGAACGACCAAAAAGGGAAATAAAAGTATCCCCGACTACGTCTTCTACGTCTTTGTTACGTTGTTCCCTAATAATGTACCACTGCACGTACAAGACATGTACGGTACGTCAACTTTATGCACAACTGTGGAATTGATGGGAACCAGGGCGAGGGGAAGCGCATATTCAATACCCGTGGCAACGAGGCGACTTGCATTGGGACGAGTTGCCTCGCATTTTTATTTTTCCCTTACCTCCTTCTCTGTGAGATCCACGCTTGCGCCAGCCGTAGCAGAGTTAAGCAATTCGAGTCTCCTCCAGGGTGCAATGGCTCTGTTGGACAGTGTTGTGTGTTGTGTCTTATATGTGTGAGTGAGTCGAAAAATGCAACAAAAAGGCATGGGCCCGTTAAGGTCGAGCGGGTGGCTGCGTTTGTTCATTTGCGAAACAAACCCTTTGTCTCCAGCAAAATCTGTGACTCCTGTCCTGCTACTTGGATTAACGATGAAGAAAATACCTATTGCAATTGAAATGTCATGGAGGAAAAGAAGGAGACGAACCTGATCATGTCCCGGCGTGGCATCGCATCGGCATGCATATGGCATAGAGACCAAGCACAAGACAACCATGGGTAGGGTCACCTTTTAAGCAGGCAGTTATTCACAATTTGGAGCCCCAAAAACCGGGTGAGATTGGCATCTAACCCTCTTGTTTTTCTCTTTACCTTTGGTTTCTGACTTATGCTTGAAATTGAAACTCTGTGTTAGGGGAATTTTTGTGAGTAGCCGGGGACGAAGTAGAAGCTGCTGTACTCTGTATAGTACATGTACATATATGGATGTATAGCACGAGGCTCTAGAACCTTTATTCATTTATTTATTTTATTTGCTCACCCCTTTGGCATTTATGTATTCTGTACGGTAACGTACCTTAGAAGATACACAGGCGACAGTATGTAGATAGGCCGAGTTTGGTATGCGATGCATGGAGCAATAATGAGTTGCGCATAGGCTCTTGCGTCATATGGTTCCCCAATGGAACTCATATTTTCAAAATATATGGTTTTTTTTTCTCTTTCCTTTTTTTCTCCCCCATTCATATGAGAATGCAATAAGTGTCATTTTGGGTAGGCTTCAAAGAGCGCGGAGGGCAAAGCGAGTAGCACTGGCCTTATATACATACGAGAGAGCATTATGCATTATTCGAACTAAGGTCCAAATTTCCCTTCAGAGCCTGTGAAAAAAATTATGTCCAGCGTCCTCTATAGCTTTGCCGCCACGACATTCTCTGGTGACACGTATATGTCAAAAGATGGATGGTATTCGCCGCGAACGTACATGTCCATCCCTATATCTATTATAGGTAGTTAGCAAGCAATGACACAAACAATACGGTTTATGTCGGAGAATTAAACAGGCTGGATATATAATGCGCCTCAGAAAAGCCCGAATATAGGGCTGCTTGGAAGGGGGGCTGATTTGAACCAAGCCGTCGGTGCTCCACGGATTAATAGTATTCCATACCTCTTGGATGCTGCCGGGTCCCGTCACTTGTACAGCCAGTCAGTTCCTGTCAACTATTAATGCGAAAGGTTTCTGGGGCCTTTGCTCCTTTTGTCAGCCGAGGTATTTGTCTAGGTGGGCTGTCCCCTTGGCTTGAATGTGATGTTATTGTCTGATCTCCCAACCCAGCGGCCTATGTCGTTTTCAGAGGGAGTTGGATGGTGTTAGATTTGCGGTAAGAGTATTCCATCTTCTGGATGGAGAGCACGGGAATATGGGATCACGATGCGGTGGGCATAGAGATAAAAATATATATATATATTTGTTCATAGAATGTTTTTGAATATATTCCAATAGACATCCTCTCTTCTCAAATCGAGGCCCTAGCCCTACCACACCTGTGAGATTCGATATTTGGATGAGGATGTTGTGCGAGCAGGCGAATCACGGCCCTCTCATCTTTCAGGAGGCCAGAGTGAAATAGATTGCCAGAGGCATAATCCCACAAGACGGGTGGAGTAGCACTACTTGGAGGAGGCTCCTATATCCTGCACGCCTTCAACACCATGGGATCGTTGAACACAATCCAGGGACTTGTTTGCAGGAATTTACCCCTTAAAGGCCTCAGCATTCCTCGCACCGTCCGGCAGTGGACTTCTTCGAAAAGTGAAATATAAATGTAACTTCCTGAACACGAGAAACCACAGCCCAAATTACTAAAGAAAGGAAAAATAACATTTTAATCATCAGTTAAATTAACACAGGCCGGAGCCTCGAGAAGGTAATTTGATTTGGACTGATTGCAAGCCTCACGCTAGGAGCGTCTCATCTTTGTAGGTTGTTGTCAGTGAGTGGGACAGGATTGGGGGCGCCGGCGATAGACAAAATCATGGCAAGCAACATCCGACATTGGGTAGAGGCGCGAAGGTTATGATGCATTCTGTAGGGATCTGGGAAGCTAGGACTCCAAGGGGGGAATAATATTTGGGCAACCTGCTCAGTCTACCGGAGGATATTATGCTGTGAGCTCGAAGAAAGAGATTCATAAACAAATCTCACTGCCTCGAGATAAAGGGGCCTCCTTCGACCTGACAGTCAGTTAGAAACACAACTCAAACTTGCTGCCACCCTTCAATATTTCGGCTACATTTCCTTATCATTCGATCGAAATACACCGCTTACGCTTGATACTGGTGAAGTGAGCGGGGCTCAACGGGTTGCAAAGTGAATGTGAGGCGAGGCCTCTTCGAAACATTCATCCTCCGTTTTTTCCGTCGAAACACCCCTCCAAAGATGTCCTCTCAGCCATTAGGTTTGTTTTCTCAGGTTCTCGATGAATTGTGGAATGGGTCCACGACGGCCTTGATAGACGAGTTGGGAAAAAGAACCAGAGCATCAGCGAATGCATATATAGAAACTAACAGTAACTAACATGATATCTGCTTGCGCTGGAACAGCGATACATAGCACACAACGACAAAGCAGGGAGAGACATTGTATTTCGGGGCATTTAGACGTCTTTTTTTATTTTTTTGAATTTCTCGTTTGTCAAACAGATCATAAGGTTTAGACCTCATCATGTCCAGTACCTTGCTCTTTGGGCATGTCTAATTCGCCGCTCTTGACGATCTTCACGGCCTCGTTGGGTCGATCACCAGGCGCCTTGTCAACATTTTGGATCTTGTCAACGATATCGTAGCCCTCGAGAACCTCGCCGAAAACGACGTGGCGGCCATCGAGCCAGCTGCGGCGTAGGAATGTAAGTATATGTACCTGATTCATGGGATTTATCGGGGAGACAAATACCTAGTGATTGCGGTTGTGATGAAGAATTGAGAACCGTTGGTGTCCTTTCCGGCATTAGCCATACCTAAAAGCATATACGTTAATCGATAATGTACACGAAAGACTTCTCGTTCCGGGTCATGGCGTGGGGTAGTTTGACGTACTCAGAAGACCCTTCTTGGTGTGTCGCAGCTTGAAGTTCTCATCAGCGAATTTCTCGCCGTAGATGGACTGGCCGCCGGTGCCTTTTGCCAATTATTAGTATGGATACACAAACTCCAATGTTCACTATTTCTAGAGAAGTCATCTCTACTCACCATCACCCTTTGTGAAATCACCACCCTGGATCATGAAGTCCTTGATAACTCGGTGGAAAGTAGAGCCCTCATAACCGAACCCCTTCTCACCGGTGGCCAACGCGCTGCAGGGTACGGTTAGCTTTATTGGAGTTTCAGTATTGACAGTAAGGTGTATATGTTCCCTACCGGAAATTTTCTACGGTCTATCATACATCAAATTTAGATGTTAGTGAAGCCCATGGTTGTATCTATCAAGACAAGAAGTACAAAAACAAGGGGTTATGTTCTGCTTACCTTCGGGACTGTTTTCCCATAAAGTCCTATTACAATGCGCCCTATAGGCTTATCTCCATGTTGGATATCGAAATAAACCTATATTCAAGCAATTAGGACCTCCTCAACCGCAGAAGGAGTACATCGTAAACACACCTTATTGGTTATCTTGGGGCCTTTGGCTTCTACACTCTTCCCCAGGAAGAGAAAGATGCCCACCAAGACTAGGGACGCAAGAACGAAAATCCGCTTCAAGGACGCCATGGCTGCAGGTATACAGGCACAGCTGTATAACAAAATAGGTTTTTAGAGGGCAAAGCCTGGTGTGGATGGGAGAATCAGCTCGAGGCCAGCTTGCATCTCAGTAGTAGCTTGGCCGAGAGGGCGCCTAGCGGAGTAACATTGTTCCGTGCATCAAGTTAATGTCCCATCAAACCCTCATTATCACGAACGAAACATCCCGGATCCAATTGTGCTTGCCGGCATCCACACCAAGGACAAGCAGATTGCTGGTAGCCAAAATGGTGAGCAAATAGCATCGCACCCATGTCTTTATCGCACCATCTAAATTGCCCACTGCGATCCCCGCTAACATCTTTTCAAAAGGTCTTTATTCTCGGCATCAACTTCCCCGAGCGACAGCTCGTCAAGGCAAGCAATCCAACCCCCCAATGCCCTGCCCCATAACCACCTGAAAAAGGCAACAGTCCAGAAAAAGAAAAAAGAAGTTATTAAAAGTCCCCTTTATCTAACGCGAGTAAACGAACAGCAAGCTCTCCAATCCTTCTTCGGCATTGGCCCGCTGACATGCAACAAAATCATGGCCCGCTTCTACGTGCACGAGACGGCGAAAATCGGCGATCTGGCAAACAAGCAGGTCCTCAGCTTGACAGCGGCACTTTCGGAAATGAAGATTGAAAACGACCTGAGACGGCAGATCTTGGATGACATTCGACGCTTGAGGGATACTGGCACGACTAGGGGTAGACGGCATGCGCTCGGCTTGCCGGTTCGCGGACAGAATACGAGGTCACAGGTACGGACTTTGATTTTTCTCCCACACGGTCTTATTCTCCTTGGGAGAGCATTTCCAATGCAAATACCTCTTTGAGGGCATGAGCTGTATATCCTTTACTAACGTTGACCTTATAGATCAAAACGGCGATCAAACTCAACAAGTTGGACCGAAGACTTGGACTCAAGGGGCCCAGGTAGCGAGCCGTATGGTGTTTCTCTCTTTTCATTTGGATATATTGTATGTTACCTGGGTCTTGCAAATGGCGTTTATTTTTGTACTGTATACTACAACATAGACTTGGGAATGTAAAAGAAATTATTTTCTGGTAATTAATGATATCTTTCTATGTATCTAGAGGCATTTGTGAAGTAAACAGATGGCAACGAGCGCTTTCGCGAACAACGCAATAGATAAAATCTTTTAAAAGCAAATATGCAACACGTAAAATTTCCATCCTCATTTCCCAGTCCTTTTCTTAACAACCACCATGCAAGAAAACTATCTAGCACTGTCTTCGTTCGGCATAACCCCTTCTCCCCTATTAATCTGTATCATCTTATCCTCCCCACCACTGACAATCCCCACAGATTTATCCCAGCAGACATCAAAGACCTTAACGCCTTCCCCACCAACGCGTTTCCCAACACCCTCCGCGCTCTTCCTAGGAATCGAATAGATGCTTTCGCCCATAACTCCATCTTTATCCGTCCTGGTCGACCGCACATCCCATATCCGACATGTCCCGTCGTGACTGCCACTAATCAATCCATAGGTACTATCAGGATCACGAGCCAGACAAACAACAGCATTTGTATGGCCTCTCAGCGTTAGTGCTGAGACCGTCGTCGCTGATGCGCGCGGATCTATTAGTGTGATATGTCTCGCGGAGGTCCCTGCGGCCAGAAGGCTGAGTTCAGCCATGTGTGCGACTGATAGCAGGGAGTGGGAGGCGGTACGTGTGTCGACTAGTGCGTTCGTGACAAGGTCCCAGGTGCGCAGCGAATGGTCCCACGACGTAGAGTAGCCGACGGTGGAGTCCTTCGCATCGAATATTGCAGCGGAGACGGGTGCGGTATGCGATTTCAGCAATGCGAGCGGTCCACGCTGCGGAACGGAGACGGATGAATTTAACTTCCGTCTCTTCGAGCTTCGGACTGCACTTGATGGAAGTAGATTTTCAGGAGCAGCTGGACTGTCTGATTTTTTCGTCGACCAGAGTCCTACCGAGTGATCTGCTGAGGCGGAAAGGATACGGTTTGATTTAGCGTGTACAGCTACTGAATCAACGCTCCCTTTATGTCCATAGAGTTCTAGCTGTGGGGTGATCGTTGCTGAAAATCCATCTTCGCTTTCAGCGTATTTCCACAGTCGCACTGTACGGTCGAGGCCCGATGATATGATCTGGTTTGGCGAGACCATTCTCGCGGACTTAATTGAAGCCGTATGTCCCCCTTCGCCCGCGGATGGAGACACGGCAATTGTCTCCGAAGACATATTCCACATCCGCAGCAACCCATCATAACTTGCTGATAAGATCCTCTCCTGGCCTGCATTTACTCGAGACCCGCTTCCAGCGCTCGATGTAGCGGAAAGGACATCCACGGCGCTGACCCAGTCATCGTGAAGAAACGAGGCGACATGCAATGGAGGAACTAGAGCGCGGACATACTCGAGGTCGAGTGTCGTTTCAGCCGATATGCCATTCGCCGTTAGGTACTCGTCAATAGACGTTCGTAGGTATGTTCCGTTTATTAAAAACTCGAATGGAATGGGCTTTTCGGATCCCAGAAGGTTGTTCACCAGGGTCGATAGAGCATATCTTCGTAGGCCTTTCACACAGCAAAATCACAATATGCACAAAATTAGTCAAAATAGTACTATCTAACAAATGCTCTCCTAAAATGTCGAACAAGAACTTACCAGTAGGCACAAGAATTGGTCCAGTACTATCTGGAAGGGCAATATCTTCATGTCGCGAAGTGAGCTTGAGGCGGACTTGCCTCTGGACTGGCTCCGTCGCGGTGACGCTGACGTCAAGGGAATTATCCTCCATTCCGTCCATTTTGAAGGAATCTGTAATAAGACTGAATTTCTAGCACCTGTTGTTATACTTCAATTAGTTTATCGTGGACAACCGCCAGGTTATGGGAGCTCGCTGCCGTGTGGGTTTTTTTTACGGTGGCCGGAACGGCAAAGTGTGCAAATTCCGGGAATGCGCTTAAATTGCCATGAGACAAGTGCAATAGAAAATAATTAAAATAAGTTAATGGAGAATATAGTATGCTTAAACAAAATTTGTCTGATGTACTGAACCATCCCGTAGATTAATTAATGAATACATTATCCTAGATATATTTATGCCGATGTTCGCGAAGACCTGCGAATATCAGCAATCGCTCTCCTCCGATGGTCCGAATCCGCAAAGAGCGCCCTGATCAGGTCTATTACCTCCCCCGGAGAAAACTCGAGTTGCAATTCACCCTCCGTCCACAGATATTTGATGTCCGCCAATGAGCTCTCAAGAATGTTAGTCAGATATTGGAACTTTAGCCAGTTCGGGACATATACCGCCGTCATCGGTACAGCTTCTGATTGTTCACCAACCGTATTTTGACCGGATTTAGATTCCGGAAGGAACAAATCCTCAAGTTTAGAAATCTTGTTACAGAATTCTGCAAGCCGTTGTGATTCAGGGTCTGAAATATCGCTCAAGTCCTCGATATCGAGAATCATCTTGTTTATGACAGTTGAGAGCAAAGAGCCTATGGATTGGAGAAGTGCAGATGGCGACAAGATGGACTGCCATTCTTTATGAAGATGTCGCATCCGATCGACTGTTGCGCTGACTGCATTCTCACACTCTCCTAGGTAGGGTTGTACGGAACAACTGCCAAATCCCTGGCTTCCATCTAGCAGATCAGACAATATTGTGCGTTGCGCCTGCATTTCTTTGCTGTAGGCAATCCTACCGAACTTCTCGAGGGTTTCAGTATCGGACTTTAATCGGGGAAGATTATGTGCCTCCGTCAGCTCCCGTAGTCGCTCCGCGAAATACATGCTATCATTGTACAAGAACATTTGGCCACCGGTGAATTTTTGAGAGTAGAACATCGGTGCTAGGGCCTTGAACATTGCAGTGACTAGAGTCGGGAGTGAGAGCAGAGCAGGACCGGACGAAGCGATTGGAAGATTCGAATACCTTTTGGACAGGATAATTTAGAAACATGGCCAATTCTAGAATTGGAATTGGATCAACTTACTCTGCTGATGCGAGCTTTTCAGAATCTGAGACTTGACTTTGAATTATCCCCATGATCGCATCGGGTATATTCGAAATGGTATAAAATTCCCTTAAAGTGACTTCCCGACGGGGGGAATCCTTTCCGTCTCCATGACCGCCATTTACATGAGCTGTAGGTTGAGCCGCATGACTAGATGGCTCTGGGGGAGGGTCTGCGCCCTCATCTTCATCGCCCCAGCCCCAAGCGTCTTCATCCTCATCTCCTTCACCGCCAGCCGGCTTATTCTGCTGTTCTGGCTCTAGCGTATCAGGCTCGTCAAGTCCCCAGGCGCTAAAATCATCATCCTCCTGGTTGACGGGCTGTTTTTGAGTACCGGCGTCATTGCTTTGTTCGTTATCACTGGCCCATCCAGCATTCCAATCATCAGAATTTTCAGAAAAGACCTTATCCTTCTGAGACACTTGTTCTGTTTCCACCCTTTCTACCTTACGTGTCTCCCCCGAGCTAGTGGATAAAGCAACTCTGACTTCATCCAAGGATTTGATTCGTCGCTGATTGAGCCATATGCGGGGTATTTGTTGTGTAAACGATGTTAATTCAGTCGATCCGGGGCAACCAAGGCCATCTAAGGCTTGTTGGAATTTATGGATATGCTCCAATATCACCTGAAATTCCCTCATTCCATCAACATCTGCGGGTATGGAAGGTAGCAACTTCTTCGAAATGAGAGAAGAAATCATCGGCGGAGCTAACTTTGAATTCAGGGGATTTTTGATTGTAGCTGGTAGACATTCCTCAAGATATCTTAAGAAACGAGTAAGGGTATCGAAAATGTCAGTTGGCTGAGTGATTGAAGGTTGAGGGAGCAATTGAATCGAATTTCCATCACACGAGATAGTGAAGGCTTCTTCCGTCCCAGGTGGTAAGAGGACTGGATCTAGGATATAAGAATAAACATCCCTATATAAGGAATCTACAATGGAGTCCAGCATGTCCAACTTTGTCAGGGCATTGAGGACATTGCCTAGGTTGGAAGAGGGTTCTTTTAGCCAAGTTAGCTAGAATTAGTTAATAGAGTAGCAAATGGGGTATAATAGACGCACCAGAGTCGTCAGTGACAACAGTCATTAGGCCTAATTTAGAGTCAAGCTTGACCAACGAATTCCACTTTTGCAGCGCAGTTGTCGCTATGGCAGTCCGCAAGCCTGCCACATTTCCAGATAATACACGGAGGACAGGAGTGGTCGGAGGTAAATCGGTGGTTTTCATTAGCATCTCAATCTCTTCGAAAAGCCCAGTAGCAGTTTCCAGACCGTCCTGATCAATAGCCATCAGGGCAGAGGATATGCGATAGTCGATGGTTCGAATGTCCTCCAGCTTCCTCGTTACAGCCTCGTTGAAAGCGATCTCATTCTCCAACAGTTCAACCTTCTTGGAAGCATCCGTAACCTGGCCTTGAAGCTGCTGTCCAATTTCATGCTGTCGAATGATTTCCCGCGCCGTTGATCTTGACCGCTCAATATCCTCATGGAGCTGCTTTGCCTGGGATATCCATCCATCCACATCTGATGCGGTGTCTCGACTAAGCAGAGAGATTTCATTCTAGACGAGAGAAGTTAGAATTAAGACTCAGGTAACCAATTGTACTCTAGGGAGTTCATATGGTGGGTTCTACCTCAACCTCCTCTCTAGATTTGGCTATATGTCGGAGCTCTTTGGCAGCGGCGGTAGAGGGAAACTCCGCGGAAACGATACTTTCTGCCTCGGGGAACGATCCGTCGGTCAGAAACTTGTATATAGCTAGACAGACATCCTCATCGGAGATCTTTGGGGCCATTGTGAAGCTGTTGGAAACTGTCGTTTTTGCTGGTTGATGGCGGAACTGGTTTTGGTATCCGGCTTAGAACCTTGGAAGCTCCGATGCGCAAATCACCAAGGGCGCAACTACGGACCAAATGTCAATAGGCAACTCCGGCGGAATTTAGTAGAGAGGATAAGAAAAGTGGTTATTTATCGTTGTTGACAGCTCAGCGTCACCGCGGTGCCAAGACTTCCGTCCTCACTTTGACTTTCGGCCCGCGATTTGACTTTGAAGCGGGAGAAAATCCTCTCGCGAGCCTTGTTGTGCAAAGTATCAAATCTGCAAGGCTACAGTTTCGAAGTTGTTTGCTTCAAACAAATAACAAATAATTTATTATTGAGGTGTCCTCTCTTTTCAAGCGTATGCGGCAACACACCAGATTCATACGCTGCTTTCTCACCTGACCGGGGTTCTATCAGTAAACCCCCTCCCTCTATTTCCACCGAGGCTCTCCTACACAAACTGAACGAACGGCACCGTGTCTCTCTTTACTAGAAAGGTTCTCTGGAGTACGATCGTTAATGTAAGTTTATAGAAGAAAGTGTCATTGAAGTGTTGTTGAGTCTTTATCGTTGGAATATCGGACCCAATTTACCCCTCCATTCGATTTTTATATCGTTGGATGCGCCCCCCTCCAAGTCCTCTATTTACTATCGTCCAGAAGATGTTTGACCTTATGCCACCGGCATGCACTACTACCCCTCTGCTGGAATCCTTATCTACATGTTAGGAATTCCCTCTGCAAAACTGTATCTGCCCTGCTACCTACGTTGTTCTGGAGATACACGTGGGTGCGGGTTTGCGCGTTCCCTGATGGCATGCCCCTGCTGCTGAAAACGGAACAAAAAATGTCATTATTTACTATACTATACCTTGTTATGTTTTGCTATCAAGTTTAGTGATATTGATACGTATGATGGTCGACACATTTCGAGGATCGCGCTGACAGCTACTAGTGCTCGAAACCACTGCCCGCCCGGAATCATTACAGCAACCTTCACTCCAGAAACCTATTATCAGAAGTCAAGATGCCTTCTTTTGAGAAAAAGAATTATTTTAGACGCCTCCAAAGGTTTAAGCCTGACTATTCGCCCGAGAACTTCACCCAGTATGAGTCCGAAAGGACAGGGATGAGGGTGGTCGTTATTGATCGAAAAGGCCCAAAGGTTTGGGGGCATTTTGTTCTTGCCACAGAGATTCTTGATGATTCTGGTGCACCTCACACTTTAGAGCATCTTTGCTTCATGGGATCTAGAAACTATCAATACAAAGGGTTTCTTGATAAGCTTGCTACTAGAGCCTATTCACAAACAAATGCCTGGACTTCTACGGACCACACAGCGTACACGTTGTTTACTGCAGGCTGGGCTGGATTTTCACAGATTCTGCCCGTCTACCTGGAGCATATTGTTGCTCCCACTTTAACTGACGCTGGCTGCTATACTGAAGTGTATCATGTTGACGGCACAGGCAATGATGCCGGTGTGGTATATTCAGAAATGCAGGGCGTGCAGAATAATCCATCTGAATTGATAGATCTGAAATCTCGACGACTTCTGTATCCAGAAGGGATTGGTTTCCGTTATGAAACCGGCGGAATGATGGAACAACTCCGGGTTCTGACGGCAGAACGTATCCGTTCTTTCCACAGGAAGATGTATCAGCCGAAAAACCTCTGCCTGATCCTTACAGGAGAAGTAGACCATGATAACATGCTGCAAATTCTAAATGATTTTGAGGATACGGTCCTCGATGTGATTCCAAGCCCTAGTGACCCCTTCAGAAGGCCGTGGATAGACTCACCGCCAATACCTCCGCTAAACACGTCTATTGTGGAAAAGGTGGAATTCCCCGAGGCGGATGAATCTTTCGGCGAGATTGAGATTCGATTTCTTGGTCCAGATTGCAGTGATATCCTCTTAAGTAAGTGTTCTCGCTATCTACCCCTTCTTAAACGCTATGGCTAACATCCATAGGTGGCGCGCTTAATGTGGCTCTTCTTTATCTTGCGGGCTCCTCTGCTACAGTCCTTGAGAATACCCTTGTGGAGAAAGAACATCTCACAAGCGCTGTGTATTATTCCACATCGGAGACGCCTCGAACAGAAATCTGTTTTACCCTCACTAGCGTAGCCACCGAAAAACTTGGGCATGTTGAGCGTCGCTTCTTTGAGGTGTTAAATGAGGCCATGCAAAATGAGATTGATATGGAATATATGAAAGAGTGCGTGCGAAGGCAGCGCCGGGGCTGGAAATTTTCCACTGAGAATTCGTCTTACCCTTTTGCAAGCTATGTCATCACCGACTTCTTGTTCGGCAAGAGAGATGGCTCTACCCTTCGCCATGTCGCAAGCCTTCAAGAGTACGATGAGTTGGAAAAATGGCACGACAAACAATGGCGCGATTTTATCAAGCAATGGATATCCGACGCCCCTCATGTTTCAGTACTGGGCGTACCTTCCTCCAAGCTTGCCGCTAAGTTGAAAGCCGATGAACTATCCAGAGTCGAGGAACGGCAGAAAGCTCTTGGAAAGGAAGGTTTAAAGCAATTAGCGAAAAAGTTGGAGGAGGCCAAAGCAGAAAACGACAAGGAGATACCACAGGGAGAACTGGCCAAATTCAAAGTTCCTGGGGTGGAATCCATCCCTTTCATCAAGACGACAACAGCAAAGTCGGGAGTTGCTCTAAGTGCGGGTCGTCCTAATAACCGAATCCAAAAAATCGTCGACATGGACATGTCGAACTCGCCCTTGTTCATTCACTTTGAACACGTCACTAGCAACTTCATCCAGGTCTTCCTGAATATCTCAACAACTTCTGTGCCAGCAGAACTGCGCCCACTTCTGGCTGTGTACATGGAAGCTTATTTCCACCTTCCAGTTCTTCGAAATGGAGAAAAAGTTCCCTTTGAACAGGTCGTCGTTGAACTAGAAAAGGACACAATTTCCTATGGTATGGACATGGGGCATCATAACCCTGAGATGCTCATAGTTAGTTTCCAAGCGGAGCCAGACAAGTATGATGCTATTATCTCCTACATAAACGAACTTTCATGGGAATCCATATTCGACGTGGAACGGCTAAAGGCTATCACCACCCGGCTGCTCTCTGATGTTCCGGATGCCAAGCGCAGTGGGAGCAGTATGGTAGATGCGGTGCACACGATGGTCACGCACACCCAGGAATCAATCTCCCGTGCCATGACCCCTCTAACTAAAGCCTTGTATCTGAAGCGTACAAAACGCCTGCTTGAGAAAACCCCTGAAGTCATTGTTTCTAGAATGGAAGAGATCAGGAAGCAGCTTTTCCGATTCGAAAATTTCCGAATCTTCGTCATTGCGGATATGGATCAGCTCCACAAACCTTCTTCAGCGTGGGAACCATTTGTTCGTCGACTGGATGTCACTCAACCACTCAATCCGATCATAAAACTGCGAGATCGTCTTACGGATGCGGCCAAAAACCCCGGGACAATCGCGCATATCGTTCCGATGACAACCATCGACTCCTCCTTTTTACTCACTAGCGCCAAGGGTTTGGACTCTTACAATCACCCCAAGCTTCCCGCGCTATTAGTTACCATGGCCTATATGAATGCGGTGGAAGGCCCATTGTGGGTAGCTATCCGCGGGACGGGTCTGGCCTACGGCGCCCGGTTCATACACAACGTGGATAGCGGTTTTCTCTACCTAGAAGTGTACCGATCCCCAAATGTCCACAGGGCGTTTGAGGAGGGCAAGAAAATTGTCGAAGACCATTTGTCTGGAGCCACACAGTTCGACCCACATATGGCCCTCGAGGGCGCCATCAGCAGCATTGTGCTAGATTACGCCAACGAGCAGCCGACGCAGGCCAGTACCGCACAGGCGAGTTTTGTCCGCCAGGTCATCCGAGAATTGCCCAGTGACTACCAGGAGAAGCTATTGCGGAAGATAAGAGAGATTGGCATTGAGGAGATCAAGGAGATTCTGAGGGACTTTATATTGCCCCTTTTCACACCGAGCAAGTCAGATATTATAGTCTGTTGTGGGAGAGTGCTTGAAGAGGTGAGATATAGATATACATTTATCAACTCCTGTTCCAATTTCTTATTTATTTACTTTTCTAAGTTTTACATGTGAATTTTGACTGACTATCCCTACAGCCTCTCAGGAAGGGTTTCGAAGGTGTTGGATACAAGCTAGAGGTGCACGATCTGAAATACTTCGAGGATGACTATGGATTCAAGCTCGAGGAATTTAAAATTGAAGAGCCTGAAGACGAAGACGAAGACGATGAAGAGGAGGGATCGGGGAGTGAAGATGGGAGTGACGATCACGACATGGCGAATTGATAGTGACTAGTTACTGGTAGAACAAGGTCCGGGGGGAACAATAGAACGCGGCTGGCTTTGGCTATTCCATTTTCAGGAATAGATAGATACCTGTCTACGGATTCTTGGTTACTAATTCAATTACTTTTCGTATGACTGATATTATTTTGGAGTTTATATTCCTTGGGACATAGTTAAATGAGCTTGCAGGAACGAACCATGGGCTGGACTCGGTCTTGGCACTTTCTGCCGCTTTTCTGCACGGAATGCCAAGAAGACAGAACATCTAATCTGGATTTATATTTATACAAAGACCAAGCTCGTCTCCAACTCCTGAACAACGCACCTCGTATCCATCCTGCTGCCTGCTACCTGCTGCCATCTGCCCAGTCCATTAACACACCACTGGCAGCAGCTTTCTTTTCCATCTCGGGTAGACTGAATTACTGGGCCATGAATATCCTTCAGGTGCGCTTTCAAATTCGTTGCCCGTCTCGCCTCACACTTAATGGACATCCATACTGATAGGAACATGCGTTGTATAGCAACTCGCGCAGTTGCTAGATCGCCCATTCTTCCCCTGGAAGAAGGTGATCGTGGGCTTTTCGGTCGGCCAGTTCATCCTTGAAGGATTCCTCTCGTTACGACAGTATGGGATCCTGCAAAAAACGAAGCCTCCAAAGGTTTTGGAGGAGGAGGTTTCGCAATCTGTCTTTGATAAGAGCCAGGTATGCTGGGGGTCACCGTCTGCTTGTTCTCTATGTGTTGGTCGTTAATATATTGACTAACACGTTTATCTTTTCCCCCATTGACTGTAGGCATATGGACGGGCAAAGGCCAAATTCGGTTTCGTGTCGGGTCTCTATGGCCAAATCCAGAACCTCGCAATCATTTACTACGATGCCCTGCCAAAACTGTGGGCTGTAACCGGTCTTTTCCTCACCCGCTACATGCCCGAACGTTTCACCGGAGAAATATCTCATACCTTGGCCTTCGTCTTTACCTTTAACATCATCACCACGATCCTGTCTTTGCCAATCTCGTATTACAGCACTTTCGTCATTGAGGAGAAATTCGGCTTCAACAAGCAGACTCTCAAACTATGGGTTACGGATATGATCAAGGGGCAATTCTTGGGAATTGTTCTTGGAGTTCCGATCATCAGCGCTATCTTGAAAATCGTCCAGAAAACTGGCACCAGCTTTTTCTATTATCTATGGCTCTTTGGCATCTTTGTCCAGCTATTCGCTATCACTATCTACCCAATTGCCATTCTGCCGTTGTTCAACAAGCTAACCCCCCTAGAACCCGGAAAACTGAAGGCTGGTGTTGAGGACCTGGCCAAAAAGCTCAAGTTCCCGCTTAAGGAGCTGCATGTCATTGATGGTAGTAAGAGGAGCGCTCACAGCAATGCCTATTTCTATGGGCTTCCATGGAAGAAGCATATTGTCATTTATGATACTCTGATTGAGAAGAGTGAGCCTGAGGAAGTCGTTGCGGTTCTGGGGCATGAGTTGGGCCACTGGAGTCTTAACCACACCACTAAGCTTTTTGGAATTGCACAGGTATGTTGGAGCGGCTACTACGTCTTATAAAGTGAGGTCGTTGGCTAACTAGGTTATCTTTTATAGTTCCATATGTTCTACATCTTTGCTCTTTTCTCCGCCTTTGTGAACAACAAATCATTGTACCATGACTTCGGATTTATCAACGAGATGCCCATTATGATTGGCTTTATTCTATTCTCTGACGCCCTCGCCCCAATGGACGCCGTGGTTAAACTCCTAATGAACATTCTAAGCAGAAAATTCGAATTCGAAGCCGGTAAGCAAACCCTCAACCCAACAACCCCAACACATAAATATCCCGAACGCAAACCGTAGTTTACATGAGATAAAACAATTAAAAATCTGCTAGATGCCTTTGCCGTAAACCTTGGATACTCCACCGAGCTCGCCAAGTCCCTCCTCAAGCTCCAGATTCAGAACCTTTCCACCATGGACGCAGACTGGATGTATGCCAGCTACCATTATTCGCATCCAATTCTGACGGAAAGACTTGCAGCCCTCGGCTGGAGTGGAGGAAAGGTGACCGAGGGTAAATCAGAAGACAGCGAGAAGCCAGTCAAGGCTACGGATCGGGAGCCGTGAAGGAGCTGGACAGATGAGCCCGCAACACTTTTTCTCCTAAAGTGATGGTTAGACATTGGGAAACTATATTAAGGACGCGGGGGGAGAAAACAAAATTGTAGGGTTATTTAGGTAGTTTCTTTTCTTTTCTTTTCTTTTCTTTTCTTTTCTTTTCTCTTTTTCTTTCTCGGCCTGGTTTGTTTTAAGGAACTTTAGGGAAATCTTACCAGAGGTTATAATGCGTTTCACTGATTCAAAGTATTTCTTTCTCTCCCACTCGACCACGTATTCCATCCCATCAGCCGAAAGAAAGCATGAAGAATAGTTCCCAACCACACTTCCCAACACCTTCCTCACCCTGTAGTCGTAGTTTTAAATTTAGCCCTCTTTTCCTCCTTCCGCCTCTCCTTCTTCCTCCTCTTCCTCTCCTCCTTATCAATCGCCCCTATCCCTTGCCCAGCGCCAGAGCCACCGCCAACATCCATCGGCACAGGCATCTGCGCTTGATCCCCCTCTTCAGCTTCCCCATCCCCATCCCCAGCATCCACAACCTCCTGTTCCCGCTCATAACTCTCCAGATCCTGCCATCCATCATCAACCATCTTCTTCCCTCTTCCCCTCCCTATTCCCTCCCCACTCCAATCCTCCCCATCTCCCCCAATCTCCCTCGACTGCAACGCAAACACCGCCCCGCCCCCTTGCCCCTCCAACCTGGCAAACGTCAAATCCCTCCCCAGCACCTCCCCAGCCAGTCCGGCCTGGACACGCTTCAAGTTGTGGATGATGAGATTGGGTGCGGAGCCTGTGTTTGCCGAAACGGGGCCGTGGCCGGAGAGGGTGGAGTCGGGTTGTAGGCTGGGGTCTGTGGCGGCGCGGTCGAGGTAGGCGGAGAGGAAGTCGTGGGCGGCGGAGGGGGAGATGCGGTGGGTTTTTGTGTGGGAGGGGTGGATTGTGGTTGGGGGGAGCGGGTGAGGGGTTGATTGGAAGGCCATGGCGTATTCTATGTTTTCTCTTTTATGGAGTCGTTGCTTTTGAAATCTCCCGTCGGGATTGGCGTTTGGTTGGTGCTGTTGCGGCGGCTGGCTTGGGTTGGGAGGTGGTATTGTCTCCTTGGGTATATTGGCTGGATTTTATTTCATGTTTCATTCTTTGGAGGTTATTGATGTATACGAAGTAATAGTTTCAGGGTGTGTTTATTTTAATATAAGAAGTATTTAAGTAAAGATCTCATCATCCCAAGCTGCGAGCAAAAAGTAAAAGATCTCGGGCAAAATTTTTCCGGCCCGCTCATTGGCCGAACATCGCTGAACCTCAACTTCAACTTCTCCAGTTTCTGCTCATGTTTCGACATCAGAACACTCCGCTGCCACCACCATTGCAGCTACGGATCTAACATTCACTCTGGCAAGATGGCGTGCCTACACTGCACGAGGGCGCCAGTCTCCCTTTTCTCCGCGAGATCTCTCTTCGAATCTCTCCCACGGTATGTCTACTCTCTTTGCTCCGAATCCGCCCTCCCCATCTTTCGAAATGCCCCATTGAATCAACCCACCTTCCTTCATCCGACTGAAACAGAATGTCGCAAAATAAAATCTAGCTAATAATAACTACAGCCGACCTGCCTCCTCCCTCGTCATAAAACCCCAATCCCAGTCGTCCCGCTCCCAATCCCGCGCCTTCTCCCACCTCTTCTCCAAACGACAGCCGACAGCAGCCACATCAACCACATCTTCCTCACAACCATCAATACTCCACCGCCTCCTCCCGTCACCCGCTACCACTACTGCCTTTGCGCAACCCACGAGCGCGACAACAGCGGGTTTGCCGCTCCTATCATTATCAATACCGTCTTTCCCCACCCGCCCATTCTCCGCCTCAGCAGCCCTGGGGGCGAAGCGGGTTACGTTTAACCCCAGCCGCCGCGTGCAGAAGCGCCGCCATGGGTTCCTGGCAAGATTGAAGACTCAGAGTGGGCGGAAGATTTTGGCGAGGAGACGGGCAAGGGGGAGGAAGTATTTGAGTTGGTAGGCAAGGAGGAGGGGGAACCGCGCCCCCGGGGGCGGGGGTTTATTACTCCCTTTTATTTTGTATTCTTCATATAAACATTTTATTTCCTTACCTGTGCTGAATTTGATATAAAATGTTTTTGGTTGGGCTAGTTTGTTCTTTGGGCCGGGATGTGAGGGTTCGGTCGTTATGCTGTGGGTATGCTGTGTACGATATTTAACTCTACGGTGAATCTGTGTCGGGGGGAGAAGAAGCTTTCATGCATTGAAGTTGGGCCCATTCTACCACTCCACAATCCCTTGCTTCGGGGATTCCATGTTCAAAAATGCCAAAGTTTTACTTGCCAGCCTCGGTGATTCTCTCCAACGAGGCTTTTTTGAGGTATTTCTTCTGGCATTCCTGGCCACTGTCGGGACGGGGTAATACTTCAATCTGCAATCTTCAAGCTTTCTACTCCCTTCTGCCTCCTACCTTCCCCCATCCACCGGGACATCTGCGGATCTTTTCGATATGCGGGAGCATTACGCACACCAATCCCGCGATTTTCTCCCTTCTAAATACCAAGCTAGATGCCAGCCATTGAATATGATATCTACCCTCCCGCCTCTCTGTAGACTAACTCGCAAGAATTCGATTTCTGAATATGTAGATATTTACTTTCATTCCATGTTCTATTTTTAACATACTGAATGAGATCAAATTATGCGATGAAACTTTAACGTGAGATGCACTCCCAAACCAGCTGGTATGCCTATATATCATTATCCTTATTAATATATATATATATATGAGGGATAGAGAGAGAAAGTGGAAGAGAAAGAGAGTTCAAATTTCCACCTTCTCCTCACCATGCACATAGAAATTGCAGAGGCTAAAACAAGGGACAGAAAAATATTTTCAAAAAAAAGAGGAATCATCCAGTTGTGAAAGTTTTCTATCTTTTAACAAACTATGAAGGTCAAAAGGAACTCGTTTTGGTATTTAGACAGAAGTCAAGACATGATTAAGATGAGAACGTGAAGCGTAACATAATGCATCTGAATTGGTTTGGATTGGATAGGTGGCTCAATTCCGAGACAGGGTGGAAGGAAGAACAAGGACGTATCGGTTTTCGTTTCTTTCTCTTTTGTTATATATCCCTTTTTTATTAAAAATTTTATTCCGATGCTAAGATAAAGTTGTTCGCTGTAGCAGCTTCTTTTTCCACCCTCCTTCTGGTATCCTTGGTACATCTGTGTCCGCCATTTTTGCCGTGCCAGCAGACTATTCGTTGCGCAATTTTCCTGCCATCTGTGAGACAGATGGCCAACTTTTTTCCGGGTCTCTAATTCATTTTCTACGCGTTGTGGTGGCCTGGTTGGACGGGATGCGATATATTTGAGGGGGATTGACAAGAATAGCATAGTGACCACAGTGGAAGGCATCGCTCAGTCAGCAATTGGCTCAAGTGTGTTACCACTAGAGTAAAAATAATTAGTATATATTAAAGGCTGAACATGAAACGCGACCGGGGCGACAATAAACAACCAGTTCAAGGGAAGGAAAGAACGAATGGATAGAAACAGACAAAAACTTACGCGACAATATTGGCCCACCCAATCAAACGCCAATGTTTATCAATCCGTCGACTCAGCGCAATCTTCTCCCCAACCTCCGTGCACGCAGGACTCGTCAAGCTCAACTTGGCCGCATCGGCCTTGACGCCCATCACCTTCGCGCCCGTAGCCGTCGAGCCAATGTTAACCATGAGCACCTCATTCTTCGCCAGCTTGGATACCTTCGCCTGTTTCCCGTCCGCGGTCTTCACACCTAGCAGTCGTCTGAGGAGGAAATAGTTAACTTCGATCTCGGTGTAGATGGCCGGCAGACGGCCGCGGTGGCCCAGGACGAAACCTAGGAGACGATCGGCACGGCAGAGGGTGGGGTCGACCCGAGTTCCGACACCGATGAGGCCGCCGGGTACGGCAAATTTGAGGTCATTTTGCTCGGCAAGGAGGGAGACAACGCGGCTGAAGATGGGTCGGCACTGGATCTTGCCCTGTTCATCTTTGGTGACGATGCCGGGCCGGATCTCGATCTCATCGCCTAGTTTGAGCACTCCAGTTAGGATACTGCCACCGGCGACACCGCCGCGGAGCTCCTCGATCTCCGCACCGGGCTTGTTGACGTCGAAGGACCGGATGATGATCATATGTGGGGCGGCTTGGAAATCGCGGACGGGCACCGGGATGTGCGACACAAGATACTCATTGACGGCGTCGATGTTGTATTTCAGCTGGGCAGAGATGGGGATGATGGGTGAGCCGTCCGCGACAGTGCCGCGGATGAATTTTAATATCGACTGGTAGTGTTGTAGGGCACCGTCTTCGCGCATGAGGTCGACTTTGTTTTGGAGGATGATGATGTGGTTCAGTTTCATGATTTCGATTGCGGCCAGATGCTCTGATGTTTGTGGTTGTGGACAGGTTTCATTGCCGGCAATCAGGAGTAGAGCTGCGTCCATGACAGCTGCTCCTGAAAGCATAGTGCTCATGAGAATGTCGTGTCCGGGGCAGTCAACAAAGCTTGGGTGAATCATCCGTTAGCCTTGGAATTTATATAAGAGTAGTAGTAAAGATAAAAAAAAGGAACTCCCATGTGAGTCAAAATAAAACTTACGAAACGTGTCTGAGAAGGCGATATGTGCCTGTACATCCCTCTCTTTCGCAAGGAGGGTCCACTTCCTTTTCACTCTTGAAGCTCCTATAGCAGCCCGGGCGGGGACACTCCTCATTGTCACATTTGTAGACCTTGGCGTTGGCATAACCCAGCTTGATGGTAATATTTCTCTCCTGCTCATTCTTGAATCTGACTGTCTGTACACCAGAAATAGCCTTCACCACCGTCGATTTGCCGTGTGCGACGTGCCCAATGGTGCCAATATTGATAGTCGCTTGCCGTGCGATGATCTCAGGTGTCAGTGGCGTTAGGGTGGACAGGTCCAGAGTCTGAGGGTCTGGCTGTTCTGGAAGCTCGGGTTTCTTCTCTGCGGCCATCGGAGGCAGAGAAGATCGTTGCTTCATGGCGGATTTGAGGGACTGGCTGTCATGGTCTTGATCGAGGGGTTCTTGGTCCTCGATGTCGTCCGCGTTATTGGCGTTGCCAATTACGGGAGAGCCTGGTTGGGAATCGTCGTCAGAATAGTCACTATGCGTAGCCATGGTGGCGGTTTAATATTCGATAGCCTAGCTTATAGTTGTTGTTGCGGTTGTCTGAATTTGCAGGCCTGGGTTGATCGCCGAGCGGGGAGGATGGATATATTGCTTGAAGGTATTTTTTTTGGCGAGAACCTTATCTGTGGGGTGCCGTCGGAATGTCTCTCAGGTTGAAGTGGGGGAGGGTATATTGCTTCCCTTCTGCTGCAACTGGCAAACAGAATAAATGTACGCGGAGTGTGAGAAGCTCCTAAAAAGCGCGAAGATAGGCTCAGGTGTGTATGGAGTCTGGCGTCTGGATGTTGAGATCTTATATCTGTTGTCGCCCGTTGTCAATTTTTCCGCAGTGAGATCAGATTGGTCACGTGTCCAGCACTCTGACTCATCAACCCTAAAAAGGTAGCTATTCCGTATGCTGAAGAAGACTCTAGCTTTCAAGGCTCTTGTACTTATGCATATTGTATTGTCTGGGTAAAGAAATGGTGATTTTTGATGAATATGTAACAGTAACACTATACTAAATTGGTATTGTTGTGATGTGGTACTCGTAGTACACTCAGACATAAGATCGAAGGCTTCTCTTTTGCCTACTATACACAGTAAAAACAACTTCGATATAACGAGGGGGCATGTGCATGTGCATCATATTAATCCTCATTCTCTGAACCACTGCTATCCTCTTCGTTCCCTTCTCCTCGCCCCTCGTCACTCTCCGAAATATCACTTTCATCCAACTCTCCCGCAACAGGCGCCAGCATAACAAACGCCTTCATGCATGTGATCCGGTTGCTAGATTCATACGTGCCTAGAAGCTTCCCGACTTGAGCCGCGGCGGAACTGGCACTGGCACCGGCACTGTCGCTTGTAGACGAGATTCCATTTTTCTGGCTCCTTGAATCCGATTTGGCCTTTTTCTTTCCAGACGATCCATCTTCAAGAGCTGCTGGGAACTCAGTCTCATTCAACATCCACAATTTTACAGCACCGTCGCTGCTGCTGGTGACCATCAGGAACGTTTTGTCGTTATTCCATCCTTGAGCTTTTATAGGTAGGGCTTCGAAATCTTTGATGCGGCTTGCTTGGCCGTGGTCTTTACCTCCTAATTGTGCTATTAGTTGCGCTGCCGGGAGGGAGGGTTTGGTAGCATCTTTATTAGACTCTGCCGTGCTTGGGGGTTGTGCATTAGTTTTGGTAGAGTAAAATAGAATTCGCCCATCCTCGGTTGATAATGCGAGTAGTTCCCGTTTATTTCCACTGGACATGCCTACATCGATGTATTTCATCTGATGAAACTTGGTTCGCGGTGAAGGGAGTAATACCCGCGTGGGCACAGAGTCCTGTTTATCAATAATTAGTAAACAGGCCATGAATACCAACTGACATGGATGTATATATGTGTGTTTTGTGTGTGCGTGGGACTTACGATTCCAAATACCACAGCCCCCCTTTCAAACGCAACGGTAAATTCTTCTCCCTCCGAGTCCCATGATATCCGCCGCCCCTCTCCGCTGCTATATTTCCCCTCCAAGACGGATTCCAGAATCTTCCTATCGAAATTCAACACCCCAGCTTTCTTCCCGGTAACTAAATTCCACAGACGCATGCACTTTTCTCCTCTCCCCACTGTGAGCATGAGTTTCATGCTAGGATGCACGGCGAAATCATTTACACCTGCAGGAGCACCCCCGGGAGGGGCAGTATCCCCGCTGGGCCTCCCTTGTACCTTTGGTCGGGGAGCCTTTATGGTCGAAACCACAGACCAGTCCCTGGTTCTCGTGACAGCTATTGTATTATCCTCAGCAGCCGATAGCAACTTTGAGCGGGAGGGGAAATACAGAGCTGTGATGGCGGAGGAGTGGTGAAGTAGGGAGCCCAACTCGCGATTCTTGGGGTTTTCGAGGATCTTGTTTCCTGCCAACGTTGGAATTGTGGGGAACTTGGCGCTGTCCGATGCTGAGGGCGGAGATGCGGATAAAGTGTATAGGTTGACGCGTTCATCGGTACCACCGCTGGCCAGCACGACCTTCTGCGGCCCGTCTGGTTGTGAGGAAGTTTGTTGTTTTTGCTCTGGCAGCGGTCCCAGGGCTAGACATTTGATTGCAGAGGCGTGGGCTTGGAATAGGAAGTTGTCGACGAATTGGACTGTCTGGGCTGATTCATCGTCAGCGGATGGGTTGGAGACAGTCGCAGTTATCCCGTGCAATACTCTTTCGTATGATCCTGTGATAATCTGGATGGTAACTGCGCCTGGCGTTTGTGTCCGTTGATGTGAAGCAGGGTCCTGTTTCTGGGAATTGGTGTTGACGCTGGAATCAGCATCAGCATCAGCATCAGAATCTGCCTTCATAGTTTTCCTAGCTGCCTCCTGTCTCTGCCCAGCCTCGTCTCTCTTTCGTTTCGCCATGGGAGAAGACAATTATCGAGTCGAGATAGCTCGGTGATAGAGAGATATTGGTAGATATTATTAGGCAACCTGGAGACCAATTAGTAAAATAATACACCATAATAAAGGCATATACGCAAAAAGCAAAAGAAAAAGCAAAAGCAAGCCTAACTTTTACCTATATACCCGTGGTTGTGCCCAGTTTATTGTTAGCTAAAGTGGAACTATTTAACTCATATCCTGTTCATGTCAGTCTGGAAAAAAAATATATATATATATATATATACATAAAAAAATAACCCGCTAAAACTAAGCTTCGTGGTGTTGGAACGCCCGGGTAGACTGCCAGGTACCTGGTCCGCCAGCAAGTTTAGTACCAGCGCCCAAGTACCAGTCCCAGCGTTTGCCCGCGCCTGCTGACTACGACCTGCCGCCAATTGTTACTGCTACCACTGCTATTGCTGCCTCGTCTCGGTTTTTCTCGCTCCCAACCTCCACCACTCACCACTAAGCAGCCCTCACCAAACCGACCAGACTCACCACCCGCCCGCGTCGTCCCAACACCCTCACTCTTCCATCACAACGCCATCTCTTTCATCCATTCCGAGCGATTTTTCTTGCTTGTATGCCCTCGTTACCCTATACCTCCCGCTTTCTGCGCGTAAATCGGATGTTGGCTGCCCGAGATAGGCTCGATGCTCCGTGACGAGCTGCTACAGTCCAAGCACGATGAGATCGCGTATGTATTTAATTATTCCAACCGACCCAAAACTCTCTCTGTACTCAAATAACTTGGAATAATCGCTTACTGTAATTTTTAAGACGTTGTGTGTCGTCGCGGAAGCGCAAACTGAGCGAGCTCTATTTTGCGACCGTGGGCTTTCCTGGTGCGACCGATGGCTCCCCCCAACACCTCCAATACCAGCAGAGGGAACAGGAGTTCCTCGACGCCAACGACATTACGAAGTATGTCCCTTTGTTCCATTCTACTCCTACACTCCTTGTATTTCCATTATTACTGTCGTGTATATATATTCTGACTATTTCACTTGTGTTGTAGGGGTCGTTTGTTCAATGAAGGCACCCTTCCTCGCCGACCGGATGTCGCACCTCTCCAGGTTTCTCCAAGGGACGATAAGCTCAACCAGGGATCTCTAAGTGCAAGTGCAGCGGATCGCATTACGGATAGCCATAGACGTAAACCCATCTTTTCGCCCGTTAGGATCGCTGTCTCGTCTCCAAAGTTGCCTTCCACAGGTACCTATACAGAAACGGGCTCTCAGGATATCTTTCGACCTCAGGATCACACCCCAACTGGAACTACGGAGTCTGTGGCAGTCCAGGCCAGCTCTGGAGAATTGGACATACCGCAAATAACACCCAGTGCGTCTCACGATGCCATACGTGAGAAGGAGGTTTCGTCACCTGCATCAACTCAACAGACCATCGCCGCTACTGTGACTCCTGTTACTGATGTTGATATGGATGAAGCCCCCGATGGCCAGGACAATACTGGTACTACCGAGGTACCCGCTCCAGAAAGCGACTTGCCTATAGGCTCTAGGAAAACCGTGGCTGAGATCCAGGATAATGCTACGGGTGCGTCGCTGCCCACTTCGGATGCCCCTGAACGTCAGCATGGGAAGCGCTCTGGCAATGACTTGCCTTGTCTGGCTACCGATGCATCTCCCAAAAGTACTGACCAGCCTCTATCTCCAGCTTCTTCTCGTGGTCAATTATCAAGTACTACCTCTGTATCTGATAGAACGCCAGCCACCAGTCCAGCGAAGGAGCAGCCGCAGCGAGAGCCACAAAATGAATCTACGACACCTCCCAACAGCGGAAGAAGTATTCCAGTTCCCATGGTTACCGCGGATATATCAACTATTCGTAGAGCGCCAGCAACGCCGGATGAACAGCTGAAATTTGAAGCTGAGCAATCAAGCATACAACAAGCTGCCTCAAAGCCAACCAAAAACGCTCCGTACACGGGCTCTGCGTTTTCATCCTTCCAACTTACCCCAGAGAATTCCTTTTCCTCTCCAAAGAAACCACCGGACAGTCATAATGAACCCGATCTTTCCAAGTCATCCAAAACTTCTGTTGCTCCCGAAAATCGACCGTTAGTTAACGGTGCTCTTCGGCTCGATACAGAGGGAGTTAAACCAGAGCCCGTATCAAAATCCCATGAACCCCAATCAGCACCAGTAACTCTTGAGCTGCCAGAAGGCGCAGGTGGCTCACCGCTCCCCAGTGCAACCCGAAAGACCTCGACCTCAAGCGCGCCTACGCAGCCTCACTTCCAGCCGGAGCGTATGACTACCAGAGTTTCATCAGGGGCCATTCGCCATAGGTCTGTCTCTGAAATTCTAGGGGAAACTCCAAAATCCGCTATGGATAAGACTTTTGATAAGGCTGTATCAGAATCACCAACCGCCACGTCTGAAAACTCTCAGGTTCGTTCTCGCCCAAAGAACAAAAGAGAAAACCAAAAAGAGCGAAGCAAGCTCTCGACCGTAGTTTTCCCCAAGCAACAGTCTGCAGCTGAGAAGAACGAGTCGGCAGACTTGGTTCGGACTCCTTCAGGACATACCAGGTCTCTGAATGAAGAAAAGGATTATCTCTTCACGCTTTTCCAGGCAAAAGCCCACTATCCTCCTCGCAGTATGCACCTTAGCTCTCTCCTCTCTACCGCCCACAAAACCCTTACAACCGCAAACCACTTCGTTGAGTACCAAGAGCAGATGGACTGTCGGTCACTAAAACGAATATACCAACTACAACATGCCAATCGATGGCCCCTTCGTCAACTACAACGATCTGCAGAACCCGAGCGCTCAGGAACTCACTGGGATGTTCTACTGGATCATATGAAATGGATGCGTACAGATTTTAGAGAAGAACGGAAATGGAAAATCGCGGCTGCGAAGAGATGTGCAGATTGGTGCGCCGAATACGTTAGTAGTAGTGATGGACGGAGAGCGGAGCTGCGTATACCAGCTCGAGTGCCACCAGCGACTAGTAAGATAGAGGAAAGTGGCAACCACAAGACTACCCCATCATATAGTGACGACCGAGTCGATGACTCTCTACCCCATTCGCAACCGACACCTGACCTAATTTCGTCTATGGAAGATGATTCTGTCAGCGAAGGTTTCAACGATGAAGTCCATCCAGATCTGTCTGATGGTGTTGTTCCGGCGGCAATATTTTCTCTCGGTTCCGATGAATTTACATTTGGGATGGAAAGGACCCCTGCTTTCGAAAAGATCCTAGAAGAGCTCCCGCTTTATATTCCTATCAACATTTCCTCGGAAACCAATTTACCGCAGTTTAAACGCCCACCGGACTCGTCCTGGCGAAAAGAGTTGTTAGCCGTTTCCAAATATGCCACGGGCAAACTTGAATTCACCAGCAAGCAGCCACCTCGCAAACGAAGCCGATATGATTACTCTGATAATGATGATGATGTTGACGTTGATGCCATTGAAATACCCCCTGAGCAAACTAATGTTGCCCTCTTCCAGCCGCAAAATAAGCATATACGTGATCGTATCCATCCTGGGCAGGTTTTCCGACCTCCTACCGAGTTCCTGATGCCCTCCCTAGGTTTTTATGAGTCGCGACAACCTTCACAGTGGACATGCGCCGAAGAGGACGAGCTTAAGAGGATCGTCAAAGAGTACTCGTTTAATTGGTCCCTCATATCGGCCTGCCTGACTCCCCCCTCGCTATATACGTCGGGCGCGGATAGGCGGACCCCGTGGGAGTGTTTTGAAAAGTGGGTTCAGTTAGAAGGGCTTCCCACAGAGATGCTGAAGACCCCCTACTTTAGAGCGTACACTTCTAGAGTGGAGTCGGCGCAGCGGGCTGTCCTTGCAGCTCAGCAGCAGCAGCAACAGCAGGCACAAGCGCAAGTTCAGGCTCAGGCGCAGGCGAACCCCCAGCGACAGGGTAGCAATCCACCGCCAACACCAACAGCAATTCTTCGGAGACGGCCTACAACCCCAATGAGAGTAGAACGGAAACGATCCGTAAGACACTTGACACTCCTTGATTGCATGAGGAAATTATCCAAGAAACGGGAAACATTGCTTCAGAAGCAGCAGCATGGTATGCACTTCCTTTTATTCCAAAAACCATGCTCGCATTATGGCGAGACAGATAATTCGAAACTTTGTGTGCTTGTGCTAACTCTAGCTGCCCTCTTCTTCCTCAATAGCTACCCATTTGGCAGCATCGCGAAAGCTTAACGAAGTCAATCAACCACGACCTCCAATATCGACGCCGGCAGAGTTCAGTCGCTTAAAGCATGAGCGGGAGCTGAAGATCCAAGAGAACCAGGAGCAATACAAGCAGGCAATGATAGCACAGCGAGTAAGTCCTATCACACAGTCGTTAGTCCATTTCCTCCTTTTCCTAACCGACTTGTGTCTTAGATGGCAATGGCGCACCGTGTTGCACAACAACAGCAGGCACAACATCAGCAACAACAGCAACAGCTCCAACAACAGCAGCAACACCGGCAAATGCCGAACCAGCAAGCTTTGCTTAATGGTATACCTCCACGTAATACTGCTAGTGCGCCTCCGAATGGTGTTATGCAGGGCATACCAGCCCCGTCTGGTCTTCCTAACGGTCTACCAGTCAGTGCGGCTCTGGCTCAATCCCGACCCCATCCCGGCATGCAGCTGCCAACTGGTGCTCAGGTCAATGGAATGCCAAATCCTGGAATGGGACTAAAGATGATTCCCCAACCTGGTATCCCGCAGGCGATGAATGGACGCCCAGGTATACAAACCCAAGCGTCTTCGGACAATGCACGTATCATCCGTGAAGCCAGTCGCGTGCAAGAGGAGCAGCAACGTATGGTACAGTCACGTCAGCAGCAGCTTCAAAACCAACAACAGTCATTCATTCCTCAAGGGCCACATTCGTCCCCGAACATGAGCATGGGAAATATGAACGTGAATCCCAATAATCCCGCAATGCTAACATTCCAAGCCGTGAGCGGCGTCAACAGCCCTTCTTTCCACGCCTCCTCTCTTGCCCAGGGTGTCTCTACCGCCTCTCCCCGACTCAACCATGCCAACGTTCTCGCAAACGCAGCTGCCGGGCTCCCGACTCTTGTCAGCATCCAAAATACCATCCGGAGAACCAACCCAAACATGTCACAGGAGCAAATCACCAAACTAGCCACCGAACGTCTCCAACACATCCAACAACAGCGCATGTCCCAAGCAGCCATGAACGCAGCCGCCGGCAACACCATGGGCTCCATGCAAACTAGCTACCAAATGCACCATGATGGCAACATGCACCAACTCTCGCACGCGAACGTGCCGAACGGCGGCGTGCCAGCTTCGATGCAGACACTCCAGCAGACACAGGGATACTCGCCCTTGATGCGCGTAACGCAAACTGTGCAGCAGCCGAACCGGATGGGTGTAAATGGATCGCCGGCGATGAATGCGGCCATGGCTGTGCAGCAGGGTCGAAGTGCGACCGCACAGGCTCATCGGAGTACAGGTGGCCAGGGTGGGCATGGGCCTGGCCCGGTTCCGGGTCCGGGACCTAGTCCCGGCGGGGTTTCGGGTTCTGGACAAGGTTCTGGTGTCGGTCCTGGTCCGGGGAAGAGCCCTCGCCCGCCTCAGGCGCAGATGGCATCGAGCTGAATGAATTATTGATGTTCTTTAGAAAAGAAGCATTATCTCCCTTCCCAGAATCGTTGGGTCGTGATGGCCGGGGTTTTCATACATACCTTCATATCTACCTACCTACCTCATATATCTCGTTTTCTCCACTCTAACCCTCACCCCCAGTCACATAGATCTTTCTCCCACATTCTTGTACATATAATTAACGAGGGTACCTTTGTTTCCCCGCGCTACGCCCCCTGCTATCCCCGCCAACTAAAAAAATCCCTCCACAACCACCCTTGCCTCGTTGATATTCTTCTTTTCAACTCTTTTCCCTTTTATCTCGATTTACTTTTTATAATTATGCGCCGTTGAAAGGGAAGCAGGCGAGCCGGAATTGTTTCTTTTTCTTCTTTTTAGTTTTTCTCAAAGGGCTAGGTTAGGTATGATATCTTATTATTGGGTGGTGGGCTTTGTCTACGCGTTTTGATTTTCATTTTGTTTTACTATACTATTTGTCTTAGTTTTAAGTCATCTTTTCATCCTACTTCTACTCCTACTCCTGCTCTTCTCTTCTCTTCTCTTCTCATTTTTTATTGTTTGTTATTTTGTGCGTGGCTCTTATGACAGTCTTGTATTTGTATTGATAGAAGGCCCTTTCTATGGTTCCTTTTTTCCCCTTCATTGTGAAGGCATGTGAGGTGAGGCAGGTTGTGTTCCGCCCATAACATGTTCTCTTTTCTAATGGTTTGGATTCATTGCATCGCTTAGGGGTATGGATGGGTGGTTGATGGAGGGGAGAGGGGTGGAGGTTGGCGGGGTAAATGAAATGATTGAGGCATGAGAGAGGTAGGGGAAGCGAGAGTAGTAATGCGATGATTGACAGGATTGATGTGACGTGGACCTGAAATAAAAACCTCGTCTTTTGCTACGTGGTGCATTTTTGCTTGGTTTTGATGTTTCTGCTACATAATTTTTTGCAAGTTTCCCCGCATCCCAAAAAGCATTGCTCATGGTGTAGTATGTTAAGAGCCGGAGGCTGAAATAGAATAATCTAAATGCGGAGAAAGGGGGTTCACGCAATGGGAAGTGTATAGCTAGCGATTTTGCAATTTTTTAATTACTGGAGGCCTGGAAATAATCGATATTTTGTCTGAAAAAAGCCTAGCTTGTCTCACGCTTGCCGCGTCTATTTGACGCCACCATTGCTCCACTCCAGCGGCATTAACAAAACTACTGCGCACCCATCACAGCGCCAATTCAAACTCCCACGAAACTCCTATGACATACCAAACAGCCTAACTCAGTATTTCCTTGGTTTTCTTTTTTTTTTCCCCTCATCTCTTTTCCAGACGAGGCTGCCATATTCCACTCCTATCGCAGCCATGTCTTCTGGGGACTCCAACCCCAACCCGAAACCCAAACCCTTCTCCATATCGCTCTCCTCCACTTCGCAAAATAAGAAGCTATCCCCACCATCTTCGACATGTCCTACCAAATCCACAAATGGCCCCTCCTCCAAACCCACAGCTGAATCCCTCCCCCGCCGCCCCCGCACATTCCAAGCCCATGACTCCGATAACGATGACAGTAGTATCGAAGGACCCGTCGTGGAAGAAGTGACGGGCTTCGACCGTGAAGCTGGTGGCGCCATAAGTGCCCATAGACGCGCAGAGCAGGAGAAGAAACCCCTTGTTATTAAAGTTGAGAGCAAGAATAATTGGCAGGAGAGGCCGTGGCAGCGGAAGAGGAAAGGGTTGAATTTGTTGCCAGCGGAGGTTAGGGCGCAGAGAGAGGCGGAGGCGAGCGGTATTGCTTCTGCTGATGCGACGAGAGAGGTTGAGGGCCCGAGTATGAAATTTGGGCTGAGCCTTGCAGAGAAATCGGAGGGAGCGGGGGGAGATGGCGATGTGAGGATGGCGGACGCTGGTACTGTAGAAAAGGAAATGGAAATGGAGGACAAACAGCCGGACGGGGAGGAGGAGGTACCGCAAAAGCCCTTAACGCAGGATGAGATTGCGATGCAGGCTCTTATACGTGAGAGCAAAGGGGACGGCGGAGAGCCAACGAGGCGATCAGACCTTGTTATCTCGGGGAAGAGGAAAGTGCGGGATGGGGATGAATATGAAGGCTATGGTGGGGAAGAGGAGCGGTTCGATGAGACGAAATCATTCCGTGCTGATGTTGCGTCGCGGCCCGAACCGGCTAGTTTGGCGGCCTATAGTGCCATTCCTGTCGAGGAGTTTGGGGCCGCTTTGCTACGAGGTATGGGATGGAAAGACGGAGAGCCTATTGGCAGGGGCAAATATGGAAATACGAATGCGAGGGCTACGAAGCCTCGCATAACAGAGAGGAGACCTGGGTACCTAGGCATCGGAGCCAAAGAACTTCCGGGGAATGATAAGAGCGGCAGTGGTTCTGAAGTTGAGTTGGGCGCTTGGGGGAAATCAGCCATGATGAAGGCTAAGAAGCCTGGTGAAGGTCTTTATACCCCTGTCCTCATGAGGAACAAGAAGACGGGGGAGATGATAACGCAGGAGGAGTTTAATCGACTGGTTAAGCACAGCAGATCTGAAGGGACCAAGAAGGGCGCGGAGGATAGCTGGCGTGAAAGGAGGGACAGGAATTTGCAGTTGCATGGGAGAGATAGAGGTCCGGATCGAGATCGTCGTTCTGAAAGGGATGATGATTTCAGTAGCGAAAGCGACGATGGGTATAAACGTCGAAACGGGAGTGGAACATCCGGAGATAAAGACGGAGCCAGAGATAGGAGGAAACGATATAAAGATCGTGAAGCGGATGCAATTGACAGTGGGCTGGATGATCGGTACCACGGGGACCGCAGAAGTGACCATAGCGATCGGGATCGGAAATACAGAGGTAGCAGGAAATCATACGATGACGATTATGATTATGGCGGTGACTACAGATCCCGGCCTTCATCTTCAGCATCTGGACCTGATCGCTCTGCAGCCAGAGACTCGCGTCGGGACAGGGATAGGCCCTCGACAAGTGACAAAAGGGACCGCTATGATAGAGATAGAGATGACAGCAGGAAGAGTCGGTCGCGCCGTGAGGAAGTGTATTAAAATGCATACATAGATACCCACTTAAAAGTTTCGGTTTAGCTTATTTTGGATGTAATATAGAAAATGTCCATGCAACAATAACGGTACATACGAAACTCTTGCGTTCCTATATTATATAGGCTAAAATTCGTTTATAATTCCCCTTTTTAACTCCTTGCATCAATGGACATCCCGTTGCCCGTCTAATTTTCAGTAATGCCCGCGAACATTTAAAAAGCCAGCCTTCTATATATAATAATACATCCAAAAGGCAGCCCAACTCACACCCCGGCCATAATAACATCTTGGCCTTGTCCCATCTCTCCCCCTCCATTCAGGAACCTTCCGCCGCCAATTCCCCCATTCATCTCCCCAAGAACCCATTCCACGAGATAACTTTCATCCACAAGCTCCTCAATCCTCTTATAATGCCGTTCCGTATATGCTACCAGCGTATCCAGAATCTCTTTCATAGATTGCGGCCTATATTTATTCCGACCACCTTGTGGCGCCGTGTGGCGGTAGTTGGCTAATTCGATAAATGTCGACGGTGGGTACGACTTGGATAGTGCGTATAGAATGCGCTGTGCCACGGGAGCAGTTCTAGCATTGGTATTCCAGTCTCGAACACGCAAGAGGAGCGAGTACAGATTATCTTTGTCGAGGGATTGAAGAACGGTGTCGATGTCTGGATTTCCGGTAAGACTCTCCTTTTCCGTTTCGCTATCTGCGATCCGTGATCCATCCATAGCGGCAGTGAAGAGGGATAGGAGACGGGCGGGATGGTTTAGCTGTAGCGCCAGAGTAATGGCTTCGCGGTACGCACCGGCATGTATGTAGTTCTGCAGCTGTTGGTCCTGCTCAATCCGCTCGGTATTTGCGTTTACTGCAGCAGAGAGCGTGGCGGAAGTGGTGTCTTTCCAGAAGGTGACGACTGAGTCTGCTCCGCCGGATATTAGAGCGAAGCCGTGACTATCAGCGGTGGGTTTGTCGGTCGAGGCTGTGGAGGGCGTTGCCAGTGCCCAGACACGGTCAACGTGGTTATCAAGGGTGGTCTCTATTTCTCCGCTGTATGGGGACCAAATCTTGACTAGGCCATCCGCACCGGCTGAGGCGACAAGAGGATGGACCTGAACCGCGCCGCGCGAGGATATGTCTTCATTGTCACTATCAATTAGTGGTGGGGGTAGCCAGAGCAGTTTGAGAACACTGTTCGTATGTCCTTCGAAAGTAAGGAGGCAGCTGTAATCTGACAGGCTCCAGAGTTTTATGGTCTTGTCTGCTGAACCAGTTGCCACGACACCTCTACTAGTACTAGTGCCTGAATCTGATGTTATGACTGGGGTATCTTTAGGGGCGAACCGGATAGACCAGACCCCTCGCTTGTGGCCACGGAGGATTCCTAGAACGGAGCCATCTTCTACAGACCATATTTTCGCGGTGCGATCTTGGGAAGCAGAAGCGAAGAGAGTGGAGGAGTAGTTGACATCAAGCGCATTGATATCTTTATCGTGCGCTTTCCGGGTATACAGCGCCTTCGGCGCGTTGGTGTTAAGACTTTTGGACGCGGATAGTTTAGACGTATCCCATCGTTTGAGGGTGCGGTCTTGAGATCCAGTGAAAAGAAAGGGAGGAGGATGGCTCAGTGGATCTTGGAAAGCGAGAGAGTTCGGTGGAGGTGGAGCCCGGGGAAATGCAATAGCACCTAGTGATTCTGCGTGGCCGGTAAGGGTAGCAAAGCAGGTAAAGGAGGATGATTCGGTATCGATACGCCATAACCGTGCCGTATTATCTTTGGCACCCGTCGCCAGCCAGCAACCTGACCAGTCGACATCCAGACATATAATAATATCTTCGTGCCCTTCTAAGTGCCTGACTTCCGCTCCAAAATAATCTTGCTCTTCTCCAGGCTGCGAGCCTGTAGAATATTGCTTGTTTGTGGATACGATTCTAATATACTCGGTATTGGTAGCCAAGGCCACCAATGATCGATCGCGGCCAACACAAGCCAAGTCAATAACCTCATCGTCGTTTCCAGAAATTCTGCGTATTATAGGTAGGGGGTCGATCTTCGTACTGGGCTTTAGAGACAGAAGGGGTTCAATAGAATGTAGTCTCAAGGTCTGATCCGCATGAATCGTCATGACCCAGGGCAAATTTGGAGAGTATTCGCACGCGATTATGCCTTCCTGATCTTGGCCCGGATCCTGGTCTTTTGTGACTTCGCTCCCTCTGCTTGGGTCCCATATCCGCAGTCGGCCATTTTCTCCACCAGTGTAGCAGAGCGATTCATCGGACAGAAAGCCTGCTGCCTCAACACTTTCAAGCGCTGGAATGATTCTTCGGGTCTTCCAGGTTCTAGCATCCCACATAATCAATGTCTTATCGCGACTGGCAGACAAAAGCGCATTCTCGGAAGGAGAAAACGAGAGGCTGCGCACAACAGAAACGTGTGACTCGAGTGACGCAATGGTTTTTCTTTTGTGAAGATCCCATACTCGGATTTTCCCATCTTCGCTACCAGACGCAAGGCGGAATCCCGCGGTAGAGGGGCCAAAATCTCCATGTCTGGAGTTATTGCTATCGTATGTGGACTTCGATCCTTTACTTTTCCTGTTACTAGAGAGTTCATCGGCAGCATTGGAGCCTGCTGCCTCGAAGAAACATAGGGCAGATATCACCCCTCCATGACCATGGAAAGTGTGTGTAGCAAATCCACGTCGTATATCCCATATTTTAATTGACCCGTCCGAACTGCCGGTGGCCAACAAGGTGCCAGTCACATCGATGGCTGAAGTTACTACGGGCGAGGTATGGGGTTTGAGGGTTCTGAGTAGCTCCACCTGTATAGAAAGGGAGGGTTCCGCCAATTGTACTAGGGAGTAAATCCGCATTGACAACGATCGCGAGCAAATTGCTAGGTGTGATGCTGACGGGGTTACTAGATACAAATTTAGCAATGAATTTAAAGCAAGGATTTAACCAGGAGAGCATACTTGATACACTCGTAATCACCTCTCCATCCTATTGTAGCAATTCGCATTCGTCAGTGATGGACTAGGTTAGAATATCTGCGACCAACTTACTCCCTCAATCGTCGCCAATTGTGCGCCAGTGCTTAGATCTGTAATCAGAACATCTTCGCCAACACACGCTACCAAAAACCGGCCGCTTGCGTCGAGCGAAACACTCCCGCCCGTATAAATGGGGCGGATTGTGTTCGCTACCTCAAAGGTCGTTTTAATATTGATTTTCGACATCGTGAGGGGCTGGTTAATGAAAGAAAATTTTAGATCAACATTGCTAAGGTAAAGGAAAGGCAGACTATCACTACGACGTTATAGTCTGAGGATGGTATGTTCCGATACGCGAAATGGCCGATCCCCGGACTTTGTTCATGTTTCGCCTGCTCAAAAAAAAAAAAAAAAAAAAAAAAAGCTATCGCGCCAAAACTAAGTTCGCAGGCCCGTGTATTTAGCCGCCATAGCCGCGTCTCGAAAGATCGCGGAGCCGCACAACGTTGACAACCCAATATCGCAACATTTACACATTTTACGACACACAAAGCCAGCAGTCTTAAGCTCTGGCAGTTCACATCTATGCTTAGACATCTAGGCTATATTTATAACTCGCCCGGTGACTAAGGATTTTCTTTATGCGGTGCTCATAAAACGCCGCTCTTTCGCCTTCACGGCCAGCTGCTTATCATGGGGAGGCAACCCTATATGAACTTGCTTGCGCTGGTATGTCGCTCTGGCGCCGCTTGATGTTTTACGAGGCCTGCTCTTATAACTTGTTCTGTCAATACCGTGCTCATTTACTGTGCAGCATTTGCAATTCTTGTGCTCCCCATAAATTCACATTTTACGTGCATGTTTGACAAATCAGCTCATTACATTTAATTTGTTTCTTCTTGATAATCCGTAATTTTCATTTCATGACTATTATAATTGAGTTTATTCTATTTTACTAATATTCAAAATAGGGGAGATCACCTTATGAGGCACCAGAGACGCCTCCCCAGGGCTACGTTGCTGCAGAACCTCGCGCTGAAGATAGCATCAACGCGGATGGTTATGTTCAGGAATATGATGCGAGAGGCCACCCTATCAATCCGGACTCAAAAGCCCTAGCTAGACAGCTTCGAAGGGCGAAAAATGACATCCTGTCTACCATGGGAATCGTGGTGAGCGGCGAGGATGGCAGCCTAGGAATATCAAAAGAACGGCAACGGATGAATCTCCTATCATCGGAAAATGATTATGGTCTTGCCATGGCGACAATAGATCAGGTTGTGATGTTTTTCTCATCGTGGTGGACAACATCACTGGCTGCGCGCATTCAGGTATTATTCATACCGCTTTTGCGTTGGAGATTTAGATACTTTAAGACTAATAGCGAAAATCTAGACATTTAAACGATATACCCATGTTCCATTTCTACAAATCATTCGCCTAGAACGCCACAAAGTCGGACTTTTTGGATTCTACGCCGCTGGCATTCCAGCCTGGACGGTGTCGTTTATTGTCTCAGTTTGTCGAAATCACTTTCTCGAACCCGCTTTAGACTACATTCATGGAAAGGTTTCCTCATTGTTTGATAACGATGTCTATAAATCTGCGATCTGGCATACTTTTAAGGGCCTTCAATTAAGGTATCTACCTACTTCTTATAGATGAAGTTATATCTCATTTACTAAGAATCCATAGCTGCAAATTGGGACTTTTTGTCGTACTCGGACAAACTTATATGTTTTCGCTGTTACAATCACTTCATATTCTGCCCGCACTTGCGGTCCCAACGCTTCGCTCACTTCTTCCCTTCGGTCCCGCCTCGTTAATCCAACTTCCACCCTTACCAGCAAGATTGTCTGTAGCTGATATCGGAAACTTTAGTTTTGGACTTCTCACTGCTCCATTTACAGTGTTGTATATGTATGTTTACCTTCGGCCTGTAATAGAGTCCAGAATTTATCGTATCCTACGACGGAAACTACCCAAACCAGACCGCCCTGATAGCCTCTCGCTCCGCGTTGCGGCGGAAAATGACCTGATTGAGTGGACGGTGCCATCGCTTGGAAGGCGGTCCGATGAGGAATACCATCGTGGCGATCTTACCATTAGCGAGGAACTCAAATACGAATTACGCATCTTCAAAAATTGGATTTTGGGTATTTTTGGTTTGAAAATTGAAGAGTCGTCTGATGCGAGAGCTAGACCACGCTCGACATCTCACTCACTCCAGAGTAGGCTCGAGCAGCTTAGCCGTGATTTCGATACGAGCATGGCCCCCTTTCGTGAGGAAACATCTCAACCCGACGAAACCTTAGTGAGTTCAATACAAGCACGGGGTGAACAGCTCTTAAGTGGCCATGTCGAAGGAGCTCGGCCAAGATCCCCGACTCCAGATGCTACGCCGCAGGAAGAGTTTGGCACAAACCAGATCTTATCCGGCGATGAGCAACGTATGTCACAGTCCCCCCTCCAGCTCACAGACGCCTACTTTGACCAGGACGACCCATCTCAAGGTAGGCCGGGAATGGAAGAAACATTCAGGATGGATCATTCTACATCTCCCCACCGGTCCCAAAGCCAAGGACCTGAAGAATCGCATCGTCATCATTTCCATTCACGCTCCAATACTCTGTTCTCCCATCCCTCAACTCCCGAATCATCCCCCCTTGCATCACCCCGTGTAAGGGCATCGCTGGTGCACCAGAATTCTGACGTAATAACTATGCAACTCGAACTTTTACGGAGTAATCATAACTCCCCGTCTCACACTCGAACAAATTATGACAACGATTCTTTAGCTGGCCCTGACCTACAAGCAGGAATCACCTTGAGCGAAGCCGAGCGTGCGACAGCCAGAATACTTGATGAGGTTTTATTAGGCCATGGCGCAGCCCAAGCAGACGCCCTCCACCTCGCTAATCAACCATCTGATCAAAACGCGACCCTACAACCAGGCCACGTAGCCGCTTTAGAAGAATTGACCGACATATCCAACCACACGAACTTGGAAAACAACGAACAAGCGCTATCCGCGCGTCCTACTACAACCACCGCTACCCATGAATCCCCTACCCTCCTCCAACCACTCATAGACGTTCCGGAATCCTCCTCCGCCCCAACCCTAGCAGAACCTGCCACAACCACTACCATAAATGACGAAAACAGAAGGCTCTCCCAGCCCCTTCCCACCCAGCTCCCACGCCGCTCCCGCTCTGATCGCCTCCTTGGCCCTGATCACCGAGTAACAATCCTCTCGTCACTTCCTGTCGACTCCCTTTCCTCCCACCTCGCATCCCTCCTAACCTCCGTCCTCTTCTACCCTCTTGAATCCATGTACCTACGCAACTTCGCGATACAGTTTTTGACGTCTCCATCCCTGCTCGCTGCGTTGCCGCTTACTGCCGGTGCTTCTACTGCCCTTACGCTGGGCCTGAGTGGTGATGTACGGAGTATCTGTGCGTGGTGTGGAGGAGGATCGAGAAAGGATATGATTGCGTATTTGGCGAAGATGGGCCTTGTGGTAGGCACGGAGGCATTGGTTAGTGTGGCGGTTTGGGGGATGGGGACAGCAGCGACGGTTATGCTTGGAACAAGGAAGTTTGGGTGGGGAGAATTGTAGAATTTTGATGGACGGATGGATAAATTCTGACTTTTGATCTACCCTTTATAATATGTACCACTATATAGGATTTTATTTTTATATATTTGAGCGTTATGCGTGGCAAACAGGCGATACAATTTATTCAAATTGGGCTAATTGGGGGCTGACAATGCTAAAATCCGTTTCAATGTCGGTTTCAGTTTCAGAATATTTGTATTTAATGTTTATTATAAAGATAGGGTTTGAATCTAGGTGAAATACTCGTTCGCGTAAGAAAAATGTTTGAAAATGGTAGACATTCAACATAAAATTACCCTCAAAAAGCGGTATAATTTACACCCCAAGATATACATATCTCCACGCGCTATGCGAGACAACCAACCACGCCAAAAGAACTGAAAATCCTCCATCTAAATGGACACATGGAAATGATTTCCGGACACATATAGCCCTATATAATACCATCCAAACCTAAACAAACCTACGTAGGAAACTACTACGCCTTTCCCTTCCCTTTCCCTTCCCCACCAACTCTCCTCCTCTCCCAAACCATTAAATACCCCTCGCGCGTAAAAAGAGTCTCACTCTCCGCTCTCTGCACCCACAAATCCTGAATCTCCAACCACTCCGGCCCCCTGTGCTGTTGCGCATGTGCATGCTCATTCTCCACACTCATAGCCTTATCATGCAATTGTATAAGCCAAGAAACCTTATCGTTGCCCGCACCCGCACCTGCGGTCGTCGCGGTCGAGCCAGCTGCGCCCCCTTTATTACCGGTAGATGCAGGGCCGGAGCTGGAGCTTTCGCTGCTACCGCCAACACCAGGTGCGGTGACTGTTGCGTCGAGGATGACGTTTGCGACTAGATCATACAATATGGGTTCGCCGGCCGGGTAGAGATCTGGATTAGGTTCGACGTACGGGGACATGTCGAGGGAACGTGGAGACGGGAAAGTAACGATAGTGGGGTTGCGCTCGGAGACGAATTTGTTTTTGCTGAAGCGCTTTATGTGGAAGAGGAGGTAGGGAGGTAGGGGGTGGAGCAGCCGGTGACGTACGCGGTGAGAGAGCTTCTCCGATGCGACGAGACCGTTGTACTTGTTCAAAAGGGTTGTGAGGGGTACTTGGGGGATGATTGATTCGGTGTTAGTAGATTGAAAGAGTGGGGTGGGGGGAAGGTCGAGGGTGAGAATTAGGAAAGGCGTAGTTTGGGAGGTCGTTTCCATAGATTCGGAGAAAACGAGGCGCGCGTTGGCGGCGTCTGAGCGGGCTGTTATAGCTTGACTTTCTATGCGGAGTTGACCCTGGAATGCGGAGTGGATTACGCTGGTTGGTTTTGGAGAGGGTTTCTTGGAGCCGCCCAGAGTGAGGTGGAGGTTGTTCAAAAACCAGGAGAGGAAGTCGACAGGGTCTGATTGTTGGGTTAGAGTGAAGCGCTTCGATGAGCGGAGGGCAACTTCTTGGAGTAACTCGTGCGGTGAAACATGAGACCTGAATGCGCGTGGATTCCATAATTTGCGTACTAGGATGCCAAAGCGGAGAGGGAGCTGGGGAGTTCCAGGAGTCGGGAATTGGTGGAGAAGGAAGAAGTTCCTGATGGGACGGACGTGCGCTAGGACTTGAACAATGACGTTTAAGTAGTCATTAGACTTGATATTATTCATTCCGACGTATCCTAAAATGTATCATTTTTCATTAGTCTTGTGTCCAGTATAACTGCCAAACGGAATCCAATATTACCTGGCCTGTATCGTTTGCCCGCCAGATCCCAAGCATCAATAACCACCTTGTCAAGCTTCGCAACCTCCTCCTTCTTATACTGCGGATCAACCACATATTTAATATCATCCAAGCTTCTGCTCTTAACCTCATATCCTTCTGGTAGAACGTACACCTTCTTCGTCTCCATATTTACAAAGACATGATGTCCAACATCGAGCGCATGGAAATAGGCATGCGACTTAGGTCCACGACCCTGATAGTACTTCCCACATACAAGGCAGGCATAGACGTTGATATTTGACAACGAGACGGAGCACTGCTTCTCGAAATCAAAATCCAGCACTGATCGCTGTATGGTATCTAAGTATAGGTCGCCGTAACCCTGTGTCGGCGCTGCCTGCCGAGTAGGGGCGGAAATCGCCGATTCCTCTTGCTCTTCGCCGGAATCGGGAGTTGCATGAATAGAACCTTCTTCGATCTCTTCCTCCTCTTGATCAGCTGCTGCTAAAATGTCCATTCCATTGCGTTCATCGTCTTCCCATCGTCGTTCGTGGAGCGGGCTGCGCAGAGCGCGTTGCTGCTGTGGTCGCTGCTCATCCTCTGCGTCTTCCACCCGTGGCCGTTTCGAGGTTGGGGAATCGACAGAAGATGCATCTTCTAGAGATGTCTCAGCTGGTCTTTTGGCCATTGTGTAAGTATCTGGTGAGCAGGAAATAATGTTGTTGCGAGTAAAAGGTTGATGAGAACTTTTGTTGCGGCTGTTTTGGTAGGTATTGGAGGTGATGCAAACAGAGCAAACATTTCAAGCGCGCGTCCCGTCCCAGGACTTGTCTCTCCGTCCGCTACGCCATATAGGTACAATTTTACAGATATGATACACACGAACTATAGAGTAAAGTCATGGGCCGCGATGGCAGTTAAAGGTCATTTCAAAGCAAAAGTCATTAAAAGAAGTGCTATGATACATCACATCGCCATTCAAAACAAAAATCAATATTCAAATCTATGCGCTAACAACTTGTTTACTGTTATCAAACGGCACTTCTTCGATCCCCTCTTTCTTCACAACCTTCACCAATACCTACAAAAGGAGGACTATCAGTAAATGCTCATCCAGCTTTGGGAAAAATAAGAAATGGAAAGGGATAGAGCAACATGGACGTACTCCTTTGAAGTCGATTGGTAATCTCCGCTTAAGTTCATCTGTGCACATCTCGAGAAGTTTCAAGCCCTGCTCCAGCGTGATATCGGGGTGATGGTGCTTATCGAGAATCGATAGGCAGTAGTATCTAAAGTCCTGTTAGATAGTATCCTAAATATCGGCAAAAGATGGACGAACTGGGCATAGCCATGTGCAGCATATGGAACTGGAGCGAGGGCCGCCAGGTAGTCCAGCCAGTACAGACTGGGCTTCTCCGTGAGGGGATCCACACCGCCTAGCAGGAGGTTTACGGTGTAAGGTCGTCTTGATCGTAGGCTACGGGCAAGCTCGCCCCGTACAAAGCTGGCGACCGCGGATGGACTGAGTTCAGATTCATTTCTCATGGAGTATAGTTGGGCGTTTGCTTGGATGTATTCGGCGAATTGGACTGTAGGGTACAGAGAAAAAGTTAGATGTATATAAGTTCCCTTCTCATAAATGCTGGCAGAGTGATGTCTGTACCTGTGTCTCCAGCTTCTCCTGAAAATGCCATGAGGGTATGTTTGCTCAGCTCTCGGGTCTTATCGTCAGAAGCTTTAAGAATCGTAGCTCCTCTCATGGCAGCTTTGGAGGCCGCAATGAGAGTAAAGTCCTTGCCGGTAATACCAAGCAGGACCTCCCTGGGAATGGGTTAGCATTGGATATGTACTGAGTCGATATTCCGTTGAGTGAAACTCACATGATGTTATGATGTCTGCTGCTGTGTCCGAGTATAGACGTAACTTATGGTCCTCGAAGCTGGTAAATGATTGCTATTCTGTTCCTGTTCTGTTCAGTTGTCCGGGTGGGTATCTGGGTATCTGATGCTCTTTCATATTGCTGTATGAGGTGTAGCTGTGCTGGAAGACACGCGTGAGCTTGACGCCTTGACCTTACCTAATCAGGAAGGGTTGGCTCTTGGACTTAGGCGTAATATTTATCCGACTCCGGGGTAAGTTAAATGCCAAGACTTCGGTAAGATGCAAACAGAACAAACTCCAAGCATGGAAAAAAAGTTCCAAATTTTGTGTGAGAGGAGGTGTTTTCGTTTGTATACCAGGGTTAAACAGCAGCTTTTTTGTTGTTGTTGTTTTCCTTTGTTTATTTTCCAATTTGCTGCCCTTTACTCGGGGCTAGGCTTGCGCTATGTCTTCTTTCTTCACGCTACCAGCTTCCCAACGTAAGCGGAAGAGAGACGATGGTGGTGTAGCACCTGCGTCAAAGAAGAGGGGGGTATCAGCAAAGGGGGGCGGAAAAGGCGCTCAGGATGCTGACCAGCGAGACAAGAGAAAATTGAGGGACGAGTCGATATCTGGAAGCGAATCTGATGACGATGACTTCTCCCAAAGTGAGGCGTCAATTGAGGACGAGGGTTCGGAGGAGGAGTCGGAAGACGAGACTGCAGCTGACCGGAGGTTGAGACTGGCGGAGCGATATCTGGAAAATATAAGAGAAGAGGTTGACGAGGTTGGCTTTGATGCTGCTGACATTGACCGGGACTTGATTGCGGAGAGGTTGAAAGAGGATGTGGTAGGTTTTACCTCTAGCTAAAGGAAAGAACAAACTATCTCTGTGTGTATAAATGCTGATAATCTTTTCGCTGTTCCAGGATGAATTGAAGGGACGGATATATCGACAAATAAGCTCGCAATTGTCTTTTTCTACAGCGTCGCATTCATTCTTTCGTGCGGATACACAAAGTACCACTGCAATTGCGGTACATTCACCTTTCGTCTATACAGTCTCCAAAGACAAGACGCTCATAAAATGGGAGCTGGCGACCCCATACCCTAGCCCACCTACAGAACAAACAGCTCATCTTACCAACGGAGAATCAAAGAGAGCGAAGCGTCCTCAAAGAAAAAAACCAAAGAAAATCAGGTCCGTTCGGGGACTACAGCAAACCGATGAAGGAAGTAACCCGCAGGGCCATATCGGAAATATCCTCGCGGTAGCCGTGTCGCCCTCAGGCGAGTTCGTAGCAACTGGAGGCGCGGACCGGCGCATAATAATATGGGACGCGGAGACCCTCACCCCTCTGAAGACTTTCAATCAACACCGTGACGCCGTGAGCGGGCTATCATTCACACGACGAATCTCCTCATCTAGCTCCGGCGAACAACTATTCTCCTCCTCCTTCGACCGCACCATAAAAACATGGTCCCTTAGCCCCGGGGCGCACGCGTACGTGGAGACCCTCTTCGGACACCAGGACAACGTCATCGCTGTTGACTCAATGGCGCTAGACCAGTGTGTCAGTGTTGGTGCTCGCGACCGCACTGCACGGTTATGGAAGGTCGTTGATGAAACGCAGCTCGTCTTCCGTGGCGGTAGCTCAAAAGGCAGCTCATATATTGAGGGTTCAATCGATTGCGTGGCTGTACTGCCGCCTACACATTTTGTCACAGGCTCAGACTCAGGAGCCATCTCGCTCTGGTCAATCCATAAGAAAAAACCCGTCTATACGGTCCACCAGGCACATGGGGTCGACCCCGTACCACCACTCGACGAATTGTCGTCTGAGATTGACCCCATCGTTGCAAAAAATAATACGCGCAACATGTCGCCCAACCCGCGGTGGATAACAGCCCTCACAACACTGCCGGGGACGGATATTGTCTTAAGTGGAAGCTGGGACGGATGGATCCGCGCCTGGAAGATTTCCGATGATAAAAGAACAATCGTACCACTGGGACCAGTCGGCGCGCCATCGCCATCGCCATCATCACCACCACCCGCCGTCAATTCGACGGATCCTGTAGGTAACGATAACAATAACATGGACCTCGATGCCCCCGCGTCCACATCAAGTGGACAGGCCCCTCGCCCACATCCACTCCTAAAGGGCGTCGTTAACGGCATCGACGTATTCGAACGACGAGCCCCCGATGATACCAAAGCTACGGCCCTCAAACCGAAGTCAAAGAAAGGCAAATCTAACTCCTCGTCTCAAAAGGAGCAGGGGCAGGAACAGAAGGGTATCTGCATCGTCGCGGCCCTGGGCAAAGAGCATAAACTTGGTCGGTGGAAGTACTCTACCAACACTGACGAGAATGGGAAGTGTGGTGATGGAACGGGAGTGGGGGGGTGGAATGGGGCGGTTGTGTTTGAGGTGCCGTTTTTGGGAGAGGAGGTGACCCGGGAGTTGAGTTTGGGTGGCTAGAAGGTTGATGTTTCTGGTTTTAAATGGAAGTATGTGGAGGGGATATACAGGCGCCGGGATTTTTGAATGAATGAATTGTTAAATTTATTACCATGTGTTTGGCATTGACCTTGTAGATCATAACCCGCATGGATGAAGGTTTGATTTTCTTTTCCTTTCTCTCATATATTCGTTTTCCATTCTTCGCTCTTCTCTTTTCCTTGCCTTTCTGAAAACCGATTACTGGAATGTTTGTACCAAGTATGTATGTACATGTACTGTACATAAAAAAATGTGCCTATAAAATATTGAAATACCCCCACTGCACCAATAATTGCTACATGTTATTCGCTCTTGATGTCCCCTTCCCCTCCATCTTTGGTTTACCCGTAGTGCGGGCATTCTGTCTATGGCTGTGCATATTATGTGGCTTGGAGGTTATACATGTACATGTACATGTACATATACATTTAACATATCCAAGGGTATCTATATTTATGATACACAATATGTAGCCAGCATCAGCAACTGTACGAAGCATGAAGGATTTTCAACGACCGCCTACCTTATTACACAAATCGATCGAGAAAAAAGGGAGTCTCGTGTAAAAGCAAAAACAAAAAGTATTATATCCTTATTAACTATCGTGAATCCATATTGCATGCTTCGATAAACAATACGAACAAACACCATACCAGAGAAAGAAAAATAGGAAAACCAAAGAAATAGAAAAAAGCGAAACGGCACAATCCGAAAATCTATACATTTTAAAACTCCTTGCCAAACCCTGAATATCCACCATTCTTCATCGGCGGACTTAAATTTTATGCCTGTATACGCGTATGGATGTAAGATGTGGGTATGTTCCGGAAACGCCCCTTCCCCCCGCTAGTAATTAAATGTTCTCGTTGCAATCCTGGAAATCTTTTCTGCATAGGATAAACGGTTCAGGGATTCCACCGGAAAAATAACAATATTGGAGACAAACAAGGGGAGGAAGAAAATGGGATGGCGAAAAGAAGAGAACGGGCGCAAGAATAATGTTGGAATGGAGGAGATGCTAGGTAATAATATGTGAGTACTTTGAGAAGACGACTGTAAATGAAGGTGGCGGGAATACGAAAATAGAAAAGGAAAATGGTGATTGAAAAAAACGGACAAAATATGTGTGTAAGAAATGGCTGAGGCGGTAGGGAATATTGAAAACGCCTGGCGGGGAGGGTGATGATGTGGTGTATTTATTTGGCCCATGGGCGGGAAAGAGCGGAGAGCACGAGGAACGCTGGCACTCGTAGGTCGATAATTATTTGTTTCGACGCTGTGGATGATGTAAAAGTTAAAAGCTGGTTTGCTAGGCAAGTTGGCTGGAACGCCTAAGGGATAACGAGTAGAACTCGCCCACGGTTTTCTTTGAAGAACGAAATAGTGATTTCTAGCAACCATAATGAATTCATGACGAGAATGCCGGTTCGGTGATATTGACAGTTCGACGGCTTCCTTGATCCAAGTATTCCTTTTTTTTCCTTCGCGGAGTACTTAGTTGGCATGTTCATCGACCCAGCGAAGGAAATTAGAGATAGTTGGCTGAGTCACATATCCCACAGCGCGTAGGATCGCTTCCATGTTCAGTTGGCGGGGCAATATGATTTAGTAGCCTTGACGAGGTTAGAATATGAAAGATATACCGGGCAAAGGCCTGAGGAGATATTTGGTTCGGCATAATCAAAACTCATCCTGGGCTAATAGTGTTCTGGCCTCGGCGACGATCCCGACGCTGGCTTGGTCGTATCTGACCTGGCCGCGGGCCTCTCCGTCGGCTCCTTGCCGGGGCGAAAGGGACGTCAGAATCATCGTCGAGAGATATTGGGCTGTGCGTATTTGAACTTGACGCGTGAACACGATTTGAGAGGTTTAAGAGGGCAGGTCCACCATCCTCCTCCTCATCACTATCAAGAACTGATGTCCTTGTGCTAGCCGTTGTCGTGCGGTTGCGGAGACGGGAGACACGGTTGACAGAATCGGAAGATATCTGGCGCCGTTGCTGAATTGCCCTCGTTGGCGCTCGTACAGGCTCATCATCATCATCATCATCATCATCATCATCGTCGTCGTCGTCGTCGTCGTCGTCGTCATCGATATTATCTATATTGCCCGCTGTTTCCCCTTGGCTAACACTATTGCCATCATCATGATCTTCGTCATCGTCGTCATTCCCGAAGGATATTGTCTGCCGAGGGCGTGGAGCTCTAGGGATAGCGGGTGCAGCCGCTATATGTGATTGCATGTCGCTATCAGAGTCCGATATGATATTATTCCCGCCAACCACAGTGGAGTGATCCGTTTCTATGGCTTCTTCTATTGGGCCGTCATCAATAAAGTCCGACATTTCCGAGTCATGTGAATCTTCGTCATTGCTATAATCGCTCCTCTGGTTCATGGACGAAAGATCGCTTGCATTGCTAAATACGTGTTGGCGGTGTTGGCGCATGTGGTATTCGAAATCACCGTAAAGCTCGTTCCACGCTATATCATCTGTATCGATTCCCGAAAACCCATCCTCGATTTCATCAAGTGCATCAGTCATTGTAATTGAGCCATCCTCACCCGAAAAGTCACTGTCCGAACGACCGCCAGAAGAATACCCTACCGCGGAAAACCCACAATGTTGACATTCCCCCTCCTCGAGTTCCCATGCACATCGAGGACATCGAGTAACACCATCCAAGATGTCGTTGATTGGCTCATTAAAGGGTAGAGGGCATTTGAAGCAGCCTTGAAACAGGCCGCCATTGACTGGGTCCTTGTTGCTCTTGTCCGATTCCATCTTCTCGGTCTCCGCTAGCTTGTTCGAGAGATGTTCCTTTGTGGTTTCATCGCCTTCAAGTAGTTCCGCCCTACTGATAAACATCTGGACAATCTCACGGATCTGGTAAACGGTAACGTTAGCGATGGGAGTGGGCGTATATCACAAGCGAGGGGGCCATACTAAGTAGGCTGGAGCAGGTTGGGCTGACACAGAAGCTCGGCAGTCTGGACAAGTCTTTTTCCGTTTATGGTTCACAAACCATTGTGTAAGACACTACAAGGAGGTTAGTTATATTATCCCCATAGAAAACGCATAGACTTTACTCACACTGTAACAAAATGTATGGCCACATGCCAAAGTGAACGGTTCATACAGTGGTTTCACACAAACCCCGCAGTATAATAGAGATCTGATATCCTCGACATGACCTTGCACAGTTCGTAGGAGCTTAAAGACGGTGGTATTGTCAGCCATAGTAGTAAAAAGAAATAAGGCGAGCCTATATCACTTACTCCTGACGGGTCAATCGGGAGTGCAGGGCCAGGTTTTGCAGACCCAGCGGCGAGGCCAACGGTCGCTGTGGCAGACATCACCCCTTTACCACGTCACCGGGGACCCGTTTGATAGACGAACACACTTGTATGGATTAGACCTTGAGCCGCGAGGAAGATTATGTTTTGCCGTTGGATACACACGGGGTGAGGCGTTCGAAGCTCAAAAGGTTCTGCTACCTTGGGTGGAGGGTGGACAAGGCTCTGCGAGTCAAGAAGGTTTGTGTGCGCTTGAGTAAGCGACGTAATGCCTTTTGAGTACCTAGGAAGGCAGTGGTCATGTCAAACGAGAGTGTTAATCAAAGGTTAAGGCAGGCTGATCGCGAACTGACTAGAAATTGAGTCCTGGGGAGGCATAATCCGTAAGATTATCCTCATGCAACACAACCGCACGTCACCGTTCGCGTAGGGGCTGAGGAATAGACTAACCCGATTAGGCTGGTGTTACATAAGCGCGGCACGTGATTCTGCCGCCTACTCCAAGGTTTGTCAAACTTCACACACCCAGTCCGGCAAACCTCTCGACTTCATCATCTTCGTTCTTCCACGTCCTGTTGTGGATGGGTGGAAGTGTTGTTTCCTAGTTATTGAATCCAGTGTTGAATTCTATGTGCTACGTACAACCCTGCTGTGGTCTTTTACATCTTCTAGTCCACTCTCTCTTGGCACCACAGAACCTTGGAAGAGAGGTCTATGGTGATAGTGGGCAGAGATCAGTGGAGTGCAGATTCTGCAAATACAGATTACATAGGTGGACAACAGTGATGAAAACAAATTTCGAATCCCGTTCCTCTAGATGACAATACGTATGTATACGGATTACATTGTGGGACAATCTAGAACAGCCATCCATGTAGCTTTCGGCTATGGACCAATCCGGCCTACCAAACCCTGTCGCGCCCTTCCAGGCTTTGGATATTTTTGCCCCATTCGAATTGCCTGCCCCCTTCTTGCTGGGGCTTAAATACTGCGGGGATTCCCCCAGCTCTGGCTCGCTTCCGAAACAAAAAGCGTCTCCCGCTCTACGGATGGTCTCGCAAACATGTAGGGAGCTGGTACGACATAAAATATAGGCAGAGAACACATTTCCCCCAGGGAAAAAAATGATTTATTTTGTTTGATTCCTTAAATGCCCCTGTTACATGGATTTGTGTTCATAGGCTTACATTTAATAGTTTCGCCAACCCATCTCCCCGCTATCTTTATGTTGTCGAACAGGTGTGAACACCGTTGTGGATAGCAATGAGGCTGGCTTGGTGGTGTCGATATTTTACTCGATATTGAAGAATATATACGGAGAAATAATTATAGGCACACTTTGCCGTGCCGCAACATCTCCTGCCTGCGACCTCCATTTGAAATGTGGAGCGAAGTGGAATATGACTGACATATATACCATTTTTGAATCTATGCAAAAAAAATTTATTCTTGGTTTTCAATACGCTGCCATTTTATTGATTTTATTTTATTTTATATTATACTCTTTTGCTTATCGTCAGAGATAGTATTTACTGTCTGGCCGTTCATGTGAACTGGAAAACCCTACGCGACTTCAACTTCTATTCCGGATCTGCTCTGATAAATAGCCTTGCGCCTCACTTCGCAAAACCTTTTTCCAAATCGAATGGGCAACAACTGCAATTTGGAATCCTATGCACCACTATATAATTATAATTAACTGCTGGACCAATTTTTTGAAACTCGAAAACCCGAAGCAACAATTAATATCCAATGCTCCCCAATGCGACAATGTACCCGGGCAATATTTTCTTCAACGATGAACAGAAGCAATAGTCAACTATCCCTAAGTCCAATACACGCCACAGCAATTACCACTCACGGTCAAGCTCTTCGATGGAAAAGTAATTACGCTCATTTTTTTTCACGACCAATGACATTGGACCTTCCTGCCAGAATTCCTGCAAAAAACAATAATCCCACCAGCCTACTTGCCATCATCGGAAGTTCGTTTCTTATGACGCTCCTTAAGCTCTTCTGAGATCAAATGGCTATCGTCCGTAAAGCCCTTCGTCACCAGTTCGTCTTCAACCATTTCTTTGTTCATGTGGGCTAAGAATTTCTCTTGTTCGAGCAGGAACTTCTTCATCGCCTTGGTGTTGAAGTTTCGACGGGCCTTTTTCCGGTCGCGGATTTCTTTAAGCTGCATCCGGACGCGTTCTTCCAATATCTCAAGCCTGTACTCGGAGAACTGGAAGTAAAGCTCTGACAGGTCGGATATGGCTCGAACAGTTGTCAAAACAGTGTCGTCTGGCAGGGCTGGCGAGCGCGGACGGAAAGATGTTACCATCGTGATTCTCTCTGTCCCACCCAGAGCACGCAGAGCTTGATGTTCGATGTATCGTCCTTGGAGCACCACAGCACATCCCTATTGACATCAATCAGTATGGATATGCAAAGGGACCTATTGCCACCTAAGAATAAGCGAAGTGAACTCACCATCTGTGGCCCTCTGACTTTCACAATCGACCCATCTCCCTTGCGCAATGCAGTCTCGCCGCCCACCATGTTGGCACAATCGCTGAGCATGGTAACGCAGACGAATGGATAGCTGTCTGTATGCCAATCGACGATAGGTTCGTCGTCGTCCTCAGAAGTAAGGTTTTGACCCTTATCGGCCTGAGATGGCACGGAGATATTGATATGGGCTATTTCCCAGTCCATTGCGGGGACGAGGTCAATGCCAGCAATATTTGAAACGATTTTCAGGACATCCGGACTCTGCCATGCGTCATAGACGAATGGAGCATACCTTTGGGGAACTATATTAATCTATGCAAGTTGGGCAATCGGAGCTGGAACAACTTACTCGGCGGCATACCCGCGCAATTGACAATGCGCAAGGTTGCTGGAGAATTGATAGTGTTCCCAGACCTTTTCATTAAGGATCTCCTTTCGCATTTGGTTAATCGCTTCAGGAGTGAACAGAGGGAATGGCTCGGAAACTCCGATCGAGGAGACTCCAACATCATCGCTATAGCCAAGTTCCTTCATGGTGTGGACCTTGAGCGGTGGACTATATTGAATATGTTTTTGGGCATCAAACCGAACTGGTTCCTCGGCCTGGGAAGGTACTACTGTGCCATTGGTGGTGCCCTTCAATGCGTTGACCTCGTCATCGTAACTGGAAGAAGGCATGTGGCCCGGAGCCATAGGAAAGGAGGTAGGGGTGAGGATATCTGCTGTCGCCATCGTGCTGTTCTTTGTTGTTGTTGCGTGAGTGTTCGCCCCTTGACACAGCTTCTAATTTGTCGATACCATCATTGCCCATCGTGGATGTGGCGATGATGGAGGTTATGATAGACAACAACACAGATACAACTCGACATTGTTCATACAAAAATAGGGCAACTTAAAAAAGAGTTCCCATCGTCGAACTTGGGACCAAGGGGTAGCAAAAACTCACTCTCTGTTTTGCTGCCGTCGCTAACTAGGAATATTATGCAGGGAAGTAAATATCAAGAGGGAGAAGGCAAAAACAAAAGGGACTTCAGAAGCTTTATGAATATGGTTTGTTTATGAAAAGTTTCAGCTAATAATCCCTTTCCTTGGATAAATATTTAAAATGCTGACTTGAAAGAAGAATGCAGTTTTCTCGGGGAAGAAGGGGGTATTTATAGTTGCGGCCGACCGATCCTCCTTTTTAACAACCTGGCTATATCACCCAAGAAGGTACCTAGACACATATGTTCGCAGGGACAACAAGCTAGTCCGTGAGTTGTGAATAGCCCGGACATCTACCTGGGTGCGGTACGAAACCAGAGCGATGACCACACTGCTTTCCGGGTCGGCGATAAGTTAATGTGGCCCTACCATCGCAATGCCGAGACCTGCAAAAGGAATGTTTTATTTTTATTTTTTATTTTTATTTTTAACCTTCTACGTTATAGGAGATACACATCGCCATGGGATAACAACGCTGTTAATTGCTGAGAACGGGAACGGGGGTTGGAGGCGCTGATTCTCATCCTTCGCAACATTATGTTTGATAATGTGACCCGGGGGACCAAAACTCAAAATGCCGGGGCTTTGTACATGTACAAACTGTATGGAAATCCCCCCAGCAAAAAAGTTGTGTTGTTGCCAATGCATCAGAACACAAAACACATCAGCATTACCAAGGCCATGGCATGATTGCAGTGGATCCGCATCCTCCAGTCCCTCCTCCCCCCCTCCCGCATTTTGAACCCGAGATGGAAATTGTTGCTGTGTTTGGTTTGGCACGGAGCCATGAATCACATTCCATATTACATTCTGCCTGGGTTGCAATGGACTGGGCGTCTTGACAAGGGTCTAGACTGCGGTCTCTAGGCGGTTTTGCTATGTCACGATGCTCTAATCTAAACCGTCTTACGCATTTCACCCCTCTCAAAAACCCAGCAACACGATCCTTTTCACGTTTCCACGTCTTACAGATTATACAGCTGACAATGCTGAAGATCGCTACAGTTGCCGTGCGGTGTGGACGATTGATTATTTGACACATGGCCATGGGTCAACTTACGATAACCGAGCACTCGACCCACCGACGTTCATGTCATAATGGAAATATCAAAACGGATTATGGATTACTATGATGGAAAATAATCCAAGGTTGCAAGTTTGAGGCGAGTTTTGTATAAAAAATATGCCGACGAGGGTGGATATGATGGACAAGGTTGGCAGGAATTACGAAAGCAGTGGGCGGCAAGAAAGGTCTGCTACCCTTCAATTCTGGGCCATGGGGAGGAAAAAAAAAGGGAGATGGAAGTTGGGGTGGGAGGCAACGAATGAATGATGCAAAAATCATTTAAACGGTGTGGAGGGGTAGCTTATTTTTTTTTTTTTCATTTTTTAGCATAAAAAAACTATTATTAGAGCAGATAAAAGTTTATCTATTCATGAAACTAGAAACTAAGTGTAATTTTTTGGCTTTTTCCCGCCACCTCGTAGCGTCTAACTTCCAAGGGACCAACGGGAGCACAATGGAAATTTTGACTCAATTGGGGGATGGATCCTGGGGCCCTTGGATCCTGGGGAAAGACTTGGCTTGAAGCGGTTATGGGCGTTATCATCCTCCCTTCTTTATTCTCGCTCTTCTTCCTCCTCCATTCCTCAGAGCCGAAAAAAACATACTATATCTGTCTGGACCTTGCCAGAAACAAGGGGCCAGGCCTTTTAGCTTCAGGTCTTTGTTGTAGATAATGGTCATATGATCCATGGTGACAGAGCTTGTACTGCTGCATATTACATAGTTAACTAATAAAATAATAAAAAATAAAAAATGAAAAATGAAAATGAAACATACAACGTTCCGATCTAGGGTTCGCGAACGAGCAACCGCTCTTTCGTCCGTTCCCTAATTATCTTATTTCTAAATGTTAATTGGAAAAAAACGATTCTGGAACATGAGAGGGAATATGTTCCGTTCTCTTCCCCGGGTACTTTCAATCCTCGGATAATTTCTAACTTGAATCCTAGTACATTGAATGGGCCATTTCTTGGGCTTCTGAAGTCGACAATTCGTTGGTTAATTAATAATCATGAGTTCAGGCTGCTGTTTTATTCTTATCAATCAATCAATCAATCTGCACTCAACGAGCAGATACTGATCAACTAAACAAACATCTTTTGCATGGATTATAAATCAGTTCTAGTTCTTTCAATCAGGAACTAAGTCCATGAATATATCTATGTTCTCAAGATAACACTTGTGATTATCAACACTCTCTCTCTCTCTCTCTCTCTCTCTCTCTCTCTCTCTCTCGTCTCATTCCACATATGAGAAACAATATGAGAGGCTGATTCCTTCCCTTCAAATCCATCGCTATGATGAAGGTCTGAAGATTGAAGAAAGCACAACTGCTATCTATGTGTAATGAATAATGTTTGTTTTGTCTTGATTGTTGTTCATTGTTCATGCAAGTGCAGGCTCTGCTCTTGCTTCCTTCTTGCAGGACGGGGAATCATTCTTGAGATGTTTTCACATCCATCGGGCGTTGACATATTCCGTCTTGAGATCTTCTCCCTTCCTTCAAGTCTTATTACGGAGTTTCTGGATTTCTCTCCAGGGGCCACAATGTCCCTGAGGTTCGCTCTACGTTAATTGGTGGGCCTTCCACCTATCCATGGGCGGAATCATGCTATTACAGCTTGCCCTGACTCTCGTTTGCGCGTTGCCTATATTTGCTATGGAATTTATTGCTTCTGTTGAAAGTTTCATTTCTCTTGCCTCTTGATTGCTCTGGGAATTCTGGAAGGTCAAACAAATTTCTACTTACCTCTCCAGTTCGACTCTGTCTGAGCTTCGTTAGGAGTATAAGTACGAGCCTTGGAACCTGTGCCATTTGAAGGCCTTCTAACAACTGTCCGTTCATTTCGCTATTGATTTAATTTTTGCCTTCAGTTGACCTCTCGATGATGAATCTAAGGTATGCTGCGTTTTCTGAACTTATTTTTCTTTCCACGGTTATAATTCTAACACCAACTTCAAAGCCCGTATCGTATCTATTCATCCAAGTCCGTACCCGTCGAAAACCAAGATATTAGCCATGGTACTGCCATTTGACATTCCGGAGCCGAGAATACCGAAAAGAATGCTGTATCGCCGCCCTGAAATACCAAATTTCATACCAACATCTATTTTCAGAGAACATGAACTTGACCCTACCCACCATGGCACGGCCTATAAACTCGAGTTTGTCGTCGAGCCACCAGAGGAGATTCGTGAAAATGACCTACTCCAAAAGCCAATGGTTGTCAGGGTCCGGAGCCTGGAAAATACAAAGCCATGGTGCCCGGTGGAGATACAGATCCATGTGAAAGTATTCCATGCAGTTGGTTCTGACCGCTTTGAGGTATGCAGGAAGATTGGAAGACATGATCTGGGAGGCGTGTACTCAGTCTCGCAGTCTCCCGAGGGCACAACCTCCCATTTCATGACTGTGCTTCTAGCATCCCCGGTAGAGGACTTCGAAGTACCCTTTGACCGATTCCATAAGCACGGTCTGTACATTCTTTATATCATTTTAGCTCTGGGGCCTACCGATGCATTACCAAGGACTCGGCGAGAGGCATGGGTCAAATGTAAAAAGCCGATTACGGTTACGAGCATGCCGCAGGTAAGAATGTTCAAGCATCAACAGAGGCCTCCCTCGTCCGGGCTAGGCGCAGCCACTGATTGTTATATGACATGACTAACTTATACTAAAAGGTTGCGTCCCTTTAGTAGGGAAAACAAGAGACCCAGGTTGGACGTTGCGGATCTTTTTGGGTTCGGAAGGGTTTACCGGCGAAAGAAAATTGGGAGGTGGTGATGTGAAGGATCTGTTTTCTTTTGGCTTTCCTTTCATACTTCTTTTTTTTTTTTTAAAAAAAAAAAACTTGTCGCCTTGATTGGTGGATTCAGTGAGAATATTGTATACTTTGTACTCCGTATTCTGTAGCTTTTTTAAGGTTGGCGCAAGGAGACCGATAACCGCGGGAACTAATCCCAATGCGGAATAGTCAACGCCAAGGCGCGACAAAGCCCGGTCCACCTCGGCTCAATTCTGCCGGAGAAGTCTCTCCGACCGCTGGGAGCTGATGTTCGCTCTATCTTTTTTTGTCCTCGTTCCGAAGAAAAAGTCGGAGAGCGAGACAATTCCAGCACGACATGAGCGCAGACAAAGTGTCCGAGGAATCTGTGAGTGCCTGGGATAAGGCTAAGCCGGCATTTAACCAGTAAGGCCCCCTTTCTTTCTTTCTCATCTTGGCTCAAAGCTTTGGATGGCTGGGTGGGTTCGAGATTTGTCCAGCAAGAGCATAGCGGAGTCATTCATGACCCCCCTGCTACCGGGGCGGCCCCCCTCTCCTCTCAGCCAATCCAAACATATTACATCGCCTTGGCTACGCTGCATCTTAAACTTCGTTTATAATAATATGGTAACTAACGCTACTCATCTCGTGTTCTTTCGGATAATTATAGCAAACCGGCCAGCGGGTTCTACGACCCGTGTCAGGATTTCGCAGACCGGAGCATCAAATGCATGCGGCGAAATGGGAACGATAGGACGATGTGTAGCGATTACTTTCAGTGAGTAGAGTTCTTCCCCCCGTATCTCCTCGTGCAATGGCTCGCGGGCTAGGAATATCACCCACCGCGATTGATCCAGTGTCGTGTTGGATGGAGCGCTAATAGGTGTAATGCACCTAGGGCGTATCGCGATTGCAAAAAGGAATGGGTATGTAATTTTTATATTTCGCATATGGTTGTGGCTGGAGGCTCCCGCTTTCCCAACATCCTTCTTCTCCTCCCCGCGATGGGGATAAATTGGACATTTGTTCCAGTTCCTTGTCTGGTGGATTATCTGTGGCTATTTTTTGCCCGATATATGTCTAAACTATTGAAACTAATCAAACCGTTGTCCTATAGATGATCCAGCGGAAGAAGAGTGCTTAGAACCTGCTGCCCTCCCCGATATGCGCCAATAGAAAAAAAAAATATAGAACGAGAGAACAAAAGAGGCAACCCTCTAGGGATGGGCGGGAGGATCTTAACCAAATTGTCAAGCTCCGCACGAAGCGACCTGTAACGAATCATGATAAACATGCACACATAGACACACACGACACACACCAGTATACCCGCAGTATACGACTGAGGATGGGATGGAGAGAGCGCGAAGTGTCACCTTCCAATGAGACCGACATTGTCACTCGTGTAACATTATATCAACTATTTAGAGTGGAGAATTGGACTTGAGGACACAGGAAATGGCACATGCAACATAAGGTGGTGACTGTTTCGGTTTCCCTAGATAGTTCAAGTCAATCGTCTGCTTGATATATGATTTTGTGATGCAAATCTCGGATTTTCCGAGCTGCCAGCAGGCTTGAAAAGTATATATCTATAGAAAATCTTTCTCTGAAGTCCTTAAATGGTATCAGATTTGTAAGATGCATAAACTATGTCATCCTTCGACGTGAATGATGAGGCCTGAACTGGTCAGGTTACATGGACAGCAGCGTACTGCCCATTTACTATCTCCTACGTTGATCCTCTTGTATTCTCTACGTTGTGTAATCTGCCCCAAGTTAGGAGTCAAGCCCTGTCAGGGCTTCACTTTTTCCCCCTACCCCTTGTACTTCAGCCGCGATAGCACTTCATTCTTATATTTTGGAAACTTGCACACCATGCACATCACTTTGCAGTTTTTATTTAATCATTCATGAGAATAGCTCTAGCATTAGAAATGTCGAGGATGACTCCTTCTCCATCAAAACTTCTCGATTAAACGTAGCCAAGCCAGCTCGAAATATATCCAAAACTCGTAGGAACGTGTCCGCATGGTCGCGATATGGGTGTATCTAAAGTGCCCCTTTACCAAGCTGCGTCTTCCTCTTCGTCACTCTCCTCGTCCGATTCCACCTTTTCATTCTTCCCTTTCTTGTTTTTCAACTTCGCCAACTCTAGCTTCAACTTCAAACGCTCAATATCTTCCTCCGAGGATTCATTGTCATCTTCATATTCATACCCGCGACTCTGTGGCAGCCCGGAGTTGCGTCGGTAGATTCTACGACGTGGAGGTGGTGGATTCCTCTTTGGACGGCCAACTTGCATTGACTGGTTTGAGGGGGGTACGTTGTAGGTATCCTTACGAATTTCCTCTCGCTCAGCAAGGATTCTGTACGTATCGTCCTCTTGTGTCCCGTGGATGTTACTAATGTAGTCGTCGAAATGGGCGCTTGTCTGGGCGATGCCTTCACTAATGGCCGTTTAAGTTTGGCGCTATTTTCCCCCTCACTGAAATCAATTGGCAAGAGCTAACGCTATCTAAAAGGCATTTTTGATCTATCGACCGTTCTAGCGCAGCGAGGGTTTATATTTGTTCTCCTGCCAGTGCTTGTTAGCGAAACGCCTGATCTTGTCCTCCTCGATATCAATGTCACGGCCGCTCTTGATGATATGCTGTAAGTTTTTCGCCCATATTTCTTTAGTCGACATTTCGTCAAGTTTTGGGTAGTAGAGGCTCATGTGGATCCGGGATCTGAATGCTTCATCGAATTCGCCAACGCGATTTGTTGTCAGAATGATGACTCCAGAATAATACTCCAAAACTCGGAGGAAGACTATACAAAGATTAGCGACCATGTTCATTGTCACTAATGAAGTCTTATATTCATGGAAGCCTACCGGAAACAAGACTGTTGCGTATTATATCTCCTTTCTCTCTTTTCGCGAGGAAAACATCCGCCTCGTCGAGTAACAATACACATCTCCACCTATGCGCCAAAACGCAAAAGAACTCAAGGGTTGCTTCTGCAGTCTGGGCAGTGGTGCCGATATCACCACACGTTATCGGCAACAAGGGCCGCTTTAACTGGGATGCTATGCACTTAGCTGTAGAGGTTTTGCCAACTCCCGGGGCGCCGTGCAAAAGGATGATAAGCCCCTTGCATTTGCCGAGAACAGCATCCAGTGCAAGTGGCTCGTGTGTCCCATCAGTTCCCCCAGACTTTTCCTTCGGATGTTCGACCTGGTTTTTGATTAACGCTTGAAGCAACACTCGATGACCCTCCGGTAGAACTAGATCCTCAAATCTAGCCCCTTGTGCCTCTTGCCCGGTTACTGGTAAATCTTCGATTTTGTTGATATTTAGAGGAAGCCACTTGTGATCAAGGAGACCGTACCCGTAGGCCCGATAAGGAAGAAGCATCAGATGATCGTTTGGGACGGGCTTTTGCTGCAGTGTTCGTAAGTCTAGAAGATTGGTGGTTCGTCGGAAATCATTTTGACGATCTTCCTCAAATTTGGAGTCGTCGAAGACGTCCGTAATCCAATTACCGTCCTCTTGCTCAGGCAAAGGATCAAATGTCTCCTTCTTGTCCTGTGGGGTTGCTTTAGCGATGGCGCCGGACCCGAATTTCAGGCTTCTTCCAAACTGGGACACCTTTTGTTTGAAGTGTTCAACTCCGGCTGCCTGGTCTACCACTATTTCGCTATGTAACTATATTTTCATTTTTTCATCAATCATTAAGCTTTAAGGAGTTTGAAACGTTGGAGATGATCGTACCCACCTCTGTTTCTTTTATAATCCAATTCTTGCGCCCTTTGGAGGTTTGATTCCCCTCCTGGACCGTAAGTCCTGAGTATTTTTTATGTGTTCCAGGGACAAGTTGCACGAAACGCCGCCCTCTTTCAATGAGCGTCTGTTGTATTTGTTCACTCTCTGGGCTAGGAAGCAGCGGAAACGGTACCAGTGAAGTTACAGGTCTTGTACCTTTGTATGGTGGAATTGCAAATCTTTTTGATCTGGCGCCAAGCTTAACCCCGTCAAAGTCGATATAGAAAGCGTCGATAATAAAGCACGTCGTGTCCATGCCCGAACATTTGATAGCGTCACCACACTTCTCTTCATTCTCCGAATCTGAATCCCCGATATAATCAATGATACCACTGAAGCGGGCTTTGTAGCCGCTGTCAAAGTAGGCTCTCCCGCCGGTGATATTTAAAACCCGATAAGCTTGACGACAGTTCCGATTCTCATCTGAACTCGAATTGAGGACGACATCGCCGGGTTTAAATAGTAGCCATAGATGTTCAAAAGCAATCTCAGTGATATCCCCGTCGGAAATTCGGCGTTTTGCGTCAAATATATCGTGCATATCGGTATCCATAAATTTCACAAGGCAACGAAGCTCATCTCTTTCTCTTTTGGCTGGTGCAGCTGAACTTCCGGCATTGTTTGTGTCGTCGTCTTTGGTGACACGGGCTGGGTTTTGTTGTTCTGGTTTGTTAACCACATTTCCAGCCTTATTGTTGCTTTTACGGACATTAGTTGTGGGGTTCTCCTGTCTCATTTCATCCCGCCTAGATACAGCCTGGTCGTAGGCTGTCTCGGCCTCCTTGAGGCACTGTCTGATATCGGATTCGTACGCGACGAGATACTTGAACGGGCGAACAAACACGTTTTGACTAGCACTGAGCTTTCACCAACGAACTGACTCAACACATCCAGAAGGTGAGTTGAATTTACGGCAAGGCGGTCCAATCGTTCGGGATCATCTCACTACTTGACTCAGTAGCGGCCTCTGAAGACTTTTTGTCCAGTATTCTTGGCAGTTTGTAGCCCAGTCGGCGTAGTTGAGACCTTGCATAGGCTTTCGAAGAAACAAGAAGGATGCTCTCCTGAAGGTCAATTTTGCCTTCTTTTTTGACCTTTCGCCAATCCCCTGGGGAGACTCGCTTGATCGCAATTTCTTGAAGGTCTGCTTCATCCTTTGGGTCTTTTTCTTTTGAAGCTGGGGCGGCTTGATGCTTAGTTAGCTCGCCGCCACTAGAGTGAATTGGATGTTTAGCTGTGGTTCTACAGGGAATTTGGAGAATGCTCCTACCTCCCAAGGTTCCATCTGCCGAGTAGTTCTTTTTGACCTTCTACCAAGGCCTTAAGTATTTGCTTCAAATCGCTGTCTGCCGGTGCAGGTTCTGAGTTGCCGGACTGCGCCGCCAACTCACTTTTAGTCTTCTCGCCTTCGGGTGTATGCAGTGCAAATGCTCCGTTTCGTTCACCATTGGCTGCCGACATGGTCATTGGCTGGCTGGTGAATAATGCGAGAAACGCAATTGAAAATTTGATGTGGCTTTGCATTCAACACGCCAAAGTAATCTGGAGGATTTTGGTTCAGTTCATAATATATAGCTCTTGGAACTTCAAGTGCGGGGTCAAGTTAGGTACCTCAAGCTCAAGCATAGGAATGCGAGTTGTTCGTTCTAGCATGCAAGCAGCTAGTACACTTTCTTTTCTTCCGCTTCAGTGGTGTAATCGACTTTTATTCTGGCCCGCAGAACAACGGCAAGCATCGAACTTCGCCGCCGTAGGAGTGGTCACTCAAAAAGACGTTTCTGCGGGGCAGCGAAGCAATGGTTCAAGATATTGCTACACCTCGACCCCACGAGACTGGTGCCACATGCACAGAATGCTCAAAGATCGATATCTTGTGGCTAAAGGACGATACTTAACACTCATCTCTATCTTACCACAAGCCGTGAACTATTGACCATACAATGCCGTTAATTAGAGGCAGAACTGTAGTGAGCGGGAATGAGAGATGCCACGACCAGCCATGAAGCCACTCCCCCTCGTCGACGCCCTTGGTGGGCTCGCTGGCTTATCTGCGTTAGAGGCTCACCCGCGATTCGCATCCTGGCATGAAAGCAGTTAGAGATGATGAAGAGGCCACGAGTGATATGTTACTGGTCCCCGTCTCTGGAGAAAAAATATCAGACATATCGCCAATCCAAAAACAAAAGCGGACAGTTGCAAAAGACCACCTCGATGAGGATGGCGCTGTAAGATACGCTCCTATCCCCATAGATTCCTGTTTCAGAGCTGATATCGCATATAGGCAAGAGCTGTAAATAGATGTCGAAACAGAGAAGAAACGCTTCAAAAAGGCGTTGGAAGCTTACGAAAGTACAACTGCTGGATTGAAATTCCAACCGATGTCACGACAAAATCGGTGCACGCGTGGGAGGAAGTTTTGCAAGAGGTGAAGAAGGCATCAGATGAATATAATGACGTATCGGGATTTGGGGGCACATTAGAAAAGGCCTCCGGAGCTTTGGAAAGAATAACAAAGCCTTTGAAGCATGGGCGAGCGTCCTGCCGTCACAATCACATTACTTTTCTCTGCTGTGCGGAGGCTTAAAACTCATATTCTGGGTTTGTTCCGCCCTAACTTGCACCGTCGGTGCGTTCTTCATTAAGACCTAGCTAGGCCGCAGCGCGCTTGCACGATCTTCGAACCGACATTGCTTTAGCGGAGATCCCCATCCTCATATCGAGCACTCATAAAGCCCTGGGTATCTTCAGGAGGTCGAACGACTTGCGTCGATCTAGCGCGGCTCTCTATGCCGCTACAATAGCTGCCTTACATCACATCGTCGCGTGGTATAGGGAAAAAGCCTCGAGTATGTGCTCAACAAAGCCTGCGAACTGTGAGGCGTTTAGGTTGACTAGCACTTAGAAAAATTATTCCGTAGCATGTTCCAGCAAGAGACCTACGAAAAAAAAAATAAAAAAAATGGACGATCTCCTAAAAGCTCTCAGAGAGGAAGCTAAAGGCTTTGGGCAAGTGGCTCAGCTATGTTCATATGATGCAATTATGAACACAAAGCAGTTGATCATGGATCAGGGTGACGAATCGCGCAAGCACCAGGAGATCATAGTGGGGCACTTTGATCAGTCGAGAAATGAGTTCCAGGATTTCCGAGACGATTTCAAGCTGGCAGCTGGATGCGTGAATCGGAAGGTCAAACTGATAAGCAATGAGGTTTCACAGCTGCGCAGAGTCCTTGCCTCGTTTCTCAGCAGTAATGTTCGAACGGATTACAAAACACAATATGGTTAGTTGATCGTAGGAGCGCAGGAATTCAGCATCAACTCTTTATTCACTGACCTTGGTGTAGTGAAAGGACCAACACTTCCGTTGCGAAGGGCTGTATCTGAAGCCAATCTAGTGCAAGGTACTGTATTAATAGGACACTATTTCACATGTCTTAGGTTGCACACTGACCCTGCCATCACAGATTACCTTGCTGCGAAAGATGACCTACTTTCAGACTTTGACTATGAAAGCTCTGTCATGCGTAACGACATCGAGGCCAGTCTCGAAACCATCTGGGCATTGCCAAGATCCGATCAGGATCGTGCAGTTGCTGTCATGCAATCACCGAAGCTGCATTCCTGGATCACCGAGTCAAGTTCTTCGGCACTCCTGGTCAATTTCAACGACCCCAAGAAGACATCGTCAACGTCTTTCATTTCCGCCAAATTAACATATTCGATCCAGTCAGATGTCATAGGCCCGCACAATCCACGAAACATCTTTGCCTTGTTGTTTCTTTGCGCAGAGCACATACGCCCGGACTATGGCGTCAGTGGGATGTTGCGAAACTTGATTGGTCAGCTCCTCATCGCTTACCCTGACTTTGGAATGAGCGTTATCAAGCAAATCCAACGAGCAGACCAACAGGACATTAGCAGCCTATGCCAGATTTTCCATAGGATGATCTCTCAACTACCACCACATGTAACTGTCTTCTGCGTCCTTGATGCCATTACCGTATATGAACAGAATAGCTCGCTTTGTGAAGAAGGAGCATTTGCAGTCCAAGAACTCATGGACATGGTGCAATGGACCAAAGATCACGGCTGTGATTTCAAGGTGTTGTTGACGAGTGCGTGGAATAGTCATATCTTTTATAAGTACGTGCCGGATCGGCAGAAGGATATCATATGGATGCCCGCAAAGGTGCCCCCGCAAGGAGGCTTTACGAGGATGAAATGGAATTCTAGTGTTGGGTCCGGTGTTGGTATGCTGGCAAGTCCCCGGTCGTTCACAGAAATGGTATGCCAAAGGACACTAGAGATAAATGAGCAAGCTTGGGAGAATGATGCATATCAAATGTTGAGAGATCTACCGCAAGCAATAGTACTATGATTTAACAAAAATCAAAGAGCCGTATGATCTTGATGTACAGTATTTCCGATGTTGAATAGCAGCCGCACGCTAAGCCTCACTAGGCAAAATGTGGTTATTAGCGCAGATCTTGTACCTTCCCGCAGAATTGTGTAGGAGTAGTACAATCCACCGACTTCCCTCCGCTGGTCCCCGCAGACACCAAGCTCCCCACACAGACATCCTCGCACTGCAGCTCGACCGGGCTGGTCTTCACCATGTCCGCCTCCACTGTTTTTGAGCGCCGGAATAAGCAGATCCAAGATGCCATCGACGGCCAGAACCTCAAACAGGCCCTGCAGCTCTGCGAAAAGCGACTGAAGAAGGGCGAGGATTCGCATTTCCTCAGGGTTAGTTCTGAAATAGCATCCCGCAAGCTTTATTATAATGGATACATTTACTTTTGAAAAATCGAACACTAATACGTTGTTAATGCGTTATATTTGATATATAGGCGTGGAAAGCGCATATTCTCCTCAGCCATGGCGACGACGTCCATCGACAGCGGGGTATTTCAGAAGCTCTTGCGCTCTGCCGAATGGAACCACCCGTTTCCGATATAGAAGCACTGAATATGCTTTATTCAACCCTGAAGACCATTGATGAACATGCAGAGACCGCGCGCGCAATATGGGAGAAGGCAGCAAAGGCGAAGCCTCAAGCACTAGATATTCAGCTGAAGTGGTTTAATATGGCGTCGGAGATGGGCGACTGGAAAACTGCGCAGAAGGTCCGACAAAAAAAAAAAAAAAAAAAAAAAGGCTCGCCCCTTACTCTATCTCCACATTGAACTTCTACATTGTGAAGCAATGGAGATATACATTCGTCTAATTTTGCATTGGAGGAAACCAGCTGACATTTGTCGTCCCTAGGCAGCTATGAGCCTGCAAAACAACTTCCCCAAAGAGCGCAAATACTACTTTTGGGCTATCTTGATGTGCTACCTCATCACCATCGACCCTGCGAACTCGGAAATAGACGGCAAGCTCTTTGGTACGCTTGCTTATCGTATGATATTAAAAGCTGCCTCAAGTGTGCCAACCGACCCGGTATGAAAAAAAAACCCCCTGAGTACTTCATGTCTCTTCTTATCTTCCGTTGTATACAAGTGAGGCTCATTTGGTTTCTCCTCATTATTACACAGAAAGAGTTATTGAGTCCGGCTAGAGCGATACAAACCTCTGAAGAACTCTTCCTGCTGATAAAGATCCTTGAAACACAAGGGCGCCACGAGGAAATTGTTTCTTTGCTTAACAGCAAGCACTTAGGTATCGAGTCTCGAATTGCCCAGAAAGATTGGGCTTTTGTTAGCGCGAAAATTGTAGGTCTCGAAAACGCAGGGCTGTGGGATGAAGCAATCTCATTTACCCGGGAGCTGCTTGCTCTTCCGGATGACCTTACAAACGGTTCGACGACGGCGGCTGTCCAAGAGAAAGACGATTGGCAAGTTTGGAGTCTTCTTCTCGCCGCCACCAAGAAATTAGGAAAGAAAGAGTATGTCCTGACCGTGTGCATGAAGCTTTGTTTACTCGCAGAAAGCTGATAAAATTTTATTTTGAAGGGCGCCACGAGAGACCCAGGACTTCATCGCAGCGTACATTAAAAGGCAGCCAAAATCACGGAATGCCCAGTTGGCTGCTCTTGACTTGACAGAGCAACGGATTACGATGAACGAACTTCCCCTGGAAGATCTTCTCCCGGCGTGCAAAGAATATTTCAACCGCAATTGTACCAAGCTCTATTGCTTCCATGACCTGCGGAAATATCTAATCAAACTTGATCGGTCGATGCAAGACGAATTCCAAATTTATGCTTCCCAAAAGGTTGTTGCAGATCAGAGCGCAGATGATCAGAAGCAGGTTAGGACAAAATGTACCCCCATCCGTTTTCTTACAGCACTAAACTAAATCTATATGCTATTATAGGTTACCGATCCCTTTAAAGGAGTTGCTGCTATCAATGCCCTGAAATTTGAGTACTGTTTCCAGTTGTCATTGAAGGGTGACGAAAAACCCTCAGTGCAAAAGGTCGAAAACTTTGTATCTCGGTGCCTTCGTATTTACCGGAGCACCGAAAGGCCTAACCAGAGTGCAGCTCCATCTACCATCGAAAGCCAGCCAAGTGACGATCTATGCCTTTTAGCCGTCATGGCCTTAATTAGATTACACGAAACAAATAATGAGTCTAAGCCTGACGTCGCCCCTCATGCTGCATTAGTCCAAGCGGCTGCACTTATAGAGAATTTGCTACTCAAGTCACCCTGTAACTATGAAGCTCTTTTGCTCTTGGTTCGGATCTACCTCCTTCTGGGAGCGGGCTCGCTGGCCCTAAAGTCGTTTCATAAATTGTCTGTGAAGCAGATGCAATATGAAACAGTTGCACATAACCTCTTTACCCGCCTCGGATCGACGCACCCGCATGCTGCCCCCCCTTACGAAGGATTGGAACCGAAGGATTACGATCCACAAACTGCGATGAGGCAGGCGTTGAGCTTTTATCGGAATTCTGAGATCGCGACCACCTATTCACGAAACGTTGGTCTGGAGCATGGGAGCTATGTTAATGTGGCTGGAAGCATCGAGCTGCAGAAGAGCCTGAAGAATAGCATATGTAGAAGAATGTGGGCATTGGAAACCCGGAGGATTCAGCGGCTGGTTGGTGGCGACCCGGTAGGGCAATATGACCATATTGGTAGGTTTCCAAATCTGTTGTTCATTTCCTAAGAATATTTCCGTGAAGCTAACAATGCACATCATAAGCAGTCTCCGACACAGACCCTGTTGTTGACAAACGCAACTTCGACGGCTTCATGAACTGTGAAGCTCCAGGAACACTCAGCTTTGAAGAGCATGTCCGTCTCGGGCCCAAGCCAGGGGTAAGGTCATTTCCATTTGAACACCAACGCGTGATTACCAGATAGTGAAGCTAACGTTCGGTTGAAAACAACTCATAGGCCCACGCAGTAAAAGCAATGACCATCACCGACGTCCTATTTAGTTACCTAAAGAGTAACACCTCTACAAAAAAGGCATCGTCGTCTTCACACCCAGTCTCGCCAAATATCAATCTATCTCGCTACCTCAACCCAGAATTCGACCTTCCCCTCCTCGAGACAGAGTTAACTCCCGCCGAAATCGAAAACGTAAACATCCACCTCACCCTCCTAAAGGCCCTCGCATCCCTATCCGCCGCCACCAACACCAAACAATCATCCCCACCAGCTCCCCTAACCACCCACCTCGCCACCCTCGAATCATTCCTAACTAAAAAACTGACTGCCCTATCCGCTACTCCCCTACCCACATCAATCCTCCTAACAACCATACCCCTCACCCCTCCTAGCAAACAACAGCCTTCCGCCACCTCCTCCATCGCCCCCTCCTGGCTCTATCTCCACACCACAATATCCCTCCTCGAGACCCTAAAGGCCACCACCTTCTTCCTCACATACTTATCTCCCTCATCATCAACAGCAAAGACAAAATCGAAGGTCCCCACTACGACCACAAAAGAAGCTCTCCCAAACAAGGAAACCCTCGAAAACCTCCACACCCTCGTCAAGCAACTCATCGACGCTATCCGCCGGAACACGCGCTTTTTGAAGATGCAGATTGCCGAGTCGGGGATGTTGGGGGAATTGGTGGAGTGGGTGACGGGGGGTTATGGTTTTGAGAAAGACACCGTTAAAAATGGCGACGGTGATGGGGAAGAGGAAGGGGCGGTAAAGAGAGAGATTGAGGAGATGATGGATACGGCGTCTTTGGAGCTGTTTTGTGGATCGTTGATGGAGAGTTGGGATGAGGCGCTTGATGGGGTTTTGGGGTTATGTGCGTCGATGTGAATATGCGCGAATTTTTCTTTTATCTTTTTCTTTTTCCCTGTCTCTTCGTTGGATCTGCTTGAGATGGATGGTTTTGATGTGTTCGGATTTTTGTGGGGAGATGTGAAGTGGGCTGGGCGGGTTGATGGATGGATGGATCTTGTGCGTCATATATATATGCACAACATATAATTCTATAAAATAGCGAGGGGATGAGCTAGAAAAAGTTAAACGGCTTTGATCACGTTTACTCAGTATGCAATGGTACATGTACATTACGTGGTAATTGAGATTTCTGGGGGTTCATTTATTCCATATTTACGCGACTGGCTGGTCGGGGAAGCTCACTCGCATGGATGGGTATTTTTCCCATAACGTGTGCTTGATAATAAGCTCCTCGTTCTAGTATCCCAAGCCCCATAATCTAGTAGCATCATATTACCGTGGATCTAGCTCTCCTTTTTGCTTCACGACAAAAAAAGATAACTGTCAGAACATCGTGCCAAGGGAATGCCATTTATCAGAAATTATCAAAGCTCAAAAAATAAAATAAAATAGGAAAACAGAAAGATAAAGAGGACACGCAGGGCTTTGAAACCCCTCTGGTCACCACTTCCGTCTTCCTAGATCTTCCCACTCTACCCATAAGACGAAAACCGCAGACCAGAAAACTATCTAATCTTGTCGTCCCTTGAGCAATCGCTTTGTGACTTTGTCCTTCTCTATGATATAAACATGTGCTCCCCAACCTGACAGGGCGTCTCGATCAACGGCGTTAAGTAGGGCTTGCGAGATGGTCTCGAACAGGTCATCAGGTCCCTAGTTCAACGGAGTCAGCACATTAAAGCCCTTTAAATCAAATGAGATAATAGAAAAAGAAAGGAAAATAACATACGAGATCCGGTTCCCACAACCCCTCACAAGTCCCAAACAGCTGATCACTCGCCGTACCACTGACGATAAAGTCCTGCGCAAAATCAATACAGCCAATACTATCAAAGCCACATATGAACGGTTTGCCCGTCGTATTATCTATGCCCGCCAGCACGGGGCTGACGAAATAGGGGCCGAAGCGCTTCTCGTACAGAGTTGAGCTGGTCAGGTTGGCCAGTGTCTTCGGGGAGATATGTCGCTCTTCGCGCAAGCGGTACATGTTGACTTTGAAACGGAGGACGTCGGAGACGGTGGAGACGTCTGTGGCGAGCCCTGTTAGGCCGAGATAGGTCGAGGGGGCGTAGTTGAAGATCTTGGGGAAGTTGTTGGAGACGGTGAGGGCTTGCAGACCCAGTCGGAGGTCGCATGCAATGGCAACACAGTCTTTGCCGACCATGGCGACGCAGGCACCGCCATCTGTTCGAGGGGTGGATGGTTAGGAGAGGGGGCTTCAAGGTATACTATTTGGGAGTTTAAGGAGGGGACAATGTGAGAGGGAGGGGGGGTATATGTATACTTATGTCGAAGGGGGAAGACTATATATGAGTGTTAGATAGGTGTTGCTGAGCTAAGATTGGGGGGAGGAGAGCTTACCATGATGTGATGTGGATAAACAATCAGTGGGAGCAAATGGCACAATGGGGTATCTGGGGCAACTATAACAGGGCAGATGTCGCAGTCGGGGTAGTAATTATAGCGGGTAGAGGTGGGTGTGGAGGTGTGTAGATGTGTAGATGTTGTAGATGTGTAGATGATGATGTCTTGGTGTCTGCTGAGATGGTTTGTATCGTAAGAGGAAGCTCTGGCACAACGCGCGCTGAGCTCGGGCCACCCGCCGGGAAGTACGTAGTAGTAGTAGTATTAATAAGCAGCTTCGTCGTCGTCGCCGCTGCCTGGCCTGGCCTGGAACATTTATACAACTTCATCTCGCTTGATACAGCTTAACTCTTAACTCCCGGTTGCCAATACTTTTATTATGAATGAAGCATACTTGGAATTGTTGTCAGAGGGTATTTCTGTATCTCCCAGCGGACACGGAAATCAGTTGCAATACTTTTTTTTACCCTTGGTTGGGTCGATCTATGAATATACATCTACTGGTTCTCTCCAAGTCAGTCTGACTGCTCTCCTTTGAATATGGATTAAACCCGGGGGAGAGAATGATGGATAGCCCTGCCGTCTTCAGCTCGGTTGGTCGGGCTCCTCCCCTGCTGCTAATAATTATATTGTTGGTTATCAGCTTTTTATATTGGCTAGCACAGGCCTATGCAGATCAACCCTGGAATCCCTCCTAGCCAATGCTTTGATTTCAAAGACTATTGCGAAATGCAGCAAGTCCTAGCTGCTCACCCTGTCATCAGGCTAAATTCTAAAATAGGAACAAGATCATTTGGCGGTGATATGCTGACGCAATATAATATGCTGCTTGTTCTATCATCCGTTGATCAGAGCTCCTCAGCTCCAGCATCTTGCTTGCGGAGTTCCAACATTACATATTGCCATATCAACATGTGCGGCTGCTTAAACTGACCGAGCCAATTTCCTCTTCCAATTTTTTCCGTCAGACCGTCCTCTGATAGCAGCTACATATACTCTACAACTCGTAAAGTTGCGCTGCAAAACATGGCCGAGAATAATTCTCCCCCTATGTACACCGACACGCCGTTGGCCATAATTCCAACGCCAAAGTTTCAAACTGGCAATGTGCGTACTCTCTAAAGATTCATCAGCCAACTAGCACGTCGCCCTCCAGTGAGACGGGGAACCATGTTGCTGACCTATTCATTCTGCAGGAAGACCCTTTCACGATAGAGGCTTCCCACATGGCCCTCAGCCACAACGCGTTCATCCGCGGCTTCAACAGCATCTACCAACAGGCCCCTCGTCTCCAGAAGGCTACCGACAAGTGACTTTGTCGGCTATTGCCAGGCTTGGATTGAATGCGTCAAGACCCATCACCACTATGAAGAGACAGAGTTGTTCCCTAACATCAACAAGGCGGCTGGCACGACTGGATTGACGGAGGATGCTGTGCAAGAGCATGGGTTGTTTTATGCGGGGATGGATCGCATGAAGGCTTATCTCGATGAAAAAAGCGCTGAGTTCTCCGCCGCTGAGCTGATTGCTATTCTGGAGTCGTTTAAGGAGCCGCTGCACAATCATCTGAAGGCCGAGCCACCTGCCATTGTGGATTTGGCGAGGTATAGCACGGAGCAGAACCCTATAGACATCGTAGCTATCGCCGCCGCTGCTGGTAAATATATCTCCCTCCCCTTCCCCCCTTGTTGCACCCGCCGCATGTGAGCTTGCAGTCCGCGGGTTTCAAATTAATAGCTGAAATTTCAACGTTTTCTAGGCAAGAAACAAATTAACTTTGGCTTCTTCCTACACACGGTCCCTGTCTTCTTCTTGAATATGGAAGCGGCCACTTTCGAAGGTGGCATGTGGCACGGAGTTTTCCCGCCTCTTAAGGGTTTGGCTAGAACCTCGGTGAACAATGTTGTGCCAATGTGGCACTCCAGTAGATGGCGCCTTGCCAGCTGCACTCCGGAGGGAGAATACAAACAGCTGGCTGTTTAATGAGGGGGTTGTTAATATTTGGAGCTGGAGGCGTTCTGCTGAATTTGTACTTTTATGTTCTTGTTTGCTGTGAAACTCGTGTAGCCCTACTGTTGGAGCCCCAAATCAAATGGGACTCTTCAGAGTCAACAATATCAGTGGTTACCCGGGCACCTTTTGGGAATTCGATTCTAGGAGAGGTACGGTTGGTGTGACCTTGCCTCCCAGTTCTGGGAGTTAGCGATAGGCGGGGGATACGAGTGACTACTCATCTTATTGACGGAGGCGCAAAGCACTTCGGCAGAGTGCCCCGCAGCCGAGAAACTTCTAGATCTGGAATTTAAATTCCATGCATCTAACCTTTGAACAATATTTCATTTTTACTCATTTCAAAACATAGAGACTGGCTGTATAGAGTGTGTAACCAAGTAAACCTGGCGGCAGTGTTGTTATTTAGGCGCGGTTTGGCGTTGCCGCAGTCCCGCCACTCAAAATCTCCAAGCGCTGTCTGTTATAGTTAAATATGTCATCTACCTCCGCGCGAACAGCTCCAGACTATCCCGCTTCATACTCCATTCCTCACCATGGCTTCGCACGTTGTCGTGATAGACTCAGCTGCTCGAAGGGCTACGGTGAAAGTCACTCCCACGAAACATCTCACTGAGGTTCTTTCGGAAGCATGTTCCAAGCTCGGGCTTGATGCTCGCCAGTATGGACTCAAGTGAGTGCTGCCTGGCCCCCAGCGACGCGTCTCTCCTTCAACTCGATACTTTCCTATAACCATATGTATCTGTATCCCGGTTTTAGTTATTAACTATTGACCTGTACCTTTGTGAAAGGCATCAGAAGAAACAGATCGATCTCTCGCTATCTATACGGCTATCAGGCCTAAGCTCCGGTGCTAAACTTGAGCTTGTGCAGCTTTCGCGCTCCCCCTCCGTCGTCTCTGTTGCCTTACAGCTTCCCGAATCAGAGGCCCAGGGTGCCCCAAATGGACGTTTGACGGATAAATTCCCAAGTAATACTACGTTATGGCATGTGTTGCGGAAATTCGAAGCTGGGGTGGCGGGGAATGGAACCACGAGAAACTTGACTGCTAGGGGTGTACCGTCAGCCGCGACTGGTACGGGACGGCTGTTTTACGAATCTCCCGTTATCCAGGTCGTAGGGAGGGAACTATCGACATTTTCAGATCTGCAGAGAACTCTTGGGCAGCTGGGGTTCAATAGCGGCAGCACACTGCTCAGACTGAGCTTCCGGACGACTGATAAGCCTCTTGAAGAGGCAATGATGGAGATTGGGGAATACTTCAAGTCCGTGGAGGAAGAGCAGGGCGACAGTGGCGCAAAAGCTGCTGAGAGTTCCAACCGCGAAACTCCTGCTTCGTCAGGCCCGGAAGTGCCAACGCCAGAGTCAACGTCTACATCAACCCCATCCAATATTATGGATACCACTCCCGAACAGCCAGCTACACCAGAAGAACGTCAACAACAACCCCCTTCGCCAACGACAATTGTATCATCAAGACCTACCACCGTCTACGCCCCACCGTCAAGCACAGTACCACAATCCGCGCAAACACCATTCAACGAACACGACTACATCCCTACCGTCAACCATGCAAAAGCCCACCAACTCCACCTCAACCGCACTTCCCGTCCCAACCGCCTCCCCACCGACGCAGAACTGGCCGCCAAAGCATCCGCCCAGGAAACTAAGCTCGCCAGCGTCGCCGACGTCGAAGTCAAGATCCGCTTCCCGGACCAGAGCCAGGTGGTCTCCAAGTTCACCAGGGAAGATACAGCGCAGGGGCTGTATGCCTTTGTCAGAAGCTGTCTAGATGGTTCTATAGCGAGCGAGGGATTCTCGTTATCTTTCTTCGCTGCTGGCGCGGCCGGTGCCGGTGCGGGCGCAGGTACAGGTACCCAGCATTCGTTATTATTAAAAGGTCAATCGGTAATCCCCGACGTGGCTGAGAAACTCCTCATTCGCGATCTACGCATGAACGGCCGCGTGCTGGTGAATTTCTCCTGGGCGAATAATGTCTCGTCGAAGGCGAAGATCGCGTCGACTCGTGGGCATATCCTCCGCCCGGAACTGCGGCAGGTTGCTAGCCAGATCAAGGTGCAGGAGGTTGCTGCTGTACCTATCGATGATAAGGAGGATAAGTCTTCATTGCAGAGGCTGGGCGGTGGCGGTGGGGATCGGGCGATGTCTGGGGGAAGGAAAGGGGGTGGCGTACCGAAGTGGTTGAAGTTACCGGGGAAGAAGTAGGGGAAGAAGGGTCTTATTATTATATTTTCTATTGTTGACTATTGGAATAGGGGGGTAGGATTTCACGCTTTTAACTTTTATGATGAGCTTAGATGTCCATGAGGCACATGATTATGAATTTGAGATTTTTTTTTATAAAGCCTACTTCGCCCGTCTCGGGCTCGTTGGGAGGGCAATAATCGCATTTCAACTTCATACCGTACATGATACATACCCGGTTTTCTCTTTCATCTAGCTTCTCCTATGGTAGGGTGCGTTTTCTACGAGGTTGTCGAGGTTGGTTACACGCAGACTATCTGTGATACATGCGTACCCGGCGAAGTTGTATGGCAAGATGATTGATTCTCCGCCAGCCGGAGCGTAAAGTGAACCGAAAATAGAGCTGCTAGATTCCATCGCGGTCGCTTATGGCTAAGGCACATTTTTTCCATCTTCTCCCATATGGCCCCTCATTTTGCAGTTATCGGGTGACAGTTGGCATGTCCCATCCTCCACCGTACTGAACTTTAGGTTGCTGGTGCGCAAAGGGATCGAGAGGCTGCCAACGGCCGGATCTAGAGAAGATGGGGAATGGCCGGAAAAAACCTTCAAATAGTAGCAACAAAAGAAAAGAGGGATCTGGATATGTTATGGTATTGGTTTGTTTGTTGTTTTATTTTTTGTTCGAAATATCGTTTCCGTTAATATAAATATTAAAAAAAAACACAAGGAAAAAAAAAAAAAAAAGGGATGTTTTGATGGTAAACCATGACACCAAACCCTCAATTCAAAGAGTAGCAAACAGCAACAAGCCGGTCCCTCTCCATATCATATCCCTCTCCACGAAAACCAGGCGCCTTCTTTTTCTCCCTTAGAAAACAAGAATATTTAATGGCCGGCTCTCTTGGCCTCAGCAATGACCCCTTGCATCTCGTCGACCTTTCTCTTGGCACGGCCGAAGGTACCGAGCTAAATAGAAAGGAAAAAAAGATGTTAGCGATAATGGTATTCTTTGGAATGTGTTATGTCCTTTATGAAGCGGCCTCGGCCCCGTCTTAGTCTCCTCAATTCTAGCCATTGGAATGCCCCGTCATCTTCCCTGAACGCGTTGCTATATTGTTTCCTTCCTGCCTCTGATTGAGGGAAAATGCTTGGCGAAAACGGTCGATGTATATAGGTTTATCACAGACCGGGGGTTTCGATTTGTTGTTTGTAGGTGCGTATAATCAATGCCGATTCCTTTCATCATTTGTCTTCTTTCTCATTTTTTCCCACTTCATTTGTTTCCCGCCATAGTCTCTTTATATCCCATCCATCGTCCACCTCTTGAGCTAGACGAGGCCTTGGCCAACTAAACAATGGATAACAAAATCAAATGGGGACTCACCCGCTTCTTCGCGAGCTTACGGGCCCGCTTGTCCTGGGCGTTTCTCAATAGTTCGACGACACGGCGCTCATATGGGGCAAGACCGGCGACTTCCTTGACGATCTCACGGACGAACTGTGTGCGGCGGGAGAGGTGGCCCTTTGTCCGCGAGATGCGTGGCTTGGTCGTGTTGGCCGTGGTTTTCTAAAAACAGGCGTAAAAAATCTCCTAGTCAGTTTTTACTCGTAGGCTAATCGTCCTTAAATCTCCAATCTTTGCTTCTTTTTCCTGCCCATCTTATTGGGAAGGGGAAATCCGGAAATTGGGCAGTAAATGAAAATTGCCAACACAACGCAATTGAAGGGTTGTAATTCTCATTCTGGAGAATGTAGAGGCATAGTGTAGGTGCTCCAAGAAGCAAATGGGCAATACGGAGGGGAAAGACGGCGGGAAAAGGGTTAAACTCCAACGTACATGGCCTTTGTTCAAGCCGACGATGATACCGGTGCGTTCCTTCGCCATCTCGATCGTTGATGACGGGTGATGGTGATGGGTAATGCGGAGGAGTGTCGTTGTCGTTGTCGTCGGAGGTTGAAATGCCAGCTCTGGCTACGGAAGGTTTTGGTTGGATGAGGCCCAAGTGCGTAGCGAGAAACGAGGTTTTAGGGTTTAGGGTTCGAGCCCTATCCGTGTCCCAAAACGGTTGGGAAGGTGTTCTCAACTCATTTTCAACAACTTCAACAACAGTATGGCCCTTTGACTGAATTATATATCTAATAAATTTGGTTGTGTTTTGGGGTAATACCTACTATCTTTGAACTTTTGTTCTAGACTAATCCAGCCTTTCGTTCTGCCAAAGCTCTCACCCCATTTTCCGATGGACCTCGTACCCAGGATATATTTCCGCGTGGATGACTTTTAAAGGACAGAGTTCTAAGAGGCCATGTTCCAATGCTTAATTTTCAAGTCGGATGGATGCCTTTGGCCTGGACTAGCTCTCCGGCTTTCTGAGCAACAATTCTACCCGTAGTCAAGGTCGATCTTGAATAACAACCTCGCTGAACTGACAGAGTCAGTAAATTATTAAAGCAGGGTCTGTTGAACTTCGTTCAGCATGAGTGTAGCCCATGTTAATGAGATTGATATAAATAAGCCACTGTTTCGATGGAGTCGGCCAGCTCTGATTTTATACACTGTGTGATAGACCGCTCGGCGTGCCTTGCTTCTATATCTGACCTCAGATGGAAACCGAGCCATTTTGAAGTGTTTTTTTCTTTGCATGAACATTAGATGACCTGTACCCCCCAAAAAGATCATATTCCTCATACGCATGCGCTAATGAATATTTATTCACTGTAAGTAATCAGATTTGAAAATCTATCTAATTACTTCAGGGCTTGAATATCACGATTGATTACCTATAGTGGTAGAGGAAAAATTCATGCAAGGGGTGTTTCTCTGCATGGCTATATCATTTTTCAGAACAAGACAGCCAATTCAACTGTCTTTCATATTGTATAGGAATGCTCTGGCAATGCTACTAGGTAGTACTCAGATATAGCAAAGAGAAGGTTTGAGTACTTGAGTACTTCAACCTCGCTTTTTCCCTCCGGGCAAGAAACGCACAAGCCCTATGAAAGGCACACCAGAAGGAACATTGATATATGGCAGATTACGCCCATATTTCATTGGCTTTATTGCTTGTAGTAGAAATGAACGGGCTTTCATTTAGGCTTATAGCCACACATTCTAAATTGAACATGAGTTTGGTCATGATTAGCAATTTTCAGCCCATTTTTATTCTCCATGTCACTATGGAATGGTGGCCTTGCTCCCTGCTAATACAATTTGACAGAGATCAATATACTTATAAGCAGTACACTGTACCAATTTTAATGATAGTGGAGAGGCTTGTGTAGAATGAGCAGATATGTGTGAATAATTGTGAATAATTGTTTTGACCCTTTTGCATCTAAATATTCAATCTGTTTCATCCTCCTAGAAGGCTCCTTACTACCTACTGCTAAGTACAACACATGATGCAGATCAGTTCATATTATAGACTCATTCTTGTGTCTTTTTGTTGAGGGATGAAAATTTTCATTTGTCATTGATAACAGCCGGTCTCTTTCCTGCCATTCGATGTCTATAATGACAACGGAGAATTCATGACAGGATGGATGGAGACCGCCGGGTTTCGTTCGTAAAAATTCCCACCTCTCTCAAACCGCCTATCTAACTGAGAAGTTGAGATGGCTTCACACATTGCTAAGTAACATTAATAAACTCCCAGCTTGTGTTCGAGCACTAACTTCTAACTTGCCAGCTCAATGCGGATTTGAATCCGCGCCATGGTGCTGATTTCGCTTGTCACTTAGACCTGACCTGGTGAGGAGAAAGATCATTATTATTTCCGTTCAGTATGCTGTTTCTGCATTGCATCCTCGCCTTCTTCGTCTTTTCTTTTCTTTTCTTTTCTTTTTTTTTTTGAACCAGAGGAGGTGTCCTGTGTTCCGGAGGTCTTGGTACCCCCCCCCCCCCCAACATCCCACATTATCGTATGAATGTTTGCCATGTATCATGTATGCTATGCATGGCATTTTTGCCAATTTTTTTTCCTAGTTCGATGCGGTCCAGGCGCAGAAGCTGGCTCGGCTTGGACGCCCATCTCCGAATGGAAGCCACATAAATATCATACCTCATCCGTACACCGTATGCTTTAAGGGATTGGGAAATCTAGCAAAATCTATGAAGGATGTCTCCCCCATAGTTTTGATATCCAGGCATCCACATCGTAGTCACCAGGTAGATCCTTTTCCGGTTTACGGAGTACTCTCCGGTGTGATGCTACCAACTTTTCATTTTTACTTTCATTTTCCTAGTTTTCACAACCCCGGTGATCGCCAGTCAAGCCACTCGGCGCCAAAGCGTGCTTCCCCGTCGCCCCGGCCATCTTTGCAGTTTCCAGCCAACGGCTCGATTTTGGCTGCGGGCCTAAAACCCGCGTTACGGCGAAACAGCGTCCGAGCACCGTCGCGAAATCGAAAAAGCCCAGAATCAACAGCTAAACTGTCTGCGCGGGGGGCGAAGAGGTGTTGAGCTGGACCTGTTTGGGGGCTTGATACTCAGCGCAGCCAGTGACTGAAGATGGACAAGCAATCTCTATCCATGGATCCGATTTCGTTATGGCGGGAAGACGGAGGATATTTAGAGGGTAAGAAAAGCGCCCATGCGCCTATGCGGCCAGGTCTCTCCCCTGAGTCCCTGACTTCCTGAGAGCCCTTTGGTGCTGGAGACTAGAGTAGGTGCGGTGGTGTGTGTGCACAATCCATCGTTAGCGCGAGGCCCAGGTTGACACGGACTGTTTGGCCTAGAGTTTGAGAATGGGTAGGATAATTTGTTTGCAGCATTTTCTTTGGAGGGAATCCACTTAGCAGATCATATATATATATCCTTTTTTGCAATCCGCCGGGTAAGCCGAATATTAGAGGCTCCTGAGAAGTGGCTATCATGGGCCATCAAACTGGATTTTATCCCTTGCTCATCCCAATTATAACAATAACAAGAGTAACGATCCGGAAAATAAAATATGTATAACCTGGTTCCTGGAACAACGAGACTGTACTAGTAGTGGTGGTGGTTGTTCCTTAGGCGCCTCATCCCCTAACTATGAGTTAAGTGTAGTTGTAGTTGTGCTGGCTGCTCTTTAACTCCTTCGCGTGCCCCTCTTTGCTTCCCTCGTCCTCGCAACAACCGTGCTCTGCTCGGCCTGCTCACCACGGCTGCAGACCACCACCACCAGCAGCATTATTATTATTGTTGTTGTTGTTGTTGTTTGTGCCTGTAATAAGTAATTAATTCCTCTTAAATTTACTCTTCCATATAGTTATTGCTCCCGAGGAACCTTTCTCACTCCCCCCCGGCCCGCTGATATTCTCCCCCCTCCACCATCGTGCCGGCTTATTGCAGCCTGATACGAGGACGACCGACAACGACGACTTACGACCGGCTTATCCCTATCGCCCACTCTCATTATCTGCATTGACAGCTATATTAAATTCGCGTAGCTATCCGAATGTCCTCGAAAGGAAGTAGGTAGTGTGGCCAGATCCAGGTCCGCACCCTACATGTACTACTGTACAGCCGTTTCACCTCCTCCACCACCACACAGCTACGACGGATACCGGATTTTTCGAATACTGGATGAGCATTTATATGTGCTGATGAGCATGCTCTGTACATTCTCTAGTTGTGCAGGAAGGCTACCGTCGAGCCTGGGAATTTCCAGTCATTTCGAGCTCTCGACAGCCGAATAAATAATCGTCCTCGAGCCCCTTTTCTATCGTTTCTCCATAGAGCCGTCGGGGGTCTACATGAGGTTCGCAAAGGTCGTAGGACAATGTCGAGCACCATCGGGGCTGAATCCTCCAACCACTTCGTAGATCCAGCTTTCATTGAGCGCCACACGCTTTGTCTTCCGAGCCTATCTTCGAGCGGAGAACCGGAATTTATTGATGGCATGATGAGACATTATGAGGTTGGACAGAGCAATGCAATTGAGCGTCTTCTAAGATTGAAAGAAGAATTAAGAGATGCGGAGACTGAAACGTTTTGGAAACGTTTGCTCGAGGGGGTCGCAGCCATCTGCAATGCCCAATGCTCGTTTGTAGCCACCTCAAATCCAGAGCCCGCCCAATACCTCAAAAATGGCTATGATACTGTGATGTCAACCGCTGAAACCCACGAGTATTCTCCTTTCATAGGTGTCGCTCTGTACTATAACGACGGCAACTCGATCTCAGCGATGCACAGAAACTACAAGCATTTCTCTCGGGATATACCCTGTGCCTTCATGAAACACGGCAAGGTTTTTCTCATCCCGGAGAATTTGGCTTCGTACATGAGCAGTGGCACGAATACGCTCCCATTCCCAATGGATGCCTACTTGACTGTTCCCCTTTCCTCCGATGGAAAGTGTTTTTCTCATTTTGGGCTGATGTGGACTGCTGAAGGTTTAGTGAAGCGCGATGTCTCCTGGGCATATCTTGAAATGATTCTCCACTCTTTGGAGGACTTCGTACAGCACCGCATCTTGAACGAGCAAGACCACAAGAAGCCAATGCTCGTCCAGAAAAGAGACGAACAGCAACGAAGAGGCAGAGCTAGAACAAGCAGACCCACCGCCTACCATCATTCTGCTTCTACAAGCTCGCACTCGTTTAAACCATATGCACGGAGCTTATCCCACGAGTTGAGAACACCCATGCAGGGAGTGGTTGGGATGCTGGATGTCATGCACGCCAACGTGCAAGAAGCAATGGACAAGCGGCTCGATGCAGCAGGGATAATCCCGATGTTTCAGGAGCTCAAAGATAACATTGAGGCAATCCAAGGTTAGTTCCACCCACCCTGACTACTAAGTGTCATTGACGCTATTCGGATTTTGGATCAATTTTGTTAATGGCATAGTTGTGCGAACTTACAGACAGCGTTCGAAGAGCAGTTGAGGCAGCTGATAATGTGGTGCATGCTTATGATCTAAATATGCAAATACCTGAAACTCCCCAAAATCCTGCTAGGGAGCAGAGTGCTGGGGCTTCTTTGCGATCGTATAGTGGAGATTACGATTCTCGCCCCAATATTCTTATCGAAGGGAACAACATTGCCGTAAATCCATACAAACGGAGACGGAGTAGTCCAGTTGATTGGAATTATAGCCCTCCCTCAGGATCTAAATCTCCAAGATTACATCGACGAGAACTCTCGCCCCGAAGCGCAGATGTTAAGACGGTAGTTGAAGAGAGTGAGAAGATCGTTCAAGCCGGCCCGCGAGTCGAGGAGGACCGTGAAGTCCAAGAGGCTCTAATCAACGCTCGACGCTCCTCACTAACCGAACAGTTTTCGTGTTCTAACATATACGTTAAACCCAAAATTTTCCCTCCCATGACGCTACAATCCACGAAAATCCGCGAGATACTGCAACCGCTTATCAACGAATCGCTCCATGTGGGAGGCCGGCCAGATTCTGCATTTGTTGAACCGAACATGTTCGGCCAAAAAGTTGAGATCAGGTCAAGATCTTCAAGTGGGCGGGCTTCAACAAAAATTATTGACTGGTCTGTCGATCCGTCAGTGCCGGACATACTCTACGTCGACGAAAGGGACTTTACCAAGCTGGTGTCCTGCGTCTTTATTAATGCTCTAAAGTTTACAGAATCCGGAACTATTACACTTGTTACGAAGTTGAGTGGTTCGGGCAAGTGTGTTCTAATTAATATCAGCGACACTGGGACTGGGATTCCGGAAGACTTTCTTCCAAACCTTTTTCAACCTTTCGCTCGAGAAGACGACTCTACGACGAGGAGCAAGGAGGGATTAGGTCTCGGGCTCTTGGTCGCTAAGGGACTGTCTAGGAAGCTTGGCGGTGATTTAAGGTGTCTTCGTTCATCCACGAGGGAGCCAGATCGTGGATCCGAATTCGAAATCCGGCTACCCATAAGCCCTAATGACAGTGTCAGTCCGCCAACCACGCCGCAACATGCATATGCTCCTTCCCAATCGAATTCGAACCCGTCTTCGCATTTTGATACTCCAACCGATGAGTCGAAAACGGTGAGAAATAGTTCGGAAACTCCCCCTTCGGAATCATCTTCGAATCGCCGGGTCCCGACACGAGCAAGCTCAAGTTTCACAAACGGCGGTTGGCTGGGACCGTCGCGCCGCCTATCAGCTTCATCTCGTGGTGGTTCCGCCCTTCTCTCTTCCAACAGCTATGACCGCCAACTCGCAGACAAACACCCTCTCACGTTTCTAGTGGCAGAGGATAACAAAATCAATAGACGAATCCTCGTTAGCATGCTTGCCAAACTGGGATACAATGATGTATATGAGGCCTTCAACGGCAAAGAAGCAGTTCGTATCATGAGCGAAATCATCCTGAACGACATGTCTCCAGACCTGGAACCGGCACCGCAGAGTCCTTCCGGACGAAGTGTCTCCGAAATGAGCACGGACACCGTAACTTCGCTCATAGAAGACTGCGAAATGTCAACATTTAGCGAACCACCTATCAAACCGGCGCCAACAAAATCAAAGTTCGTCGACGTCATCCTCATGGATCTCTGGATGCCCGATATGGACGGGTATCAAGCCACGGAGAAAATATTGGATATGGTTGGGAACCATCGTGATAGACTGAGGAACGAGAACGTACCGGACGTGCTATTACCACCCAGTCCTACCGTCTTAGCAGTCAGTGCGGACGTCACCGATGAGGCGTTAGGTCGTGCTACCAAGGTGGGCATGGAAGGCTATATGACAAAACCGTACAAGTTGACCGATTTGGAACGGCTTATCGTGGAATTTTGCGGCAACCATGAATCATGGGAGATGTGAGAGAAAACGGAAAGGGAGGCGCAGGGTGATTTCGCCTCATCTATTCTCACCCCAGCTTCTCCCATCTCAATTTCTTTTTTCTGTGTTCCTGACATAACCCCCAAGGGGCGGGGATCGGTAGGGCAGTGAACCGCGCGATCGAAACAACTCCATTTCTTCTCCTTTTCCTTTTTTTTCTTAAATATCTTATAGGGAGGGGAGGTCGGCCATTTCAAGATTTCTTTCTTTCTTTTTTCTGGGGGGGGGATACCCAGGATTCAGTTGTGATTAAAATGCGAAAATGGGGTGTTAAATCAGGATGAAGCAGTTAGAAGAAGAAAACAATCACAGGGGTACGCAGGAACACAGTTTGATGTGCTAAGCAACTTGCATATTTGTCCGTCTCGCCTTAACAGGTTTTATCGGGACGTCTCCTTGTATCGGAGTGGGCCCCCTTGATTTATTTTTATTTTTATTTTTATTTTTATTTTTTGTCCCTTCCCCGTTTCCCGAATCCAGGATTGCGATGACGGCAGACCCCACTCCACTACGCTCTCTCACTACGCTCTCTCCCACTTTTGACCATCAGCTACGTATAGCGTGCTTAGCCTTCATTTATTTTATTCTTGTGCTCCGATTCATATTTGCGCGTATACCGCGTTGCTGGAGGATCTTCTCCGGCTTTGTTTGGCCCTGCGTCGTCAGCATCTAGTTTATATACCCCCCTTTTTTTTTGCCTGTGGGTATAGAAGCCCCCCGTTTTTATTGTTCTATATCGTTGTTCGTATCTTCAGATGCAGGTACATTTGCTCGGAGTTTTGTCTTTTTGGCTAAGAGTGACCTATGGATGGTTCCTATTAGATCAGATGACCATATACCATATATACTGCTTTGCAAGGTTATTGTTATTATATCCCGGCTAGCGGTCTTTTGGGTGTTGTAGCTACATACATATCGTTGCCGAGCTTGCCCCTGCTGCGTGTTTCGTTCGGCTGTGTAATTTGAGTGCTTGTTTTTTCTGCGATTACTGTCATTCCAGCTCTTTGATAGATGATATATAGATGATAGTTATATATATAAGAAGTCTTGACTATTCGCATATTGTGGTAAAGATATCTTTCGCTATCGGCTTCCCTGCTGCCCACTCCCTGCCCTGTACTTTGCTGCCCCTCAATCCTGCTCTACCGATCGGCTCCATACTCCATGGCGCATTTCATTCTTGATGGTGTTCGGCATCCAAGAACTCGGATCAGGCAATCGATCGCGCAAGGGTCGGTGGACTCTGTGCACATCCAATGGAAGAAAGATATCTGTCTGCTCAATAATTAGGATCGAATAGAGCGCTAGCCAGAAAAGGGTGTTCGTCGTCGGCCGATCCACCAAATTTGTTTATTTTTTATATTTTTTGGTCCGGGGCAGCGGATGCTGTGGAACTGCAAGAGCGGAGGAGGAGGAGGAGTTTGTTTAGTTGATGTTTTAACGCTCGTACGTAGGGAAGATGTGTAACTATATAATATAAATAAAACGACTCGGTTGTCCGAAATATCAATCGCCGTTGAAACGTTGCGATCGGCATTATTTTTATTTGTTTATTTGATTCCTTGGTTTTGTTCGCAACTTGAAACTCAATCATCCTATTTATTTAGCCCAACGCCAGGGCTTCGATCATACAAACACCATCCATGAAGCTCTCTCATCTGGCGGCCGCGCTGTCGGCACAGCTCGTCGCCCCTGTCGCAGCCGGCTACTTACGTCAAGACATCCTCACAGCGGGCACGCTGAGAAACACCACCGTCCCAGCAGCTCCAAATGAAGACCTGAATCAGATAGTCTCCGACTCGCAGCTCCTCTCCCTACATCGCACAATCTGCGAAATTGAATCAGTCTCCAACCACGAATCTACGGTCGGGGAAGCATTGATCAAATACCTGGGCGAACATGACTTCACCACCGAAAAACAAATTGTGCCCGTCGACGAGGACGACGACAGCACCGACGAGCGCTACAATGTCTGGGCCTATCCCAAGGGCTCCCCAAAGCCCAAGATCATCTTGACCAGCCATATCGATACCGTCCCCCCACACATTAATTACAGTCTCCATGCGCCAGAGGGTGACTTCGACCGCGCCAACATCACCATCAAGGGCCGGGGCACCGTGGACGCCAAAGCCAGCGTCGCCGCAATGATCATCGCGGCACTCGACCACATGAAGGAAAGCCCCGACGTCCCCGTGGGCCTCCTATTCGTCGTCAGCGAAGAGAGAGGCGGTACGGGCATGATCCACTTCTCAGACTCGGAGCTCAACACCAGCCCGCCGTTTTTCCACACGCTCATCTTCGGCGAGCCCACGGAGCTCAAGCTTGTCGATGGCCACAAGGGCAACCTGCGCTTCGACGTCGAGGCCAAGGGCGTTTCCGCCCACTCAGGATACCCCTGGCTCGGTCACAGCGCCATATCAGAGATCCTCCCCGTGCTTGCTCGCATTGATGGCCTGGGCGATATCCCCGTCGAGGACGGCGGGCTGCCCTCCAGCGAGAAATATGGCAGCACGACGCTGAATATCGGCACGGTCAGAGGTGGTGCGGCTGGCAATGTCGTACCGGAGTCTGCCTCGGCCAGTGTTGCTGTCCGGCTTGCGGATGGCACGGTGGAAGATGCCCAAGATATCATTCGCAAGGCGGTTGCTGATGCCTCTGGCGGTAGCAAGAATATCACCCTCAAGTTCCCTGATGACAAGGCGTACCCGCCCATTGATCTGGATACAGATGTCGACGGATTTGAATTGTTGACGGTCAATTACGGGACGGATATCCCCAAGCTGGATATCCATGACGAAGACTCCGATGTTAAGGTTAAGAGATACCTGTATGGCCCGGGAACTATCCTTGTGGCACACGGGGTCGATGAGGGGCTTACAGTGGGCGATTTGGAGAAGGCGGTTGAAGGGTATTCGAAGCTAATTGATGCAGCGGTGAAGAGGGGCTAAAGGATATTTCTTTTCTTCTTTGTATAAATCCCGGTGTTATTTAAAATGCGCTTTTAGAATTGTTTCTTTTCTTTCGCGCTTTGCTAGCTACTTCATTGAACTCTGTTCGGGAATATTACTTCTTGGGCTGCACTTCATATGTCCTGTACATTTTGAAGCTCCTTGATTTATTTCTTTTGGCATTAACGCATACCTCCATCCCATCGGTTGTGGATAGACCCATTCAGCGTTCAAAGTGTGAGCTTGCATAGACTCATCAGAACCATCCATTACCTTACTCCGAAAGGACCAAAGCTCTTTCCACAGCTTGCATGCCCGCTACTTTGGTGCTCAGCCTATCCACAGTCCGTCCTTGTTCACATATGATAAATTAGGGAACAATATATATGCACCATCCGAAACTCAAAATATTAGATCTGGCACACAAGGCATCTATAAAACCGACATAGTAGCTCGAGCCATCTCCGGCTACCGTCTTCCAGCAGGGGCCATCGCTAGATGCCTGCAAGCTAGATACAGACGATTTACCCCAAGACAAAAAAAAGTTCATGCAGACTGAAAAGTTCGCCGACATAAACTAGTAGTCCACGAAGGATTAATCTGGATTATTGATCAAGGCAGAATATTGCTTGCTACAAGTGTCATTGCTGGGAGGTTAAAAAGTCAGCTGTGCCCGTCCACGGCGAAAGAACGAAGTGGAATAAATATATATAGAAGCGCGAAACCAATGCATGTAGAATGTTAACATATGAACAATAGGGAAGGAAGACACGGGACAGCAATGCTCAATATACATATACTCAGAAGAATTAAAAAGAGCGGAGGAACAGCAAATTTTGGATATCCACAACATATATATATGCGCAGGTGGGTATTCAAATTTAACAGACTCAGAAATAGATAGACAAAATTATCCTCAATGCAAACCGTCATAGAACAACCAAAAGAAAGAGAAAGCTAAAAAGAAAGAAAAAACTACCAAAACCATCCCCCCTTCCCATGCTTCCTCTTCCACCCAGTCTTAAACAACTCCCCCATCTGAAACCGGGGAAACACATGCGCCTCCGTATTAAACACACTCCCCTCCAAAGGCAAAAAATCCCTATCCGAAAACAGCAAATAGAAGTACTTCAACGTCTCCGCCAGCCAGAAACTCTCCATATTATCCCTCTGCACCGCCGGGATCACATCGACATTATCCAGCGACGTGAATGCGCGAATGTGCGACGTGCGCACTTTCTTCTTGGTCTCCGGATCGACGTTTTTATTGTACGAGTCGCGGATCGGCGGCTCTTTATCCTTCTCGCTGATCGAGGTGTGGTTCACGAAGTTCTTGAACATTTGCCAGCCCCAGTGCCGGTACGTCTCGTCTTCGAGGATGCGGTACATGTAGAGCAGTGACTCGACGGTCTCGGGCCGTTGGAGGTTATGTTTGTCGTTGGGCTGGATGATGATGTCCTTGCGCCAGGCACTGTTGGCGTCTGTGAGTGGGTAGAGGGGTTGGGAGGTTAGGTGCAAGTCTGCGCTGGCGGATTTGGCAGCGGAAGGTTTTTTTTTTAGGTCTGGAAAGACGTCTTTCATCATGCGGGGAGGGCTGTCGGTTTTGAAATAGGTGATTTCGGGTGCGAGGCCGGTGGCTGTTGCGACGTAAGTGGCCCAGCAAGTTTTCATGAGTTCTCTGGCCAGGAGGATTTCTTCTTCTTGCTTGCGGCCCCAGTCGGGGGACTTGCGGGCTTGGGAGATTGGTAGGCCGCCTGTCGCGCCGAGCGCAATGGTACCGGGCATGAAGCAGACGAGATGGTCCATCTTAGGTACAAGTTCATGCCTGAGACCATTTGGTCTCTCACCCAGGACTGTTAGAGAGGCATGTTTTGTATACGTGATTAGATGTTTGCGGATGCCCGTGAGAGCTTCATTCCACATATCAAGGTAGATCGGTTCTTCACGAGAAGTTTGAAGATACTGTTTAATTAAGTATTCTAGGAACATCATTTGGTCAGTACAACGGTCAAATTGCATGTAAAAAATGTAGTCGCTTGGAGCTCACCATAGTATGAATCTCCCCGACTGCCCAGTCGGATATTCTGTCCCATAAATTTCCCTGTAGTCGGCTGAATGAAGATAGGAACGAGGCCATCCTCCCTCCCATTTCCTTCAACAACTTCCATTACCTTTTCCACTTTCTCCCAGTAGTTTGGCTCCCCCGTAAGTTTCGCAAGATACTTAAATTCTAGCTGGACAGTGGTTGCCTCCGCCGTTGAAGAGGCGCCGTTATCCATATGTGATTCTACGCCCACGCTTGTATTAAGGTTAATACTCGCGTACGGAACTCCGGACGGAGATTCAAAAGCACCAAGCAATCGATCAGCGAGGCCTGTGGCTTTTTCGATATACAGGTCCTCGCCGGGCGCCCCCTCATCATCATCCTCTATCGCGGCGAGATGGGGGTATGTCGTTGATAGGTAATGTGCGGAGAGGAGGCCGCCGAGCATTCGAATGGTCGTCTCGAAAGTGTTGACGGGATGGTCCTGGTCATAGTGGAGGGAGGTATGAATCCACCTCCGGGCATTTTGCACACGGGACGTCAGGTTCATGATCATCAATGTATCCAGCGAGTCGACAATTATCCAGCCCAATCCTCCCTTGACCATGTCTTCGCCTTTCTTGCTCCGTGGCTTGTATATATCGCGACCTGCCATAATGTTACAAAAGAGATATCATTAGCAAAATATGTCCCACCCCATAAAACACCGAAGAACGAGCCCATTTCGCACCAAAAAAGAGACCTACCCCAAGCATGACGCGCATAATCATCCCAACTAACAATAAACGCATCTCTAACCTTCTCCCTCCTCTCCTCCCAATCCACCCGCCCCTTCTCATCCTCCAAATCCTCTCCCTTCTCCTTCTCCATAACCCTCATCCACTTCCACAAATTGCCCCCCTGTTTCCCACTCTTCATCCGCAACACCTCCCGGGGCGCGGTTTTATGCACAAGTAACCACACAATCGCCAAGAACACCAATCCAACCATCACCAAAAAGGTCAGTCGCCGCCGTCTCCGGGCCCGCCGCGACGCAAAGTATGGCTTGTCCTTGTACATGGGCAGATCGCTATTGAAGCCGGGGTTCACGAAGCTGGAGAAGGAGAAATCCTGGTCGTCGATGTTGGCTCTTGCACGCCAGTACCCGTCTTCATATTGGCGTTGGGAGGAGGAGAAGGTGGGAACGTTCCGGGGGAGTTTGAACGACATTTTTTCCCTCCTCCTTCCCTTTCCTTCTTTTGTTTGATTTCTTGTATGTTATATAGTTTTTATTTCATAGCCCCCTTGGAAGGCTGCCCTTGCTGTTCGCCCGCCGCCGTCAAGCGGACGGCGTATCGCGCGCTGGTCGACCAAATTGATTGAAAGCTTTTCTTGTCCGGGTCCCCTTTCGTAGGCGGTTATAAAGCACCTCGATTCCGAATAATTAGTCCCCCTTAATATATCCCGCGCAGCTGGCTTTGATATTTCCAGTCCAGAAAGTAAATAAATTGTTTCCTATCTTCAATAGTTCTCTGGAGTGGTCTTTAATCTGTCACCTGTCGCCGTCGTCCCGGGCTTGTCAGTTATCAAATACAAAAGTTAAACCTAGAGAATAGGCACTAGGACCCAGATATATACCTAATTCCCTTGGGCGAAGAAGGTTTGCCTAATTTATTGAATTGGAGCACCAGCGCGGGTGTCCCGGCACAAAAATAGCTTGTTTTTGCAAAGTGGAGACAGCTCGAAACTCAGACAAAGTTGCGAGAAAAAACTACTACCGCAGACGGGTTCGCCTCTAGTTTATTATTATTCTATCGCACCAATGACAAAAGCGAAGTGTCGTGTCAAGACACTCAAAGTGAGAAGCGGGAGCTAAACATTGATCAAGTCATAGCAGTGTCTGGCCGTCCCAGTCGTTTGGTTTGCGGAGTTCTGGTTGGGTCAGTAGAGAGTGTAATCCGGGGGCAGGCAAGCGAGCCAAATTGTAATCCGACACGGCAAAAAATATCAATTCCTCCTCCTCGTGAGACCGGGAGATAGCAGTAATAAAATGGGAATCCGGGCAAAACGGACAAGTGGTGAGTTGAGATTAAGAGCTTGTTATATAGTTCAGGTGGTTGTGGTGTTTGGCTTGTTTGCTTCTCTCGGGGATATCCATTAGGTGACCGGGTGAGATATATCCCGATTATTTAAATCCTCTACGAATTCAAAAAAGCTGCTCACACGAATGGTCCTACGTAGTAGACAGAAAAGAAAAAGGAGTGAGGAAAACAAATATAACTGATAGAGAATAATAGAGGGTGGGCACAAAGAAAACTACAGGGACCAGCCAGTTGAGAATCAACTTCGTTTATGCAGAAGTCTACTTTACAGGACTTTGAAAATGCTTGGGAAGGGCGAGGAGTAATAGAACCAGAAGATAGATAAAATAATGGCCCAAGATAAGATGGAATAAGCTAAAGGAAGGGGAAAAAAACGGGCCACTACAACTTCTGATACTCCAGCTTACCCTCCAACTTCTTAGACTCCGCAACCTTGCGGACAGCCTTGTTAAAATCGTCCTGGTTCACTGTATCCCGGTAGTCCTTGATGGCGAACAGCCCACTAAGATATGTAAATTAGCCTCCATGCATAAAATAGAAACCGAGAGAATGGGAGTCCTAAAAACTTACGCTTCCGTAACTACATTCCTCAAATCTGCCCCGTTCAACCCATCACTCATCTTCACGATACTCTCAAAATCAATCTCCCCCTCAATCGCAACCCCACTCGCATGAATCTTCAGAATCTCCAACCGGCCCACTTCATTTGGCAACGGGATCTCAATCTTCCGATCCAGCCGCCCAGCGCGTAGCAGCGCCGGGTCAAGGGTATCAGGCCGGTTGGTCGCCATGATGATTTTGGTCTTACCCAGGTAATCAAAGCCGTCGAGTTGGTTGAGGAGCTCCATGAGCGTACGTTGGATTTCGCGATCGGCGGAGGTTCCTTCTGAAAAGCGGCGGCCGCCGATGGCGTCGATTTCATCCATGAAGATGATGCAGGGTTCGTGTTCCTTGGCATAGCCGAACATCTCGCGGATTAGGCGGGCGGATTCGCCGATGTATTTGTCTACGATAGCTGAGGAGACAACTGGAGGAGGTGGAGGCGGTAGGAGGGCGTTGGTTAGCATGGTCTCAGACCAAGCATGTTGAATGAGATGTAATGAATATATATACCTTTTAAGAAATTCGTTTCTAGTGAACTTGCAACAGCTCGTGCCAATAGTGTCTTCCCAGTCCCCGGTGGCCCGTACAGAAGCACGCCTTTGGGAGGTTTTATACCCACACGCAAAAACAGCTCTGGGTTCTTCAGCGGCAACTCAATGACCTCTCTCAGTTCTCGGATCTGGTCGTTCAGACCGCCGATGCCGGCAAAGCTGACCTGCCCTGGATCTTCAAGGGACATGTTGTAGACAAGAGGATCGACTTCGCGTGGTAGCATGCGCATGATTGTGAGGGTGGTCATGTCGAGGGCAACGCGGGTCCCTTGTTTGAGCTTGGCTTTGTCGACTTTTGAGCGGCAACCGACGACGTATCGGGGTCCTGATGAGGCTTTAACGATGACTATATAACATCGGGGCGTCAGTAGGATGTTAATATATTCCCCCCTTAATAAATGTAAATAAATACTAACATCTTTCCTCATCTAACTGCTTCAGCACCTCCCCGATGATCTGGCCAACACTCTGTAGCGCCTTGATATTGTCCTCCGTCGTGTCAAACTCCCTTTGCAGGTCTTTTATGCCTAGCCGGAGATCCTTCAGTTTGGCTTCCCATTCTCTTGACTCTAGGAGGCTCTTCTTGTAATCTTCGAGGGCTTGTTCACGTTCCGGGTCAACGCCTTCCATGGTGAAGGATGGATAGGTGTTGTATGAATTGGGCGGGGTGCGGAGAGGCCAAGTGAAGGGGAAAAAGGGAACAGGTGGACACAGGTGAAAAAGGGGTATAAGCTGCTAGTATGGAGGGAGCTGTTGTCAGAGAGATGAGTGTTGGCTAATGGGGTGATATCAATATGTCTATATCCCGTCCGTCGGAGCTTCTTTCGTCGTTTCTCGTCAGCTCCGGCCAAGACTACAGGTCGGCATAGAGACCAAACAAGTAGTATTAGTCATGTTTGCAGCTAATGCAAAGGTCACATGACGGAAATTACGGACATCATGTGATCTTGTAATTGTTACCGGCGTTGTCGTCATTGATGCGTGCCAAGACAACTATCTACGCTGCGGGCAACAGCAAACTCCCGTGTCCCTCCGACACAAACGCGTATAGTTTCCCGCTACAACTTGCGGATTCTAGTGCCTTCTGTGCTGGTTGGCAGTGGTTGGCTGCGGGCTCTCGTTGGACATTGCTTGCAGTCCAGGTGCGTAGTGGGGCAGTAATAATAGAGTGGTTAGTTACTTATTAGTTACTGTACGCAGCGTATGTACGGATACACCAGGTGTTTTGATGGGGGCATCGCATCGGATACAGAACAACATAAATACAGATAAATACCAACCATAAAAGCCTCAACTTCTCCTTTCTACAAACCCCAACATCTTCTCCTATTTCTATTTCCCCCTCCTCCTACACTTGATACATCTCTGATATACCTCTGTATAACCTATTCACTCCAGTTGTCCTCTCAATCACAAGTAAGTGCTGTCTCTCTTGTATATTTCCCATGCTCGTCCCATTACCCCGCCACCCCACCTTCGATGTCCTCAATATGCTCTATTATCGACAACAACACGAGCGAATACGTCGTTGCTGAATGACATTGAAGGCTCTTCCCAAGGATTGAGCTTGACAACTGGTCATTCTGGGAAGAATTGGTGGTGAAAGAAACTCGTCCTCCTCCCTAGTCTGTTTGAGGCTCTCCGGTGAACGGAATTAGAAGCTTCCGCAGGCAAGAAAAAGGATCCCGCGTGTCTCTTTCTCTCATCCCGTCAACATTGTGATATTCTTTTCTCACTCTCTCCAAATACTGGATCCCCACGCAATTAACTAATTGTTTTGGCCTGCAGAATCCCTACAGATTGAATAGAAAATGGCTATTACCAAGGTCCACGCCCGCTCCGTCTACGACTCTCGCGGAAACCCCACCGTTGAGGTTGATGTCGTGACTGAAACCGGCCTCCACCGCGCCATTGTCCCATCCGGTGCCTCGACTGGTAATCTATACCTTAATGCTTACCAAGATACATGACATGTCCGAAGTTTAGGATACACTGACAAGCATTGTTGGACAGGTCAACATGAGGCCTGTGAGCTTCGTGACGGTGACAAGACAAAGTGGCTCGGAAAGGGTAAGTAGCCAAGAACAAAAAGTACAATTCCCTGAGCCCAAATGATCCAACTGCTGAGATGAATCTTTTTACCATGGGAATAGGTGTATTAACCGCTGTCAAGAACGTCAATGATGTCATTGGTCCCGCCCTCATCAAGGAGAACATTGATGTTAAGGACCAGTCCAAGGTCGACGACTTCCTGAACAAGCTCGACGGAACCCCGAACAAGGCTAAACTTGGTGCCAACGCCATCCTTGGTGTCAGTTTGGCCATTGCTAAGGCCGGTGCCGCTGAGAAGGGTGTCCCTCTCTACGCCCACATTTCCGACCTTGCCGGCACCAAGAAGCCATATGTCCTCCCTGTTCCGTTCCAGAATGTGTTGAACGGTGGTTCTCATGCTGGTGGCCGTTTGGCTTTCCAGGAATTTATGATTGTCCCAAGGTAAAAGCATCATTTCCAACTAGATAGTGTATTGTATTGAATAATATGAGGCTAATGTCAATAGCACCGCGCCGTCATTCTCCGAGGCTCTGCGACAAGGTTCGGAGGTATATCACAAACTGAAGGACCTCGCCAAGAAGAAGTATGGACAATCTGCCGGCAACGTTGGCGATGAGGGTGGTGTTGCCCCCGACATCCAAACCGCAGAGGAGGCTCTGGACCTGATCACCGACGCCATTGAGCAGGCCGGATACACCGGCAAGGTCAAGATTGCCCTTGACGTCGCGTCGAGCGAATTCTACAAGGCCGAGGAGAAGAAATATGACCTTGACTTCAAGAACCCAGACAGCGATAAGAGCAAGTGGCTCACGTATGAGCAGCTGGCAGATCTGTATAAGAATTTGGCTAGCAAGTACCCCATCGTCAGCATTGAGGACCCCTTCGCTGAGGATGACTGGGAGGCCTGGAGTTATTTCTTCAAGACCGCTGATTGTCAAATCGTCGGGTATGTTTCCTTAAATTTTTTAAAAACATTCCTAGTACTCCAACAATTCTTACCCGTATAAAAACACACTAACATTTTCCTTCTCCACAAGCGACGACATCACCGTTACAAACCCCATCCGCATTAAGAAGGCCATTGAGCTCAAAGCCTGCAACGCCCTCCTCCTCAAGGTAAACCAAATCGGCACCTTAACCGAATCCATCCAGGCTGCCAAGGACTCCTACGCTGCCGGGTGGGGCGTGATGGTCTCCCACCGCTCCGGCGAGACGGAGGATGTCACCATTGCCGATGTCGTCGTCGGTCTGCGTTCGGGCCAGATCAAGACGGGCGCTCCCGCGCGCTCAGAGCGACTGGCGAAGCTTAATCAAATTTTGAGAATTGAGGAGGAGTTGGGTGCTAATGCAGTGTACGCGGGGGAGAAGTTCCGGAATGCTGTGGAGATGTAGATTGGGAAAAGAATTTCCTTAATTATTATTTCATGAGATTATTGGGCTGGAGAAAATGTTAGGGAGGATATGGGGGACAAAAATATCTATCATGACGTGATGGCATGAGTTCAAGGAGGCACTTATTCTTGTTCCCTCTTTTGCCCAAACTACTTGCCATGTCGTTCAGCTGAGCTGAGGGGTCTCTCGGACATGTAACTAAGTTAATAAGATGCAAGCTAAATTATGATTTTAAAAGGGAACTGAAAATTTAAAATATATATCTTCTTCAAGTAACTATTACCTGTGGGAGTTATCCCCTCATCTGGCAGCGAGGACAGTGGACACAATTAGTGAAATACTATTAGTTAGTGTAACAACTAAGCTGTTAACGTAATCAACCACCTAACGCTCGTTTCCACCTAACGCTCGCCTTTATAAATCAATTACAATCAACTTCAAATATTCATATCTCAATGAATATTTATTTAAAACTATTCTAAAAAACAGAATGATAATTTGTAGACATATATTATATTATATTAAATTTGTATGAGAAAATAACATATAATTATTAATTTATTAAGCTTTTTAAAATACTATTTTAAAATAAAATACACAGTCTATATTTATAAATAAATTATTTTCATATAAAAATTAAATATCTTATAGATTATATTTATTAAGATATTAACATTTAAAGTTGATTGTAATTGATTTACAAAGGTGAGTGTTAAGTGAAAACAAGTATTAGATGATTGATCACATTAGTGCAAAGATATGTTGGGGGTCCCGGGTTGATCGGCCCTTCTACCAGCAGTGCGCTGGTGGTGACTGAGCTCTTTTGCCCCAGTAGCCTACATAGGCGTTCGCCAAGCGATCGGCGAACACCTCGCTTAGGCGGAAGCGGTCGGCCCGTAGAGGGAATCCGACAAATATGTATAAAATATGAAATTGAATACATATTAACAATAGCTAAGTTATTTTTAGCTGACTAAATTTACTGAGTTATTTAATGATTATATTACAGATACATTGTAACTCAAAGTGCTGATCAGTGATAACATTATTATATAGCTTCATAAAATTTCCATGCCTTGGTATTTCTTGTTAAAAAAGAAGAAAAAAAAAGGAAAGAAAAAATTTCAATTTACTTACTCACAGCGAGATCTGAACATTCTTGACAACACCAAGTCCTCAAGGTTCGTCGTGCTGCCTGGTGCAAGACATCCAATCTCTTCTTCGTCTCTCACAAGATCTTCTATATATTCTGCCATTCCCGATGCATGAAAAATTTTCGTAAGAGTAGAGCGCATCTGGAGAAGTGCGGGGCTGGGGAGCTCGATGGTGGCACCACCATGCCGTTCCAAGGTAACGAGTCGAGGGCCATCTGGGCCGCCCTGTGATGCCGGGAGGTGCACTTGTATTACGTTACGCCGCCTGCTTAGCAGGAGTATCTGGTACTGATTTGGCTCTCCCTAATGGACAAAACAGTTAGTAGAGTCAAGCAGTGGGAAAGTATACGAGGGTTGCTCAACCGTCGGCTCGAACGACAGCGTAAAGGAACCAAAGGCTGCGTGGACGGGGGACCACAGCGTCATTAAATTCGTTGGGTCATTTATGTCCTCCGGTGCAAGCTGGATCTGTGGGAACAATTTTTTCAATGTGGCCCAAATCTGTGCAATTTTGTGGTCCTAAAATGGTAGTATTTAGTAGACGTTTTGAAAATATATCGTCCAGGCTGACAGACTTTTGACTTCTCCCACCTCCCCAAGGAGAATGGGACAACATAACAGAGATCTGTAGGCGACCCGTATTCTGTATCGGCCTCAGATATCTTGGCATCAATATCAATGATCCCGGTGGCCATACAACGGTGGCCGTCCCGTTCAAGGCACAGCTTCTTGAGGTGACGCTGGTCTTTTCGGCTTCCTGGCTCATTCATTGTGGCGGCCACTTCCTCTACCCCTTCCTCCATTTTGAAGGGCGTAGGCGTTATAGGTGGAGTGGCGCCTCGAGCCCGCACTGAGTAGCAATAAGTCAGAAAGCATGATAGAAAGTTTTGAAGAATGTAAGCAGAGTTAGGGATGATAGCAGGCTGTACTAGGGATTACAATTGCTGTGTTGATGTGCTGGCTAAGTGCATGGAGTGTTTCGTGATCATTCCCTGTAGTCACAATGAACTCTGCAATAGGCGTTCTTCCCTCTTCAGGTAAGACATTTGTTATCTCTGGCTTGGTAACTCTCAGCCGTTCCATTCGTTTTTTGATAGTGACATGGGATGATGGGAACAACTAGCCTGGTCGCTACTTACCCGAACAGGTTTAGCCTCCAATCCAATTCACGTGCAATTCTGGAGTTTGGGCAGCAGAAAAGATAAAAAAAAAATCCGTCAGGATCACACACGACACGACACATTTACAACTGCCATCCACCTCCCTGCCTGAGCGCACTGCTGTTAGCTGCTGCTCACAGCGCCCTGAAACCTTCTTATCGATAAACTCGCGATACGCACGAAAACCTCTTGCTAACACCAGCGGTTGTTATCAGGCCATGGCGCCTTCAAAGTGGGGTATGTCTAGATAACTTCAGGAGAGATGACGGAGCGCTGTTGATCATATATGGCAGGGCACCCTGCTATGTATTACATATATATTTACATGTTTTTATTTTTTGCAAAGTGGAGACTAGGGGAATATCCTATGCCAATGCCATGTAGCTTAGTTAGGCTAGATATTACATGTCTATGCAGGTTCACGGGGCTAACTTCGGAACGTTGTGTTTTTTGACTTAAATATAGATGATGAGGAGGAGAGTACTCCCCCCTCCTCTCCCCCGCTTATTGCAGCTACGACACACAGACGAAAGTTCGATGACGAGGAGGACAGCGATGATGTATGCCTTTTCCTCAGATAGAGCCCCGCCGCGCCAACCATGACCTTTGTCTAACAAACCCTTTTTTTGGGAAATATCTAGGTAGTCGATGACTGGGAAGCAGCTGAAGACTCTGAAGTCGAGCGTGAAAAGGCCGCCAAAGCCGCTGCAGAGAAAGCAAAAGCCGAAGCCGAAGCGGCTGCCAAGAAGAAATCAAAAGCCCAACGGATACAAGAGCGCAAGGAACAGAGACGGCGCGAACAACGATCCAGCGACGACGACGATGAAGACGACGACGACGAAGACGACGACGCCGCCGCACGCGCCCGCCTCCGTCGCACAGAGAAGGATGCAGACCTCGCCCACGCCGAAGACCTCATCGGCGATATCGACCTGAAGCGCACCCGCTCCGCAATCCCCAGAGCCGCAGTCGTCATCGGCGACAAATCGGACCCGACCAAATCCATAGACCTCTCCGCCATGCCCCTATTCAAGCCGGGAACCAAGACGCAGTTCGCAGAACTGACCGAGGTGCTTATCCCGCTTTTAACGGCGCAGTCGAAGAAGCCGCAATATCCAATATGGGCGCAGGATTTTGCGAAGAAGCTCGTGAAGGAGCTATCGAGTGGGGACATTAAGAAGATTGCGAGTGCGTTGACGGCGGTGAGCAATGAGAAGCTGAAGGAGGAGAAGGCGGCCGAGAAAGGGGGAAAGAAGAGTAAGGCAGCGAAGACGAAGACGAGCGTGGTTGTTGGGCGGGATGTTGGAGGCGCGCGCGGGGCGGATCTTACGGCGTATGATGGGGATGATTTGGATGATGATGATTTTATGTGATTTTTGAGTTTTCTTATTTTTTGTCTGTATTTCTGAGATGTGGAAATGATGAATTGGTGGATGGCTTTCAAACTACATTTACCCTGAGTTGTTAGTTATTACCCCTTCTCATCCCCTTTTCCCCTTTTCCCCCTCCGTGCCATATACATTTTTCACACCCCCTTATCATCCATATCTTTTGCATGTTTCCTTTTTTCTTTTTAATTTTAGAAGTGTCAACAAAACCCCCCGCAATTGTCGCTTGAAAGCCTCAGGGCCTTTTATTATTTTATACCTCAGCTCTATTACCAGAAATGTTTTCCTAGCCTTGCTATACAGCAATATCAGCGGTGTTAATCGCATTTTCACGGTGCCCCCTGTCTTTTCGGCTTATCTCTAATACCTTCTATCCTATTCCCATGAACAGTGTCGTGTTGAGTCTGATCACAGCAGAGGAAGCGATTTTCTTCCGTCTTAACTTTGCTATTTCATCAAGCTATGACATACCTAGAGAATTAGAATGCAGACAACTCTCTCATTGTGGTGCTGTGTGTTTTAAAGGGGAATTGAGACTTGCGAGATAGTCTGTCTCTGTCGGATGAAAGGTTTCATCATGGCGCCCCAGGGGAGAGTCGGGGGGGGCTCTTTTGCTCTTTGGCCCTTTCACCAATCTTTCAATTTTTGATATTTATTTTTACGTGGAGCGAGAAAAGAGGTTCCAGCAAAAACGCTTTAACCACTCCGCCGCTACGATTTTCCCAGCGGTCTTTCCGAATCTCAAACTTGAAACTATCCAATAGAACTGGAAGTACGGTTATGGACATCCTACGCCTCATCAATGGCTCTATGCAAACCAGGTGTCTGCGGAATCTGCGCCATGTCGGCACGTTTCTCCAGACTCGTACCTCAGAGCATGCCATATTGCAATTTCTCGGAAGCTGCCATCAACTCTAGTCCATGGAGACGATGAGTGTTGAGGATTTAACTGTCTGGCGACCCTGTGTTGCCGACTACTCGCAGCCACCAGATGACCCTCGTCAATGCCTATAGCTACTGATTCAAACGTTTCAAAGATCCACCTCACCCGTTGCAACATTCCATTGGAGCTCCTCGTGCCGATTCTTACGCCGCCAAAAGCTCTAAGAGAGCTTAGGTATAGCGCTGGGGCTTTGGTCTGCTCCAGTAAATCCTCGGACTGTATAGATCCCGCAATAATGGGTTGCCATCTGCAAGTACACAGGTGCACATTGCGTATTCTGGATATCGGCCTGGCTCAATGTGTCCGATGTTCTACCAACAGTGGCTTGACAGTTGATGATACCACTCCAGCGTCGTCAGGGCCTGCATCTGCCAACCCAATGGCTAGTCGTGAACCTGCTATGGAAGGGGTAGAAACTAGGCGCCCTTTTAGAGTTGCCAGTTCTATCAGATCATTGAATAGATTCATAGCTCTGACCAATCTCAGCATCGGGGTTAACTCCTTGCTGGGGCCCGATTCAAACGAAGTGATGTTTGCAGATTATTGGGAAGAAAACTACTCTGAGGCTGAGGAGTAGCGGGAGGGGCAGCCGTGGAAACATAATGATTCACTTAAACCTGCATCGCCCTCACCATCGCCCCCGTCGCCGTCAGCATCCCCAGTATCGGCCGCCTCACCGGCTCGTCGTCGGTTGGTTGACAGGCTGTTCACCCAACCTAAAATATTTATGTATTCGCGGATACGATCACGGGAAAGTTGGTGGGAGATGGATAAGTGCAATTTCTGAGTTAATGGATAGGAAAGCTGAATGTTTTCCAAGGTGGCCGGTGTTACGGAATATAAATATACCTAGTCCTGCCCTGTTGAGCGTCTTTTTTTTTTTTTTTTTTTTTTTTTTTTTTTTTTTTTTTGGATTAAATATTGCAATGCTAAGACCACTTTCTAGGGACCGCCGGTTGGTTTAGTTGAAGATGGATTCAGGGTCTTTTCGGGTCAACTATCTTATGGATCAACCCTCCGCAAAGGAACACATTCATGATTCGCCATTGTATAAGATTGGCCGTCGGATAGATTTTACCGCTGGAAAATCTCAGGCATTGCGGAATCTACACCTTGAATCCGACGAGAAGGGGAATAAGACAGCTTTTGTATTCGATGGCGGGACGAACTTAATCGGCCTTTTGTTTGCAGGGCATTCGGAAACGGGGGTGGGATATTTCACCTCTGCAGCGACCCTGTTTGAGGATACCGATGTACGTCTGCCTTTATCATAACGACGGGGCATTTTTTACATTTCGGATGAAACTCAGAGCGTAGATTTCTTTTCTTGCATTTTTGATTTCCTTTTTCCTTGACTCTTTTTTTCAAGGCGATATCTTTCTTTGACATTTTTGGGTTAAATGCATCAAAACTATTTATCTGAATGATTAAAGAGTAGAACAGATTTGTATGACTGTACTATGAATGCGAATAATGCTGAGTTTATCATGACTATAATTCCATATTGAACATTCTGAACTGCTCTTTTATATCACTGGCATCTATGACAAGCCACAAACCTACCTGCACAAGGATGGAGATATCACCCTCAGTGTTATGTTCCCCCAAGCAGGCTGATGCTAGGGTCCCCAAGTCGACTACTAGGCCGCTGAACAGTATAATAAATAATACTAGGTATTTATGCTTCAGCCTGCTCTCATCGCACGCCGGGTTTCACACCAGATTATTAGAGATATATGCATATGTTGCGTTATTATTGTGCCATAAAATTTTCAATTTTTCATGAAATTCAGAAACCAATCTACCCATGAAGCCAAAGCAATAAATTCTTTAGGATAAACGGGTATTATTTTTCCACGATATAAACCACTGTGCCTGGTTGGATCATTTCATATGAAATATGTTCATATCCTTTTATTTTTAAGGTTAAGTATAACTTTTGCTTTTGAGAAAATAAATTTAATTTCTCCGCTTGACCACACATACCTGCCATTACTATTCTCGTTTTTCATATACGTCATACAGGCAGGTGTTGGACGTTGTTGGTTCATCCATATTATTTTAATCTCAGAGATACCTTGTTGGGAGATTTTTAGATTTTTAGTAAATTGTGGGTTAGTGCAAAAGTGCATATGTAGGAGGAGATTTTAGATACATGCATGGAATCTGCTGGAATGAAAGGATTGGACAGGAAGCAATGTTTTGAAGTCTGTCTGATGCAGGGCACATAACATGTCAGGCAGATAGGCAGGGTATATAGTTATTTATGTAACTAGGGCAAGGGCTGCATTCATGAGAGAAGATCAATGTAATTCAGGGTTGTTTGTTGTGTTAGAAGAAGCATAGGAAACAGAGAATGGATGTGCCCAGTGTCTGATGAGGATAGTTAGATATTCTATCCTCATAACCTGGAGATTTCCAGTTGTCTGAAAAAGACAGCTGCAGTGAGGCTGAGGCTGCAGGAGATCTGTAAGATCAGGAGAAATGCATGATAGATACTCTGTAGATACTCTATAGATATTTAGATGATGAGCATGGCAAAAAATGCATAAGTTAAGGGCAGTACATAACATCCATATCATAAATCTCAATCCATCCAGCTTGTTGTTACAATAATAACTATAATAATAAATACCCCTCCTGTATGAACAAGACCATCACCAGTGTGGCAGTGTTTTAGTGAGAGGAGTTGTTGTGACTTTTTAAGACTGTAAAAGCATGAAGAGGTTGAATCTGTAACTAACTAACAGCTTAGTCAGCGGCGTGCCCATCATCACAACCTCATTCTCTCGTCGTCTGCCTTCAACAACGTCAAACTTCTTCCTCGTCCGTCGTCTGCTTTGCCCGTCCTCCTCCTCATCTTCTGTCTCGCTGTCTGTCCCGCTGCTTTCTCACGTCTCTCCCGATTGCTCCGCCTTTCCACTCCCATACTCTTCTATCCTCCACTAAATCTCCCCATCGTCTTTCCCGCCGTTCTCCCACCATGACCTCAGAAGTAGGTTTACCCCTCCTATTAGGCGCGCATCCCACGGCCTCGCAAAACATGCTGCCTCCTCCTCCTCCTCCTCCTCCTCCTCCTCTCCTCCTCTCTCCTATACCTTTCCTCTGTCCCTGTGTTTCTGAATCGTTATGCTAACTCCATTGTGTCAAACAGCGTGATAAGTAATTTGCCCACCCTGCTTCTTGTGCGCTTTGTGAAATGTGTTGAAAAGGGGGGGGGGGGGCCGCGGGAAAGAGGACCTCATACTGATACACTTCTTTATAGCAAAACGTTTCTTGCCAGGCTCTGTGAGCAGGCTGAGCGTTATGATGGTTAGTCCCTGGCTCCTCTTCCCTTCAAAATAATGTTCTGGGTCTTTTTTTTTTTTTTTTTTTTTTTTTTTTTTTTTTTTTTTTCTTCTTTCTAACCGCATCGTGTAGAAATGGTCACATATATGAAGGTTTGTCCGTGCTCTATCTATCTTCTTGTGCTTTGAGGCTGTAGCACGCCATTCGCTGACAGGCATCGCATCGCACCTTTTATAGGAAGTTGCCAATGTAAGTACATCTCTGCAAATATACCCCATACTTCTTCACTTACCCTTCTTCTATACTGACCAATTCAATCCAACTAGCTGGGTGGTGAACTTACCGTTGACGAACGCAACCTTCTTTCCGTTGCCTACAAAAACGTTGTTGGAACTCGCCGTGCTTCCTGGCGCATAATCTCCTCCATCGAGCAGAAAGAGGACTCGAAGGGTTCTGAGAAACATGTTGCTATCATTGGCGAGTACCGCCAAAAGATCGAGGCCGAACTCGAGCGCGTTTGTCAGGATGTTCTTGACGTTCTGGATCAATCTTTGATTCCCAAAGCCGAATCTGGTGAATCCAAGGTGTTCTACCACAAGATGTACGCGTTTGGGCTCTCAGATACTGGAGTTGTGTTGATCTACATTTCGTGCCTGGCGAATCATGTTCTTTTTTTGGGGAACCATATACTAACACAATACCACGTACGCAATCTGCAGGAAGGGCGACTACCACCGTTATCTCGCTGAGTTTGCTTCCGGTAACAAGCGCAAGGTTGCTGCGACTGCCGCCCACGAGGCATACAAGGTACATACCCTCCTGCTACACCAGTTTTTATTTTGAACTGTGCCTAGCAAACATGATTAACCATCACCACACAGAACGCCACCGATGTTGCCCAAACCGAGCTGACGCCCACCCACCCCATCCGTCTGGGTCTCGCCCTCAACTTCTCCGTTTTCTACTATGAGATCCTCAACTCCCCAGACCGTGCCTGCCATCTGGCCAAACAGGCATTCGATGATGCCATTGCTGAACTCGACTCCCTGTCTGAAGAGTCATACCGCGATAGCACTCTAATTATGCAGTTGCTCCGTGACAACTTGACTCTGTGGACCTCATCTGACGGCGCTGAGCCCGAACCTGCGCAATCTGGTGAGCCCAAGGAGGATAAGCCTGCTGAGGGTGCGGAGGGTGCTGAGGGCGCCGAGGCTGACGCGGCTGCTGCTGATGTGCCTGCTGCGGAAGAACCGAAGAAGGAGGAGGCTGCTGCTGGTGCTTCTTGAGGATGACAAGGCAATCCCCCTTCCCTCCCTTCTCCTTACAATTTCTTGGTTTGCGCCAAAATAAAACCATGCTGTGGGTTGGGGCGGTGGCCATTCCTGGTGGACACAAAAATTAAAAAGAAAAACCAAACTATACAGATATGTCCAAAAAAAAAGAAAAAGGTAAAAAAAAAGGTAAAAAAAGATAAAAAATCCACACAGACGATGAAAGCAAAGGAGATTACTTTTCTTTTCTTTCCTTTTTATTTTGTTTCCAAATGAAAGGGATCGAATCGATATATGGCGTGGGCATGGGCGTGGGTTGGGGGTGTGGTGTTTCACAGACAAAGCTCCAAACCCTTCTCCTCTCAAGTGACAAGATGGACGTCCTTCTAATTATTCTCAAGGGGGTTGTTTTTATCCATTTTAGTTTTCGATCAGGCGGCGTTTGCTACAATTGAACTGGAGAGTTGCGAAAGCAAGAAAGGAGGGCAAGAAAGAACGCGCGGAAACCTGGGAAATATTTTGTCTTTTTTCCTTTTTCTTAAAAATTATTTTCCAATCAAGCAATCAACATATTATTCCCCTGTCCTTCTCATTATCATTTTACGTGCTGCTCGTTTTAAGGAATCTCCTATCAGTGCTCTGATCTTGGGTGGGAATGGGGCTATGAGGGGAAGATGATGAGAAATGAAAGATACAAAGACCTCTCAGCACGGCTAGTCTCCTTTCTGCCTTCTGTTGTTTTTCCCACTCTCTTTCCTCTTTTTCGATAACACAGCCTCCCCTCCCTCCCCTCTCTTTTTCTCGTCTCGTCTCGTCTCGTCTCGTCTGCCTGTCAAAGAATTCTGTTTCCTCTCCTCTGTTGCAGCCTACTCGTTTCCTCGCCTTGATCATTGCCTTGCCTTTCGCTTGCCGGTAACTCAATACAATCAATCCCCCCCCTGTTTTGATTTCGTACTTAAACACACACACACACACACATATATATATATATATTTATATACACACACAAAATCCCGCCCCTTCTTACGAGCCTGTTTCCCCATAATATTTCCATTTTTCCTCTTCGTTCTGCTTGTGTGTATAGTTGTAGCTCAGCTCGCTCGTATTATCTTATTTTATTTTACTTTATTCCATTTCTTCTCGTTGCTTTTTTTCGTTTTCTTTTTTTCCCTTTCTTTGTTTTCTCTAATCTCGTTCTCTCTGTTGGCCAATGATTGAGATTGGCTGGTTGATTGATTGATTGATTGATTGATTGTGTTTCCCGTCTTTCGCTCCCTCCTTAAAATAAAAAAAAAGCCTAGATGCAGGCACGACAGACGGTATTGTTATTTGGCTCTCAATGGGCGTGTGTATCTCTACAACACCCCCCTTCTCTCCCTCCAAGCAGCTTTTCGCCCTTGATTTGAAAAGGGGTGATATGTGCCGTTTTGCTCACTTCGTTCCAGGGGTATCCATATATGGTAAATAGAACATGGAAAGGAATACCAGTAGCTATTAGAGAAAGGGGAATGATATGCGTATTAAATACGGTATGATAACTATCCCCTTGTCGTGTATAATTAGTGTAATTAAGCTATTAGTGCTGAAATACGGAGTACAGTATCAATGAATATTTTCTCATACTAAATTCTGTGCAATTTGATTCATTGATATATATTCACAATCTCATGTTTTTTGCATCAATGTATTCTATAATATTTTTATATTAATTTATTTTTATATTTTCTGTGAATATAATTATTTCTCTTTCTTTTCTTTGTCTGACTCTGACTCTGATTTCTCTAGAGAGAAATATAACTTCTGTAAATAATTTTCAATTCTGTAATATTTTTTTATTTAGATTGATTAATTCTTTTCTCAAAGTGTATAAAAATAAATATAAAATAAAATAATATATCTTCCTAATTCAAGAAAAACAGTCAGTAGTTTTCATCAAAGACTGTTCAAGTTAAAAATACAATGTGAAAATTTTTGCTATTAATCATTACAATTGAGAGCAGTGTTGTCAACTTGTCATCTGCAGAATTCTCAGAGCAGCTGAAGAAGAAAGAATAAGTTAATGAGTTCAAAAGAAAGCAGGTAACAGAAATGAAGAGTCAGGTCCACACTTATATCTAGCAGTCTATTTTGGCTTGGTCTTCGGTTCTTGTTCTATGATGTTTTTCTCAATTGAGCCTATCTTGGCATCCCCTTTTTTGGAGGGTGCAGCCACAACCACCTCATCTTCTGCTGCATGACATAAAAAACTTGTTTGTACCCTTGAGTATCAACGTCAGAATCTCCTTCATCTGAAAGGATTGGTGGAAGGATCGAGAAGAAAACATCTCAAGAGATTACATACCGCTTCTCAGCACTCCCCTTGCCTCTTTCTTTCTGCCATCGCTGCCTCCAGGCCAGCAGTAACCTCGAGATATACAGCTCTGGGTACCGGCTCACATACATGACCCCCAACAGGCCAGACAGGCACGGGCCAGACTGGATGGTGAAGACTGATGTCCGCGCCTGCATCGAGGAGTAATTGGACGATCTCGGAATTCTGCCAATACTCCATGGCCAACTGTATGACCCTTCCGCAGGTAAAGCTAGCCGCTACCTTGAGACCGGAGCCGTCATGATCGCGACGGAGCCCACGGACGCCATGGTAGGGAGCATGGGGATTAGCTCCGTGCGCAAGCAGTGCCTTCACCAGATCTGCATTGCCGGATGTAACTGCTAGGAGGAGCGGAGGTGCGAAACGTTCTGCTTGTAGAGGGGTTGGCTGATCAGGAGTGGTGTCGCGATCGGAAAAAAATCGACGGTCGGGAAGCGGCCGGTCAGACTCCTCAAAGTCGCACTGAACACCGTTGGCAAGCAGCGTGTTGACGATGGCGCTGTGCTGCTGCTTCACTGCTAAAAGAAGTGCCCTTGTTCCAGAGACGCGGTTGGTTTTCTGCACAAGCGCTTCAACTAGTTTCAGGCTGCCTCGTCGCACTGCTTTCACTAGGGCAGGCCCCTCTGCCGATTCGATGGTATAGTTCGCATCGGCGCCGTGAGCCAGGGACAGATTGACAAGATCGAGCCTGTCGTGCTCTACCGCCCACTCCAGTGGTGTCAGCTGGATTTCATGGAAATATTCAACCGAGTTGAGAATGCCTTCTTTGGGTCTGTAGGGTTGGTTGTAGCAAAGAATCGGGAAGTCCAAGCTCAAGTCATTCCCATGTCTGAGGATCTGTGAGAACACACGCACCCCGTATCCGGCTACCAATGCAGCCGCAAGAGCCGCCTTTCTCTCACTCAAGGGAGGTGGCCTGCACGTTGGATTGGATGCCGCGGGTGGGACAGCTGGAGGCCCCTGTGGTATACCCCACAGGTACGTTCGGGAGTATTTGTCTGAGAGACGGCCCGGGGACGTTTCATCAGTGAAGCGATTTCGAAAGTTGAATCGATACGACGTCGGATCCCACAACAACTCCCATCCATCGTCGTAGTCCTCCCTAGTGGGAGATGAAGGCCTGTCCGGGTTGTCCTCTGTACTTCCGTCCCTCACCCAGCCGGTTTGATTCCATTCGCATCGTGGCCAACTCGCGCCCACTACTCTCTGGTACACTTTTCCATTTTCTATCTTTTCTTCCACTTTTCGCCCCCTGTCTGAGTCGTACTCCTTCGCCCCAGGCCAGAAGTCTGTTGCCGCGTCATGGGGCTTGAAAGGAGTTGTATATTTCCGCTGGAGGAGATCGTGCCAATTGGTGCCTTTGAAGAACGGGTGGTCTTTTATTTCAGAGGTCCCATTCTTTGCCCCCAAGCGGTTCAGTGGATTTTTTTCGAGCAGCTTGATCAAAATGTCCTTGGCTATCGGTGGGAGTCCCCTCAGGACGTACCGGGTCTCTACTTATCTTGAGTCGTCGCTTATTGGCCATCCCGACCGTAGAAATGGGAGGGTAAATCCGGTCAACCTTTTCGTAGAGAAAAGATGCCCCAAAAGCCCCACCAATCCGCCGTCTGGGAAACCGACTTGGTTGTTGCCTGACAAGCTCAGGGGGCTGGGTACGCCTGATGTTCCTGGCACAACTGTATCACCGTCCTTGACCTCCAGACTGAAAAGACTAGGATTGCATAGGCTGAGGTGTCCAGGTGAATCCAAGAAGATATCCTCCATATTCAGATGTGCGAGAATAATATGGTTGTCGTGCAGATATTCCAGTACACAGAGGAGCTCCGCAGCATAAAATCTAGCTAGGCCAACATCGAACCGCCGCACCCGCTGGAGGTGATGAGAAAGCGGCCCTCCGCTAGCCAACGGTGAAAGGAGGCTCAGTCCCTTGGACGACTTGAAAGCGAATTTGAGCGGAGCGATGAACGGGTGTTCGACGCGATGAGTGAGCTTGGACTCGTGGGTAACGTCTACGACTATGGGAATGGTCTTCATGCCGTAGCTTCTGTCGGTGTCTAGCTTCTCTACATAGACCAGATCACTCGAGCCCATCTCGCCGTAGACGCACCAAACCTCCGTGTCGCCCAACGGCGGTACCTTCTTCTCGAGATAGGAAATATCGATCGGCACTTTCCCCGTGCCACCCTGCACAGGTATGGGCTCGTAACCATGCCTATCGCGAGGCCGGTTTTCCGTGAACGGGTTCACCATGACAGACCCCAAGGAGACAGTCTGGAGTCCCGCTTCAGCATCAGAGCGCCTGGCAAACATGCGCACAGCCAGCTCGGAAGAGGTAGTCGAAACATCAAACTTGTACATGTACCTCCCATCCGACGCGCGGTACCCTGTTCTCGGGTTGGACCACCCGATTCGGCTATTGTAGCAATATTGCGATTCAGCGGATATCTGGAACTGTTCATATTCCATGATCGCATAAGCCAGCCATGGGTTATTCCCCGCTACTACTGGTTGGTAACGCGATCCTTCGCACGGCTCTGGTATCGCCAGGCGACCAGCGGGGTGGAGTCTGATGGATAGAATTCCAGTTGGTGGTTGTGACGGAACGATGACCTCGTAGGTAGTAGTAGTAACTAGGGGGAGGGGTCAACACAGGCTCCTTTTCATGGTTGTCCAAAGTCAGAACTTGACATGTAGTAATGTAATGTACATGTACATACCATCCTCGTTTTGAGGAGGATACTTGGGCTGGGGATGTGAACACCAGCCGAAGGGGTGGTAAGGCTTGCTCTCGGCGGGCATCGTGAGAATTTTCTCGGCAGGCATCTATCTAGTTAATTATTAATTCAGAGCGGATCGTCAGCTGTGCTGTCTGAAAGAACTAAATACTAGTAAGAGTGCTGCTGCGTTTGCGTTTACTTTCCAGGTTGGCGAGATTCTCCCGTCAGACATTGGTTTCGGTGTTTAGATGCTTAGAAATTGGATTCCATATTCAATCATCTCCTTGTCTGTACAAGTAAGTAGTTGCTACAATAATAATAACTAACTTGAAGGGTCGCAGCAAATGAGGAAATGAAGAGCACATGCTAGTAGTGTAGTAGGGAATCAATGATGGTCTATACAGAACTATTACCTTAGTTATAGTTAACTCCTCTGCTGTGTACGCAGCGTAGTTATGAATAGATCAATTGACAAGTAAATATTTTCTGCAGTTTAAAGTCACTGATTATGTGACACAGTGAAAGATATAGAGATATATACATATATACAGAAAAAACAGAAAAAACATGAGTGTGATGCTTCAGTCTCAATCTCTGAGTCTATGGTATTTAGTCCGTCAACTGATACAAAAGATGCATTATTTAACAGTTATTAATAATTAATATCGCTACAGAGTAAAAGAATATCACATCACGTCTTTAAATTTCTTTCTTATTTTTATTTTACTCTATATTATTATTCTGTTTGGCGGCTGTTGTATTTATCCCGCCGCGCGGTGGCGATACGATAAATATTTAACTATTTAACTAAATATTTACATGCCGAAGTGGACACCTTTCTTTACCCTTAAATATTACATACAACCTTTGGGCCTAGTTAACTAAATATCAATCCTCAATCCTCGATTCATTCTTTTCAAATTCCTTTCTTCATATACGAAAAGGCGGAATAAAGACAAAAAAAAGACACTCTCCCCCCCCTCTCTTTTGTTTGTGGCATACGGCTTCTTTTTCGTTTTTCCTTTTTTTTTTTTATTTCTTTCTATTTTTTCCTTTATTTACCACGGGTATTTTATCCAAAACGCCTCCAAAAGGGAATCCCGGCGCAAAACGTCACAGTTAACTATAATAACTACTACCTAACTCCTACTGGTTCTTATATTCGGCCCAGCTCTCTCTTGCTTTTGGCCCTGCGCCCAACCTGCGCCCAAGCACAGGAACCCAAAAGGACACATATTATTGCATACTTATCCTGTACCGTGTACCGAAAGTCAAAGAGCATTGGAAAGAGGGAACGCGGGATATTTTAGGTGATTAGGTGATTGGGAGATTGGGAGACTTGGGTGTGGAGGGAATCCTCTTTTTTTCTTGAAGCAAAAGAGGAGAGCTACAAGAAACAAAATACAGAAAAATAAGATAAGACACCACGCTCATGGAGCGCTCCTATCTCTTCTCGACGGATGATGTCCTTGCCCACTTCAACGTCACCGCAGAGGCTGGGTTGTCGAGCCAGCAGGTCGTGACGGCTAGGAAGGCCTATGGGAGTAATGGTATGTCTGGTCGTCTCCTTTCTTTAATTTACTACTTCCTACAATCCATCTCCTCTTTTCTGCGCAAAGGCGCATACGGTGGTATATAAGATTGTGAGATAGTTATATATATTGTGAAGTGGAGTCAACATGTGTGCGCGAAAGCTAATTTTCGATCTTTGATGATAAAAACAGCTCTCCCCGAAGATCCGCCAACGCCCTTGTGGGAACTCGTGCTGGAGCAGTTTAAGGATCAACTTGTGCTGATTCTGCTTGGGTCTGCCGTTGTGTCGTTTGTGCTGGCCCTGTTTGAGGGTGGGGATGATTGGACAGCCTTTGTGGATCCGGTGGTGGTATGTCTTAATTTATTATTGTCTCTTCTACTTCTATTCGAATATTTTGTTGCGTTTTTTCGCGTACGGCTGGCTAACAGGTCAAAACCTTTTGCTTTGCTTTATACTACTAGATCCTCGCCATCCTAATCCTCAACGCCATCGTCGGCGTCTCGCAAGAAAGCAGTGCCGAAAAGGCCATCGCCGCTCTACAAGAATACTCGGCAAATGAAGCAAAAGTCATCCGCGACGGGCAGGTGCAGCGCATCAAGGCGGAGGAGCTGGTTCCCGGTGACATCGTGACTATCTCCGTTGGCGACCGCATCCCCGCTGATTGCCGTCTGCTCTCCATACACAGCAACAGCTTCCGTGTCGACCAGGCGATCCTGACCGGCGAGAGCGAGAGTGTTTCAAAGTGCACCATGGCTGTCAACGACGCGGCCGCCGTGAAGCAGGATCAGGTCAATATGCTCTTCTCCGGCACGACGGTGGTCACGGGCCATGCGACCGCGGTTGTGGCACTAACGGGCGCCGCGACGGCCATTGGCGATATCCACGAGAGCATCACGGCGCAGATCTCGGAGCCGACGCCGCTGAAGAAGAAGCTGAACGACTTTGGCGATTTGTTGGCGAAGGTCATCACGGTGATCTGTGTGCTTGTTTGGCTGATCAACATTGAGCATTTCAATGACCCGTCGCATGGCAGTTGGGCTAAGGGCGCGATCTATTATTTGAAAATCGCGGTTTCGTTGGGCGTTGCGGCTATTCCAGAAGGGTTGGCTGTGGTTATTACGACGTGCTTGGCGCTGGGGACGAGGAAGATGGCGGCCAAGAACGCTGTGGTTAGGTCGTTGCCATCTGTGGAGACCTTGGGCAGCTGCAGTGTGATCTGCTCGGACAAAACAGGCACGCTGACGACAAATCAAATGAGTGTGGAGAGGATTGTGTATCTCAACGAGGATGGGAATGGACTGGAGGAGATAAATGTTGAGGGAACCACATTCGCGCCGAAGGGCAGCTTAAGGAAGAATGGCAAGGAGATGGAGGATTTGGCCGTTTCTTCCTCCACCGTGCTGCAGATGGCGGAGGTTCTGGCGCTATGCAACGAGTCCTCGTTATCTTATGACCCAAAGACAGGCGCGTATTCCAGCATCGGGGAACCTACCGAAGGCGCCTTGCGCGTGCTCGTTGAGAAGATTGGAACGGACGACGCAGCGCTGAACAAGAAGATTAGGCAACTACCAGCTCCTGAAAGACTGCACGTGGCCAGCAAATACTACGAAGATCGCCTCCCCTTACAATGCACATATGAATTCTCCCGCGACCGCAAGAGCATGTCCGTGTTGGCCGGCGAGGGTAACCGACAGAAACTCCTCGTCAAGGGCGCCCCTGAATCGATCCTGGAACGCTGCTCACACGCCATCCTCGGCGCCAACGGCCAAAAGGTGGCATTGACAAAGAAACACACCCAGCTGATCTCCCAGGAAGTCGTGGACTTTGGCAACCGCGGCCTCCGCGTCATCGCCATGGCCTCCATCGACAACGTCGCCCCAACCCGTCTCCTCCGCACGGCACAAACAACCAAAGAATACTCCCAGCTGGAGCAGAACATGACCCTGATCGGCCTCGTCGGCATGCTCGACCCGCCCCGCCCAGAAGTTGCTTCCTCAATCCGCAAGTGCCGCGAAGCCGGCATCCGCGTCGTCGTCATCACCGGCGACAACAGAAACACCGCTGAAGCCATCTGTCGCCAGATCGGCATCTTCGGCCCGCACGAGCAAAACCTCCACGGCAAATCGTACACAGGCAAAGAATTCGACGCTCTTAGCGATGCGGAACAGGTCGAAGCGGCCATGAACGCCTCGCTCTTCTCGCGCACAGAGCCCACGCATAAATCTAAATTGGTGGATCTCCTGCAGGCACAGGGTCACGTCGTGGCCATGACAGGCGACGGCGTCAACGACGCGCCTGCCCTGAAGAAATCTGATATCGGCATCGCGATGGGCACGGGCACGGACGTGGCCAAGCTCGCAGCCGACATGGTCCTGGCAGACGATAACTTCGCCACCATCGAGGTTGCGGTGGAGGAAGGGAGGTCCATCTACAGCAACACACAGCAGTTCATCCGCTACCTCATCTCGTCGAATATTGGAGAGGTCGTGTCAATTTTCCTGACGGCCGCACTGGGAATGCCGGAGGCGTTGATCCCCGTGCAACTGTTGTGGGTAAATTTGGTTACAGATGGATTGCCTGCGACGGCGTTGTCGTTTAACCCGCCCGATCATGATGTGATGAAAAGGCCGCCGCGGAAGCGCGGGGAGGCGCTTGTCGGGGGTTGGTTGTTTTTCAGGTACATGGTTGTGGGCTTTTATGTGGGCTTTGCAACAGTTTTTGGGTATGCGTGGTGGTTCATGTATAATCCTGCAGGGCCGCAGATTACGTTTTGGCAACTGGTAAGTTGTTCCTCTTACACACCCTCCCCCTATCCTCTATTTGTTTGTATATCCCATTTACTAACAACAAAAACGACAGACTCACTTCCACAAATGCTCCACCCAATTCCCCACCATCGGCTGCGAAATGTTCACAAACGACATGTCCAAATCAGCCTCGACAATCTCCCTCTCCATCCTCGTCGTCATCGAAATGCTCAACGCCATTAACTCCCTCTCCGCTTCCGAGTCCCTCCTCACTTTCCCCCTATGGAATAACATGATGCTCGTCTACGCCGTCACGCTCTCCATGTCGCTCCACTTCGCTATCCTCTACATTCCCTTCTTGCAAGGGTTGTTCTCTATCCTACCCCTGGATAGGCAGGAGTGGATGGCTGTGTTGGCTATCTCCTCGCCGGTGGTGGTTATTGATGAGGTGTTGAAGTTCTTGGATCGGAGTCTGTATGATAGGCGTACGGATGTTGTGGATGTTTCGTCGTCGGCCCAGTATCAGAATGGTGCGGCGAAGGGCAAGGCTGCTTAAGGGAGAAATGAAGGGCGTGATGATAGTGCTAATTGACCGTCTAGTGTATATTTTTTATTCCCCTTGTGTTTGTGGAGACGGAGGTGAAAAGCGGATAGAAAGAAAGAAAGAAAGAAACATTAAAAAAAAACCAAAGAGAGATAGATACACATGCACGTTCTGTTTTTTTATAAAGTTTTCCCCCATGTTCTCTATTTCTATTTCTATTTATTTTCTTTTTAAATCTATTTGGTCTGTTTCATTCGGGATAGGTTGGTGTGGCTATTTATTGTGTTTTTTATGATTTTCCTTTCGTTTTCTTGTTTGACATATGCTTTTCTTTTCTCATCGGCTTTATATTCTAACTAGCCTATCGCGGGCCACCACCATGTTAAATATAGAGTACATATAGATAGATAAAAGCAACACATCAGAGAGATGGCGGAAAGAGAAAAATGATAGTTGTTATGTACATACATTACATATCTTGTTTTTCAGTGCTTTGTTTTCTCTCATTAGTGCTACAATTTTTTGATTCTCTTCTCAGTTATATATCTAGGTTTTATCATCGCTCAGATTCATTCATGTCCTTCAGCTTTGTACAGCTTTCCCACAGGTGTAATGGAACCAAGTACGGGGATCAAATGATTAGACATGCTCTTCTTCTGCACGCCGCCATATCGTGTCAGTCAATGAAGCTTGTTTAGTTTGTTCTTGTGTCTGTATATTTTGTTTCATTCTTTTCTGTTTCCCAGTCTCTTCAACTGTCCTACTGATCATGGCTTGTGGAGATTAACCAATATAGAAAATCAAACATGTATGAAACGTAAAACATTACAAAACATGGAGGGATTAGGAGTTGGGTAAGAGTTTAAATGAGATAGCATTTTTCAGTTTTTTAAATCTAAATTTTCACCCTATTTACTTGTGGGAGGTTTCCCCGTTTGGCTCTGTAGAGGATAGCTGGTTATACACAATCCCCGCCACTGGCACTGTCCGATTCCCCACCGGTTCAAATATCCAGTAGTCAGTAAGAACAGCCCAATGGTCATGCCAACCCCCTCCCGGGCCAGTGATTGCCTCCGCAAAATCCAAAATCCAGAATATCCACCCAATCCGTCCATCTAGAAGCCTATATCATCAACCTCTCAACGTTCGTCTTCAGCGTCTGAATCTGAGTATTCAGATCGCTGGCTTCGTTGGTGGTGATGCTAGCCGCGATGACGGCACGGCTGACACCGCATGCGCGGCCCAGGGCCATCTTGCTGGGCACGTACACGTAGGGCACGTTCTTATCCTCAGCGAGGAGCGGGAGGTGGAGGAGGATCGCCAGTGGGGTGGTATCTATATGCAGCAGGCAAACGGGATGGTTAGCTGGGATGGAGGCAATTGAAAAGATGGGAAGCGGTGGGACGGGGATGTTAGTTCTTTACCTGCAGCGAGAATCACAATCTCGGAGGTGCCGCGGTTCAGGGTCTTGGTGGCCTCGTTGGCCCCCTTCTTCAGCTGGCGGTAGTGCGAGGCTTGCTGGACAAGATCCAGAATTGTCTGGGTCATCGCTTGGTCGGCGAGCGGCCAGGCTGGCGGGATTTGCGAATAGATGTTAGCTGCTTATTCCGAGAAATTAATCGGGAAAGTCGCCTCCAGAATTTCTTACCTGCGTTGGTCTGGTCTGACATGATGACGGGTGGTGATGTCCTTCTGCGGAGAAAGGAAAAGATTATGGGTTGATGCGTAGATGAGTTATTTATTGGAAGGGTTCACGGCCAGTGGTTCTTGTGCGGTGGGGTGGCTCGCCCTATGTGTGTATGCGGAATTTCTCGAAGTGAGGTTGCGACAGCAAAAAGAAACTCGCTCGTTGGGATAAAAAAAAATGTTCCAAGCAGTTGGATTTCGTGTCGGGGTGACTATTTATCCGAGAACCAACGGATGGGTATTAGCGGAAACCTTAAAAGCTTATTTTGACCGTGCCAGGGTTTTGGAGTTTTGAGGCTGAGAAATTGTACCCAACCACAACACATGTGTATACAGAAAACTTGACCTCGCTAAGTGCGCCACTTGACCTCATTATGTAAGCTGACCTCGCAAATGTGGCCCGTGCCACTACCTGACCTCACTCAATACATCTTTTCTTGTAATTTGAAATCACTCAATTATTTACCATCAATTCTACAATCAATTTAAAATCAATTTAAAATCAATTTAAAATCAATTTAAAATCAATTTAAAATCAATTTAAAATCAATTTAATACTGAAATTATTCTTGAATTTAATAATAATACTGAATTGATTATCAACTGATTTTCAATCAATTATTAATTACTTAAATATATAGATGTCACGCTCCCGGCCGCGCCAAGGCTCTGTTGCGGTTCCACACGGCCCATTGCTTCCATGCGGATGATTTCATCTCATATGAACCGGTTTCCAACCACTCTATGACATCATTTGAATATATCATAGAAAGATCTGATTGATGAATATAAGAACTCTGCTTCTATATGAGATCAGCAGATTACTCTTTCTTAATAATAAGATGCTGCTGAGATATTACTTCAGCTATTCTCACTCATGAAATAAGAGAAGAGTATTCATTCATTGTCTATATAGAATAGCTAAATACTGACTTCTTATCAAAGAAGTCAGTGATTTGTTTTTTCTCTGTTAAGAATATATATAAGAGTTACTGCATATCTTATACAATCTTCTTAGTATATGAAGTATTATATCTGTGATATTCTTATAATAACTCTGTAATCTATAAGCTCACTATTTAAGCAAGATAGTCAAGCTTATTTATACAGTTTCTTAAATAACTATCTCTATATAATGCTGCTGACTAGTCACTGCTTCAGTTTTATTATATTATAATTTAAATCACTTAATCTGATTATAAGTTTGAATCAGTTAAGCTTTAACAGACTGATATAATCTCATATATTTATACTGAGACTGATCTGATCTCACTCTCTGAGAGAAATATTACATTATTCTCTAGAGTGTGTACATCTCTACTCTGACAGAAATCTGAGATTTCTGAACTCACTGTATATTTTAATATAAGCTTTTCAACTACTCTATCACTACTGTGGCCTCTACACATCTATATCTATTATAAAGATAGAGAGATTAAGATCAGAGATTCTCTGAGATATAAGAGAAATATCTTATCTGAATTTCACAGTTTTATCTGTACTCTTGAATGAAAATTCCACCTTAATCTGAGCCAGTATAATACTTATGAGATATAAGTAATATACACTGTCAATCTTCTTGAAGATATCTCTGTAACTACTTGAGTTATTAAGAAGAGAGAGCTTAAGCATATTAATGCTATTATAACTTAGAAAGAATTTAAGAACTTTCTACTGAATTAAATTAAAGATTACTGCAACTGCAGCTTCACAGCAGTATAGTAATTCAACTTATTATATTAATAAAATAATGAGAATTCTTTCAATTTCAATACAAGATTTGAAGAATATTGAGAGAAATTAACTGATAATTTAAATCAATTAAAAATACAGCTTTATCTTATGAAGCTGACTTATAAGATATGAATAATAATATTATAATATCAGAGTTCATTAATCAATTATACTGAGCTTATCAACCTGGCTTCTTAAATCTATTTGAATAATTAATTCTCTGAGAAAAAGATCAATAAGATCTCTTCTAAGTAATTAATAATAGAATCTAAATAATACTGTGACAGCTTCAGTGTAGAGAAAGTAAAGAAGAATTTCAAGTATTCTAATTCTTCACTCACTGTAAAGAAATGCTAAAAAAGATTTGATAAAGATCTCTATTTCAACTGTGAAGCTGATAAATACTATATCAGTAATTATAAAAAGCTGAAGAAGAAAAGAAACTGAGAAGATATCTTCTCAAAGTTAACTTCTCTTCTGACAAATATATTCATAGAAGATAATAAAGAGAAAGAAATAAAGAATTGATAATTCTCATATCTCTAAGTTCATGTTATGATTATAATGTATACTCTGAATGAGAAGATATTAGTGAGATGTCTACTTAACTCTGAGATAAATACTAATTTCATATTCTATTTCTTTTCTTTGATGAAGAGTTGAAAGAAGATAGATCTGTCAGATTATATGAAATTTACTAATAAAATGAAATATCACTGTTTTAACATAATTTAAGTGAAGTGTGTGATTACAGACTCAGAAGAAATCTTTAAAAAGAGTAGTCTGTTTCTTTATACAGTTAATATTATAGATGAGAATATTATTCTAAATCTTCTATAATTGAGAGAAAACAATTCTCTTATTAACTGAGTTACTTAGATATGATAATATCATCTTATTAATAAAGAGATAGTAATAGAGAAATCTGAAGAGTTTCATTAGAAGAATCTTGAGAAAAAGATTGAGTTAATATACTGTGTAGCAGATGATTGAGACTTAAGAATAGATGAAGAAGTCATCACTCTCACTGCAAGATTAGCAGCAGTATTCATCATTAAAGATGAATATATATAATATCTCTTTACAGATTTTAAGAATATCTTTTTGAAAAGAGAAGCAGTGAAGTTTTCTGATATCAAGATATAATATAAGATTTACCTTGAAAACAGTGTAATGATGCTGTACAGATCTTTTTATAACTTGTCTGTAAAGAAATTGAATATTCTGTGCAAATATCTTGAAGAAGCATAATTAAAGAACTGAATATATTTATTAAAGAGTTCAGCAGAAGTATCTATACTCTTTATATCTAAGAAGAATAATAGACTATGTCTATGTATAGACTACAGAGATCTTAATAAGATAATAGTTAAGAATTACTATTCATTACTATTGATTAATGAGATAATCAATTGATTATCTGAAGTAAAGATGTTCTTGAAGATTGATATACAGAATGTCTATCATAGAATCAGAGTTAATAAAGATAATGTTTGAAAAACAGCTTTTTATATCAAATATGATAATTTTGAATATCTTGTTTTATCTTTTAATCTTTGTAATGCTTCAGTTATCTTTCAGACCTATATAAATAAGATGCTGCAGGGCCTTGTTAACATCTTCTGTATAGTATACTTGAATGACATTCTAATCTTCTCAAAAATGAAGAAAGAACATGATACTCATATTTGAGAAGTATTAAGTTACTTAAGACAGTATTAACTCTATACAAACACTGAAAAATGCTTGTTCTATATACAGAAGATTGATTTCTTAGATTATATTATTGAAGTGAATGACATTTCAATAAACAGAAGTCAGGTCTCTGTTATTGAGAACTGATCAGTACTGTGAATATACTGTGAGATGCAGATATTTCTAGAATTTATGAATTTCTACAGATAATTCATCTATATATATTTATGAATTACTGTCTCTCTTACAGATCTGTTAAAGAGAAGTGTAAAAGATAGAAAAATAAGACTATTTACTCTCACTCAAGATACTGTACAGATATTTATAGAATTAAAACAAGCTTTTACAGATATTATAATACTGAATCACTTTAACTCTAACTTACTCAGTCAGTATAAGACTGATATATTCAGAAATGAAATCTATGAAATCTTTTCACAGTTGATACTGAAGATCTTTCAATATTGAAAGAATTAGAGAATAATCACTTCTGAGAAAACAGATAATAAATTATCTGTGAGAGAAGACTTTTTTACAGAGTCTATAAGATATTATAAATGAAGATCAGTGATCTTCTTCTTCAAGAAGTTATTACTCACACAGAGAAGGTATGATACTTATAATTAGAAGATGTTAGTAATTGTTAAATTCTTTAAGATTTGATAATATTATCTTCAGAGTAGTAAGTATTCAGTGTAAGTTCTCACTGATTATACAAATCTGTGTTACTTCTTGATAACAAAGAGCTTGATAGAATGTTAAGTCAGATAAGCAGAGCTGCTTTTGAAGTATAATTTCTATATTCAATATTATTCAGATCAGCTTAATCTCACTAATATACTGTCTAAACAGTCTGATTATAATATTGTTAATATAGAGAAGAATTCTATAAAAGAATCTCTGTTATCACTGCAGAAGAAGCTGACTGCAGAGAGTTAAGATTCTCTAAAGCTTGAAAACAGTGCTAGAGAGACAGCTATATAACTCAGTATAAAAGATAAAAGAGAATCTGAGTCTCTGTGAGAAACTGACACTGAAGATTATAAGCTTCTTGTGTCACATCTTATAATCATTGAATTGATAAAGAATGAAACAGTCTACAATCTTTCAATCTGACTACTTTTGAAATTCATTGATAAGTTATAGAAGAGAGATATCTCTACTGCAGCTTGAATTCAGAAGTTGAAGAAGAAAGAGTCTGATTTGAACTTAGAAGAGACAGACTCTGAGTGAGACAGTGTTACTAAGAAATCAAGTTACTGATAACTAGAAGAATGTGAACTTCTACTACTGAATAATTCAGTCTTCATTTCTTATAGCAGAGTGATATATCAGAAGTTATTAAGAATTCATTATAATAATTTTCATATGAAGTACTTTGAGTTAGAGAAGACTGAGAAGCTTCTAAAATATAAATACACTTAAGACAAGCTCTGAACAGATGTCAAAGAGTATGTTAAGACTTGTAATATCTGTCAAAGAATAAAGATTCTGTAGTATAAGTAATACAGTGAGTTAATATCACTGCCTATTTCAAAGAACTCATGACAGAATCTATTAATAAATTTCATAGTTAATCTGCTGAAGTCAACAAGAGTCAAAGAATATGACTCAATTTTAATTATTGTTAATTACTTCATAAAGATGATCAGATATATCTCTATTTATAAAAAGATTAAAGTCTCTGAATTGACTGATCTGTTTTTAGATATCATCATTTATAATCACAGTACTCTGAAATTATTAATAATAGA